CCGGACGTGGTTCGCAAGGCGTTCGGGAACCGCCAAAGCGACCTTCCCTACGTCAAAGGCGAGATCGTAAGTGCTGCTTGCAGTGTAGATGCCTGTGCAATTCTAATCAGTACTATTACGCTGCGCAGAAGGTCCCCAACTTCACCAGGCAAGAGTGGAAGGAATTGCAGAAGTGGCTTCAGGAACACGACGATCTGAATCGTTACCAGTGAGTTGTCGTTTCCTGTACAGATTCAAGCAGTGGTACTGAACCTCGAGATCATAGGTTTGATTATGATCCAGAGACGAGTGAATTAACTACGATGTCGCCATTGCACCTACACGAACGCCTCATAGGGTTGAACAAGTTGATGCTTCACGAGCGGTTTATCACGCACTTCACTCCGAAGGAGTGGATATCCCGGTTGCTTAGAATAGCTGACGATACTGCGGAATACGCTTCTGTGCGTGGAAACGGAGGCCAGAAGAGGATCGCCGATGCCGTCCAGGCACTCAAAGTCGGCCGCGAACTGATCATCACCTCTCTGGACGAGACGGCGTTGTCTCAGCCGAAGTACACGGACAAGTCTGCGGAAGGGGTGCTCAATAAGGTAAGGACCTGTATCTAATCATCGTGCAACCCACTCAATCGAGCGGACGTACAGCTCGTGGAGATGGCGGACCGGCTCCTTGCCATCCTACGCTTGCGGCAAGCCACGCGGGAGGCGAGGGGAGAGGCCGCGGACGACGAAGAACCGCTGAAGCTTATTTCGCTCTCCTGCTTCTACATCGAGGAGCTGCAGCCGGGCCGTTCTCAGAGAGCGAAGTGGGCATCGCCGGCGATGGGTGATTTTTATCTCGACAAGCTTGGCCTCGATAACGCCGACTACGAGGAGATGTTGAAGATCTACCCAGAGTTGATACAAGGCGCAGGTCCGTGGCGCGCGCACGACCATGTGTTCTTCGGCGCTGTGCGCGTCTGGTGGTTTCACATCCCCCTTGGCGAACTGGAGACCTTCAGGGCTGGTGTGAAAGCAAAGTGGGAGATGAGCGAGTGGATCGCCAGGGGCCTCGCAATCGTAAGTCTTCGTGTTCTGTTGTGGGTTAACGTTCACTGACACGTCCAACAAGCCTATCCTGGAGTCGTACGGTCCTGCACAGCAGCTGCAGGTCGACGTCTTCCTGCGCAAGGTTGAGCAAAGCTACAAGGACAAACTCGCCATCCTAGCGAGCCAACTGTTGATCGATGACAACGAGAAACTCATTGATGAAGCCGTGGCGAAGCTCAGCAAAGAGGAAGGCACAAAGCGTTACGAAGAACTCTACCAGTACATGGAGCTCCTCCTCAAGCCGCCCAAGGAAGCCACCAGCTTTGCGGAGTCCATTTCCCGCATCGTTGACGAGATCAAGGATGGCGCCTACGGCACTGCTTGTGACCGCCTCTGCGATAACTCGCACATCGTCGGGCAAGACACAGTCGTGTTGCAAGGCGGCAAGCCCGGGCCCCGGGGACGCGACACGAACGCGGAAGACCTCATGGCTCGTGTTGTCCGTATGCGCGCCAATTTTCTCAAACGCAAGCGTGAGGAGGAGCCTGAGTCTGACAGCGATGTAGACTCGGACAGCATCGACGATCGTGCTCCCCATGGACCGAGTACCTCCCGCGGGTGAGCTCGTATGCTCGACGATCCATCCAGTCTTTCCCATCTCTCTCATGCCTTTGACTGGCGTGTGCTGTATGCCGTCCCCGTCGTCATTGTCTCATCTTCCATCGCCTCGCCTGTTGTATTGTCATCTCGAGGTGTGTACGAATAGGTCATGTCGCATCTCTAGCTCTCTCGATCGCCTGTGGTACGTTTGTCGCGGTGTACGATAACGTAGTCGTCCCATAGATACTCTTCGTTGTTCTCGACCTATCGCTATCATCACTGCTGTCCTTGTTATCGAAGCTGTTGTAAGTCATGTATCTTCGTTCGCCGTATTCAATATATTGTTGTATGTTCTTACAAACACAACGACCTTCGAGCTTCTTGCATACAGAAGTGAGTCATTAACGCACGGTAGGACACTCTCGCTATTGATGTTTTTCTCATTAAATTCCCTTTATTGTCCGCGAGGGCCGAGCCCTATGTAGACAAAGTACTATCTATGGGGAGAATGTCGAGTTACTGGTGCGGCGTGCGGGCGTCTCTGGCACGTCGGTAGAGTCAGTGTATTGTACGGGATGCAGAAGGGCGCGGGCGAGACGGCACGCGGGCGAGACGGCACGCGGGCGAGACAACATGCGGGCGAGATGGCGGCGGACACAGGAGTATAAGATGCAAAGTCAGCGAGACGATGGGCGAGAGAGACGGCGGGTGGGACATTGAGATGACGGGCCTGCGAGATGACAGGCCTGCGAGATGACAGGCCTGCGAGATGACAGGCCTGCGAGATGACAGGCCTGCGAGATGACAGGCCTATGAGGCCGGCCTGCGAGACGGCGGGTGCGTGCGATGGTGTTAGGGTGACGTCGACGGGCGAGAGCGATGACAGGGCGAGCGAGATGATGGGCAGGTGAGACGGCGGGTAAGCGGAACGGCGTGCGAGCGAGACAGGTGTGCGGGTGAGCAAGAGGGCGAGGGCGAGAGCGGGTGACCGAGTCGGCAAGGGAGCCAGCTCGGGCCTGACGGTAAGGTTGCCGGGGCTGACGGTGCTGCCGTTGACATGACGGGTGACGGAGTTTGCGCCGCCGGTGTACTCGCCGAATCTAGCACGAGATCGAGCTAGCATTCGGGCGAGAGTTTGTGGGCAGGACGCGTGAGCGGGCGGGCAAGATGTGTGACCAGGTAAGTCCGGTCATGCTACGACCGGGATGCGACGTTGATAGTGCATCGTGATGTCCAGCCATGCCCGGGATGAAAGGTGAGTCCCGACCGCAAGGACTGCACAGATAACATACCGGACGGTGGCCAGCACTCACGTCACTTGACCGGTACGATTGTGTCCAGAGACCGGGGGAGACACTTGCACCTGCACGCTCTGCGTGTGCCCAGTGAGATAGCCACGAACTTGAAGGATCGTGGCTGAGCACGCTCACCGACCGGACGTCGATCAGTCGCCACGCCGATTGTATGGGCGGGTGTCGTGTGCACACCAGTTGCGCAGGACTGTCCGTGGGGCGTGGGCTCGGGATACTGGGCTCTGGTCGGGGAGCGGACGAGCTCTAAGGAGTGTGGTCGCTGTTAGCTGTTACTTAGGACTTGCGATAGTAGAAGTCCTAAGCGCCTGTCTCGGGAAACTCCGACGCGGGAAACTGTTCGCTGGTACGACGCACGCAGGACGCACGCTTCGGTTGCTTTCACCCGCTGGTAACACTCTGCGCTACGTATGTACTGCCCTCACTGGTAACGAGGACGATGGCAAGCCGCGCACTCAACGAGTCCTTCGGCAATAACGACAAACCCATCATACGGGCTGACAAACGCAGTATGACCTTGGTTAGGAGGGTTAAGCGGGGCCAAAGGCGGGTGTGAAGGCGAGCGAGCGGGCCCACGAACAGGCGGGTGGGCGTCGGCAGGGCTAGCGGTGAGTGGGCGAGCAAAGCCTCAGATAAGTGAACTGACGAGCAAACGAGTGGACGAGGGACGGGAGAGCGAGCGGGCGGACGACAAAACACACCGTGACCACGAGTGTGCTGGGCTATTGCCCAGCACGCAGACACGGCCGGTGAACGCACACGCAGGTGGGAAGACAAGCACGCGAGCGAACGGACGGGAAGGCGGAAGGGCGAGTAGACGAGGGGGCGGGCATGAGAGAGGACAGACGAGCGGGTGGTCGAGCGGGCGGGCGGGCGTTGTTACGCAGCATGACACACTGACGGTGAGCACGCAGGTTGAACGCCCTGCGTGAAAACGCAGCCAGCAAACTGACCGCACGCGGACGAATAGGTGGGGCTAGGCGGCACCGTGTACAACACACGACGACAGCACACACACCGACGGCCAGCGCGCTGGGCGAATGCCCAGCACGCAGAGACGGCCGATGAACAGGCCACGTGCGCATAAGACTGTCGAGGGCCAGAGGAGAACGGCGGGCGAGCGAGGACGAGTCGGTGGCCGGGCGCGGCAATGCGACACACACGGCGACAGCGAGCACGCAGGGCAAATGTCCTGCGTGCAAACGCAGCCTGCGAATGGACGGCGGGCGAGGGTGTAGGCAAGGTCGACGGCACTGGCACGGGCGCGAGCAAGCGCAAATAGACCGCGCGCACCGGGGCGCGGCAACACAAAGCGTGCAAGCGCGACGCGCACAGCGTTGTTGACGAGCACACAGGACAGTTGCCCGGCTCCGAGTGAACCACGGGCACGGGTGCGGGCAGGGCAACAAGCCCGGGCGCGAGGACGCGAGACCGACGGTATCGTATCCGCGGTTCACCGCCAACATCGACGGTGAACTCGGCCCGATGGACAGCCAGTGGGCGTGCGAGGGCTCTGAGATGGTGGGCAGCAGGCAGGCAGGCGAGAAGGAGAACATGCAGACAGGGAGGTGCATGGACTTGCGAGCGAGGATGGCGACCAGGGAGTGGGCGAGAGCGGGCGAGAGAGTTCGTCCTTCCGATGTCTCGTTGCCCTCCTCGCGCACTCGCCCAGCCGTTCCTGATCACGCCGCCTGCACACGCCGGTGTACACGACCGAGGCGAGTCCATAGCCGATTCCCGCACTTTTCCAATCGAGCAGGGCCACATCTTTACTTTGGTGAGCATATCGCCCTTTATCGAGTCGAGTCCGCTGTGAAGCTCCGCCCCCGACTTGCTCTCGCACCCGTGCATCCTCCTCCAACCGCTTGCACTGTCTCATAATGCCACCAGAGCGTACCCACGAGTCGTACTCGAGCCCTACAAGTGGTCTGACGTGCCCCAAAACGGCTGGAGCAGAGACCCTGACCGCCGTATCCGCTACATCCAGCTAGCTAACCATTTGGAGCTAAAGCCATGGACATCCTACATACACTCGTGCAAGTACCGAGTCGCGCTATGCAACATGCAGCGCAACTCGCTGTACACCGTCCCCAACCCGCGCTCCAGTGCTGGCGCCCTGGGTAAACGGGAAATGGGAGCATTGCCACTGCGGCAGCAAGGCAAGACGACCCAGCTACGAGGTGTACCGATGGCGAGGCAGGTCAAGCACGATGCTCGGGGTACGTGTTGACCGAATACATGCAACACAGCGAAGACTGACCATGTCTCCCTAAGCCGAACGCACAGGGACGGCGCCACGTCGATGAAACCAGGAGGCGGCTTCAGACGGTGCGCAGGCACAAGAATCATCCATCGTGCACTCGTCTACAGTGCTAGTGCAGAGCACGGGTCAGCGGAACCCGCGCGGTTTGCGGGTACGGGTACGAGTCACCTTTTTGTGGCGCGAACCCTACCCGCCACTCTCCGCCACTCGCCAGCATCAGTCGTATGTGTAAGTACTGGTCGGCAACAGCGAGCTCCAGCGACGCGGGAAAGCCGTTGCTAGAGCTAACGGAAGTTAGAGGCAACGAGGGCACGAGGGTACACCCGGTTACGGCCAGTAGGGCCACCAAGCAGGTGAGTGCCCCGCTTGTTGGCTGCAGGCCGCCAACCCCACCATCTGCGAGCGCCGCCACGCCTTCCATGAGCCCTCCACGAGCCCGAAAGACCACAGCCCACCGCCTCCGCCCTCTAGGAGTCCGGGCGCACCGCGCTTGCTCGCCTGTCGATGACGCCTGTCGATGACGCTCCCTCCGACGTACGGGAATGAACACCACGGAAGACTTACCGCAGTCTACGACGTTCGAATATGTTGTCTTTGCCATCCTCGGTCGGCTCCGGCCGAAGAGAGCGAACGAATTTTCGAATTCGTACAAACCGTGCGCCTGCGTGAGTGGATTTGCACTTCGTCTCCCAGCAGAGAAGAACGGGCTGCACCTGGGCAGATTTGTGCGGCGCGAGACAGGCACGCCCTGACAATCTACGCTCGTACCACGACGTGCGCAATCCGTCCAGAGTAGAGTGTCGATTCGACGATGCGGGATAAACAGGCAGTAGGTTGGATTTATGGCTGTGGACAGTGTACGGATACGTACTGATGTACGAGGAGAAAGGGGGCTTGGTACTATGGTTATGCAATATGGGCAGCGTGACGGTTAGGCTGCTAACACCACTTTTATTTGATGTACCTATGTAGCTTCAGTCGCCTTGACTCAACCGAGGCGTTTTGACGAATATTATGAGCGCTTTCCCATGGTTAATAGCGCTCGGGCTCTGTGAGCATCACGGACGTCGATCGCTGAAGTTCACACCGTCTCGGCTGGTAAGCATCCACGGTGTGTCTTTTTCTTTCTCATCACCACAGTCTATCTCCTGTCTCCCCTCCCTTCGTGTGCAGGTATGGGCAAGCGGGTCACCCGGTCGGACGCAGCCGAACAAGCTTCCGAGAACCCGAGGACCACTAGATCGACCAAGAGCCAGGGCGCAGGCGGCTCCAAGAAAAACACTCAGCCCGCAAAACGCAAGGCGAGCGAGGCGGTAGCTAAGAAGAAAACACAGGAGATGACGAAGGAGAAACGCACTGGTGAGTGACCCCGTGCTGCAATGAACCTAAAAGTTGGTATTGCTGACGTGGCGTGGTAGAGGTACGGAAGAATGTGTCGAAGATGATGGACGAAGAAAACAAATCATCCACTGATGAAGAGCTACCAAAAGCAAAAAAGAAGAAGCGCGCCGTGATGGAGGACGAGGAGGTGGAAGATGACGAGCAGGATAAGGCGGGTGAAGGCACACCGGAGGATGTGGAGATGGACGATCACACGACTCAACAGCGTAAAGCTGCTCGACGTACGCGGTAATCATGGTCGGCGCGGTACACCTTACTGACTAGCTCGTCGCGTTTATACGAAGCCAAACCGAAACCCGCGTACGGTAAATTTGCAAGACCCAAGACGTCCTTGGATCCCGCCGAGGAAGATTTTGTGGGAATACTAGGTAAGTTCTCTCATAAATCCACATTAATACTGGCTAAGCTACTAATTCTGTAGTCAGAGGACGGCGTGAAGCCCGTGGGGACACTGGCAGTAGTAGCAAGAGAAGTGAGCTGAAGTCCGCCATACCTAAGTCTGCCAAATCTGCCGGTGGCAAGTCGCCCCATGGTACTGCCAAGTCTGCTGGTGGCAAGTCGCCCCATGGTACTGCCAAACCGAAAGCGCTGTCGGCGAGTGGAAAGGTAAGCAGCCATCTCGTACCGTGCACAAGCGGAGAAACATGGTTTCACATCGACAGGACAAGGGCAAAGGCCGAGCAACGGACAAGGATGACGCGGTCAGCAGTGAGCATGAGCTCGAAGAAGACGGAGTCAGCGATGGCGAAGGCAAGAATGAGAGCGAAGTTGATGAGGATGAGATCGATGAAGATGAGGTCGAGGATGAAGATGAGGGCGAGAGTGGGGACGAGGCCGAGGCTGACGATGTAGAGTCTCAAGAGTCGGAGGATGAGGGTGACGTGATAGTGAGTATCTTTCTTGGTTTATCAGTGGCGATCAGCATCACATCTACGTGCAGCTCGTGTCCGAGACGAAGGCGAAACCCAAGCCGGCTCTCACCAACTCGACGGGTGGTGAACGAGACAGCAGAAGTCGCGCCAAGGTCACCGACTTACCAGTCAAAGTTAGGACTCTCGTCTAGGCCGCGCAGAACTGTCTGCGACTACGCATTGCGCTAAATTCGGCGTGGACGAAGGAGGCTTCAGTCGCGTCCATACGGCTGCCAAAGAGGGATGTACTAATCAGTGACAGTGTTCGCAACGCTTATGACAGACGAGGGACTGGCGAACATGCTGCCGACATCAAGGCCGCGTTCCGGCTGCTGGAAGGCCCGAAGAAAGACAAGAAGAAAGCGGGTCGCGGCGCGAGCTCGGATGATGATGAGGACCCGGAACGAGCCGTGTTGAGAGCGAACACCTACGCCGTGGTGAGCCCACACTCATTGTAATCCACTACAGTCGGAGGCTCTGATCCTTTCCAGGTCTGGACTTGCGCATCACAAACTCGGAACGAGCTCAAGAGGAAGGCGAAGCAAGTGATAGAGCAGACCTTCAAGCTTGGCGGGCTGTCAGTCGCTCAAAGGACCGAGGTCGTCGTTTGGCTTCTCGAGACGCACCCCACGGTAGTGAATGATGTTACCGGGACACGTAACGGGACACGCAACATCGCGAACTTCGTCTCGGGGGCGTAGAGTATCACTTCGACCGGAAGAAAAACCTGGATCGAGAGGTACGTGTGCACACAGGGTCAGCACATCAGAGCGAACTCACTGCGATCTAGCGTACCAGGGTCGAGCCCACGGAGCCATTCCGAAACGAATGCATCCCTGAGCTCGTCTACCAGTACTACGGCCTGGCAGGACGTGGCGATGCGAACATTAATGCGGCCCTGGACGAGTTCAGCAAGGTGCCCTTCAACCTCATCGCCCTCGCGTGCAACGCGGTACGTCTCATCTTCGTCGAGTTCCTGCCCTACGTCAAGCTACTGATTGATGTGTATAATAGATTGAAGCGGCGTTGATGGAGGTGGTGGCGCACAACCAGTCGATCTTCTTCTCCAGCAAGCTATTCGTGGGCAAGTGAGTCATTCTTGCGTTCGATTGCAAATGGTGAATGCTCACTAGCCATAGGTGGGATGGTACAATGGCCATTCTAGAGACTCTGGAAGAGCGCGCGGGCGAGTACCTCAAAGAGACGCAGGAGCTCATATGGAAGCACATCAGGTAAGCTCTGGATCCAGACGGAGATCTTTACTGACCACACATACAGCAATCGTCTTAACGCTGGCCCCAACGCAGTCAACGCAGTCGAGGTGACGATGGTCAGCGATGAGGAGCCGCGCAGCTTCATCCCGATGCTCCAGTTGCGCGCATCAAAGCCGCAGAGCAGCGGCAACGAGCCCGCCGGCATGTCGAAGGCTGCGACGAAGCCGTCGTCGAGCACAGCAAAGAAGGGCAGTCAACCCACCACGACATCGACCGCGGGCAGGCCGTCCAGCTCGTCGAAGAGCGCGAAGACACAGGACTCGTCACAGGCGGCGAAGAATCCACCCAGTCCATCGAGGAAGACTCGTGGTGCAGGAGCGTCGACTTCGATGTCGAGGAGGAAGCACCGACGGCGCGACTCTGACGGCTCTGACGGCGGCGAAGTGGGTGGACAGGGCGAGACTGAGGACGAAGGGGGCATCGGAGTCACTGGCGAGGGCGGTGAAGGGGCTCAGGCTGAGATCGATGAACTCCACGGGTCCGGAGAAGGTGAGTATTCAGCCGTCACTTGTCACCTACATGATCCCATTCAGCATTCCCCAGACCCTGCCAGTGGCACATCCACGAATGGCGGGGCTTGACTAGGCTAGTAGAATGGTGTTCAACTGATGACTCCAGACTTCCAAGGTAAGTCAATCAGTCGTCTGCATGATCAAAGTAATTGCTCATTCAATCATCTAGCTCTAGTATTTATGGTCTCGTGTACTACTAGTACTCCTCCTTTGTAGGTCACTCGTACGTCGCTCGCTCTGCTCGCGCTGTCCTCAGGCTCTGTGTGGTACGTGTACTTGCTCCGAGTCTCGGTTTCACAGTTGTGGACCTGCTAGTCCAAGATGATTACTGTACACAGTCTTCACTGCAGTGTCATCATCATGTTGTATGCGTAGTACTGAACATTGTTGTAAGCTTACCAATATCATCGTCATCTCGGTCGCAGCCAATGCACAAGGTGCATATTTGTAAATAATTTGAGTACCCTGAAGACAAAGTCAGTGGCAAAAGCACAATTAAGTACAAAGAAAAAGGGCTCCATCACGGGTCTTCATTCAACTAAAGCCTTCATAAATGGAATTAGGGGACCTTTATAGACACGGTTAAAAGGTAGACTTGTGTAAATCAATCTTCATGTTCTTAAGCGTGCTAATTGCCTTCAATGCGCATAATATGGCATGATAAGTAAGGAAAAGACAGATTGATTTTTCCTGATGTAGGGTATTGCACGTGCAGATACTTTGTTATGCTTGCTGTGATCGCGGTGCAACCTCAACATAACACATCCTCCAGGTACTCATCACATGAATAGTCAAGAGCTGAGTATACCACTGTCATACACTGTGGTTGTCACTGTTGAACATGCACATTATAGGATTCCACCAGCAAGACCACCTCATGGGCAGCATGCCTGCTGGACAATCACACAGTAGTGCATACTGGCTTGAGCAACAGCTACATTGTGTTGGCACCCAGTCAAACACCTGGCCTCACACATTCTGACAAGGTAGATGACAACCAATCATGATCACTCAGAATCAATTTACTCTGGGGCAGTTACTATTCACAGGCAGTTGCCAACTGTGGAGAAATGTGCCTTTACACAGCCTCGTACCTCTTCAGGAAGCCCATATGGAACTTCTCCAGCATCCCCACATACTCCTCCACACCTGGACACAAGCACGTCAGCCGGTAATGGTGCTCACCCTCCTTCTGACCGAAGCCCGAGCCGGGCACGACGCAGATCCCCGTCTCCTCCAGTAGCTCCAGCGCGTACAGCGTGTCCGCCTCCTTCCCGACGTTTTGCGCGGCCTCGATGGCCTTCTTCGGGAGCTCGAGCTTCGGGTAGAGGTACAGCGCGCCTGGCGAGTTCACGCAGGACACGCCCGGGAGCGCGTTCAGCCGCTCGGCCATGAGCTTCGTGCGCTGCGCGAGGGCCGCGTGGATGCTGTCCGTCTCCTGCTTCCACAGCGAGTGGCTCGGCTCGCCCGCCTTCGGCGGGCGCACGAGGCAGTCAACACCGACTTGGCCCGAGAGCGGCGGACAGAGCCCGACGGAGACCATCTTGTAGAGCAGCGCGCGGATGTCTGCGGGGATGTTGCAGCACTCGAAGTAGCCTCCTCTCCGTCCGCACTCGCCGAAGACGCCCTTCGAGATGGAGTGGAAGGACACGAGGGGGATGGGCGAGTTGAGCTGGCGGACGACCTGCTTGAACGAGTGGAACGGGTGCTCCGCGGGGCGGTGCAGGTTCGCCTGGTAGACCTCGTCCGCGAGCAGCACGAGCGAGTGCTCCTCGCAGAGCCGCACAAGCTCCTCCATCGTCTTCCGGTCGAGCAGCGCACCGGTCGGGTTCCCTGGGTTGATCACGACCAGCGCGCGCGGCGTCACGCCCTTCCCGTCCGTCTCTGGCCGCTTGAGCGCCGTGCGGATCTCTTCGAGCGACGTCGACCAGCCGTCCGACTCGGAGAGATGGTACGGGAGCGCGACACCGTTACACTGCGCGAGCGTCGCCGTGTAGAGCGGGTACTGCGGGATCGGGATGAGGATGCCGGTCTCGTGTGGCGTGATGAGCGTGTTGAGTAGCAGCGCGACGCCCGCGGACGCGCCGCCGGTGAGGAAGATGTCTTCTGGGTCACTCGGGTACCCGTCACGCTCTGTGCGGCGGTTAATGGGCGTACATTTGAATGAAAATGATACAAACCTGTGATGAACTGCGAGACATGTTTTCGGATGAGCGGGATGCCCTTGCTATGTGAGTACGCGCCGACGCTGCCGATCTCAGCCTGCAGCTCCTGCGCGCGTGCAATCACATCTGCTGGCCACTTGTCTTTCACGATGTCTACCAAGGGCGGGTATTCCATGAGAGCGGCAACCTGTCATGATAAATAGCGTCAACTGCTGAACTGGAGTGGGACTACAACCGAGAGGGAAGGGAGGTGGAAATGCATACGACCAGTTGCCGCCCATGGACAAGACCTGTGCCCAGCGCGACAAAACACGGACAGATGTGTGCACACCAGCAAAGTCCAAGGGCAGGTAAGCCGACCATCTTGTCTGTCGAACCGGCGAGAGTGTCTCGTACAGATGAGACTAAGACCAGTTCGCGCATCCAACTGAATGCCTCGAACGGTCCGTCAAGGTGGAAGGCATGACGCCTCACATTGAAAGTCATAAACACGGCAAGCCTCACCGAATGAACGGTGTCCGATCTACACGCTTGCACGGTTCGTAACAACTCCATCGTTTCTGATCCGCATGCATCGAAGAAATACCGTCAGGTCATTCCCGAGGCAAAATTCGCTCGACGGGCTCGGAACGTCTAGCACAGATCGAGGTCGGACGCCCACTTCTCGGCTTGACTGCGCATCCAGAGTCATCGCCTTCTTGTTCGTACGAACGTGGCAAACTTTGAGATGTCGCTGGGGGAAAGCAGGTCTCGGGTCGCGTCGGTCTTTGTGCTCGAATGGAATGGCGAGGCATCCACACTCGACAATGAGGCCTCCAGCAGTACGGCTTCTTTGCCTACAGCCGCGCGGATGCCCTCTCGACGCATCAGTCAACCTCTGAAGGCACTGACGCAGGTCGACGGGTAGCTGCAGCACCACCGCCAAACGACGCGACGGTGACAACCTCTCAGCGACTCGAGCGACCAATTGAAAGCGCGGAAACTCGATCCGTCGAGCGGGCCTGGAGCGACGGTGGACAGGTCGAGAGTGTACATGGCCATACAAGCGCACTCTGCCCCGCATTGCAGTGATGCGGACATACCCCGCACGCGGGGCTCGAGGATTCACGTGTGACATGCCATGCACCGTACTTCTCCTTCGCCCAGACGTCCTCAGCGCACGCAACGACCCAAGCCCAAAAAAAAAAGATCCAGCCAAAATGGTAGTACGTACCTGCCGCGTGAAGGTTATTGGGGGCTGGTCGAGACCCTTCTGCTGGGGGTTACCGATGTTGCTGCTGATGACCCTCTTGAACGGGAGCTTGTCTTGGTGCTCCAGCGAGCGGAGCTTTTCGTTGAGCTCGTCAGCCTTGATGGCGAGCTCGCCCCGGACGGCATACTGCACGTTGAGGATGGCCGGGTTGAGGTCGGCGGGAGTCAGGGGCCGCATTTTGCGCGAATGCTGGTGAAGTCGGCGAGAGGAAGATGCAGGACAGGAGCAAGCAGCGCGGGAAATCCTGAGCATCTGAGAACACGACTTTTGATCACGGCGAGGAAGGAGGACAGACGGCGAGGCGCGAGGCGAGGGGAGTCAGGCGGTGAGCGTATTTACACACTCGATCACGGAACACCGCCGACGCGAGCCGCGAGCGAGCGTCCCTCCTGCTTTCCTCGTCAACCTGCGGGACATTCGCGGCAGTCGTTGATCATTGGCGGCGATGCATAGGGCAATGGGCAGCCAGGAAGATCGGCCAGGGATGGAGGTGGTCAGGAGCAAGGTGCGCGCGTCCTGATCGAAGCAGCGACTCGCAGAATACGCTCGAACATCGCCTCTGCCCGCTCCATTCTCCTCCTCCTCTCGCCTTTCTCCCTCTCATCTTCACTTCCGCTTTCCAAATTGCCCGGAAATTATTAGCGACTATGTTCGGGTGCTGTGTGGCCGGCCGCCTTCTCCAAACGAACCTTCAACAAATAGACGAGACACACGCGATGTTCGAGCTGCCTAACGCGAGCACAATCAACCACATCTGTGTATTCTTGCTGGGTACAGGTGCGTATGACTCCCAAATCCCGTAGTGCATGTGTTCTTACGCGTAGGACATGGTCTTCGTTGACCAGTACCTTTCCCGGACGGCTACGGCGCGACCGTCCACCTCCACTGGCCCGGCAAGGGCTTTCAACTCCTAGGCATGTAAGTTCACCTATCCTCCGGTTCTCCTCTATCCCTTCATAAGGCGAACGTCCTCAGGCTCTCCAATGACAAGCCTTCCGCCATCTTCCGCCTCCGCGGCACCTTCTCCTCGCAATCCACAAAGTCCGCTCTCTTCACGAACGGTGCACCAGGCACGTTCGACGCGGCCACACCAGCGGATGTCACAGCCATCCTCGGGATCGCCATCGAGCCCCTCTCGACGATCGAGGCCGAGATGGCTGCGCTCCCCAACGCCGTCGCGCGCCCGGCGAACGCGCAGCCCGACGCGACCCTCCTCGCCGAGCGGATAGTCAAGCATTTGTTCAACTACGTGTCGGGGTTCATGGGCGGCGGGCGAGTTACGCCCGAGAGCGTCGTGCCGATGGCGATGATCGCGAAGTGGTACGAGATTTTCGTGGGGAAGGTGCGGAATACGGGTATCGGGTTTTTGGACAACCAAGAGTAGCGGCACGGGATGAAGGGCAGCTCCGCTGTACACTACGGACTCTATCTAGCGTGGATGGTATGATAGGATTCTCTTGTTGCACGCGTTTGGTCAGCGCTCATTTAGGCTAACCCTTGACTGGTAAGTTGCTTGTAAGCGAGAAGACGCGATAAACAGTCATCTGCAAGTGTAGTCCTCGAGATCAACTGTGAGTGCTTCTCTCCAACCGCGTCGTTTTCACTGATGCACAACCAAACTGTTTCAGATTCAGATTGATCCATGAATGTCACGCATGCCTTAGACTGTGAAAATCGTGCAGGACACTCTACAGCTCGTACTCGCGTACTTACAAGAACACCTGGGACGCAGACTACCTTGACGGTTCGTCCCTCACTCGTCCCCCGCTTGACGATCCGTCCCCTACGTGACCGTCTCGCCTGCGATCGCTCTCAGCCTCACCTTCTGCGCCTGCGCTGCCCTTACTGGACTGTGCTGACGTTGTTCACAACGACGTAGGACTGTGGCCCTATGACAGGGGCCTGACCCCACACCGCCGCACCACCCATCGAGAACCTCACGCCGGCATCGTTCTCCGCACCTCGGATGGTACCGCTTTCCACGTTGACTAGGCCATCAGGAGGCTCGTATCAGCTTTCCTCTGCGATAACTTATGTTCAGTGTTCACCAGGGGCTCCCCAATCATAACCGCCGTGGTACCAGGAGCTGTAGGGTGTGTGACTCCGTTTTGCGGAGCATCAGTCTCACATCTCCAAAGATGCTCTAAACGGAGGCACTCATGGTCTATGCTTTTCCTGGCTGCTATGGTTCGCCGACATCATTCCTATCACTGCAAGAGTGGCCTTCTGAACATGGCAATATGATTGATTTTCCACCGGGATGTGGCAGCATTTGAGCGTATGACGAATGCGGTGCTTTACGGACTCTGTGCGAGCTATGCAGGTGAGTCCATCTTTACCCGATACTACGGTGCTGAGCCGTCTGCCAGACCCGTATTTGCCAGAAGAGGTGAGGATTTGTTCTTGGAGTCGCGCATGCACCACTATCAGCTTGCGAGTACTCCAACGGCTGCATGACATGCAGCGTACGTGCCCCGCGCACTGAACCAGGCTGTGCCATGGTCATAACAGTATCCGTACTCGAGCTCACACTTAGAATGGACGAACGTTGCAAGTAGTGTCAGCAGATCAAGACCGGCCTTCGCCAACTTCGATGTATGAAGCCCAGGTGCCACCGTGGCAAGCGTGAGTCTGTTTATATCACGACCGAGGGAGGTACTGGCTCATCAACATCTATCTTATCAAGGTTCAATGCGAAATTGAAAGACATATGTCTATCTGTGAACGGTCCAGCTCAGAATGGTACAGCAGCTATCTACGCTCGCATGCGCCGTCCGCCTGATCCGTTCAGCGGATAGTCTTGTGGTTCAATGTGGTGACCTTCTCTGTTGAACGATCATTGATATCCCCTATAGAGCAGGTTGAACCTACCGTAGGGTATTCTCGATCCCTGAGCATAAATGTGCCATAGCTCAGCGGACTCGGGCCGGACTCGGGCCCCCGGCATACATCAACTCAGTCTTGTCGGCCCTCACCCGCCCACTGGCATCACATCCCTTCACGCTCGCGCTCCTCATCCGCCCCTTTCTCCACCCCAGCTTCGCTCTACATTGCGTCCCGACGTCCTTCAGCGGTTGTGATTGCCTTTCCCTCAGCCCGGGTCGATATCGTCCTCACCGTCCTATCCCGTCCTCGCCTCGTCTGCGCTAGCCCCGGCGCTGTCAACGTCGTGTCGTGTCGTCGCCTTTCTTCCCCTACACGTCCCTACTCTCTCGCCTCTTCCTGGCATCGGCGTCAATCTACCTCTACCCATCCTATCCTCCACCAAATAACCACATGTCAGACTCGTGCTCAGACTCTACTGCGAGACCGAGCCTGAAAACGGCATCGCCACCCTTCGATGACCCTGACGCGGACCTGATCATCCGCACGTCAGACGGGGTGCACTTTCACGTCTTCAAACTCATCATGAAGCAGGCGTCGCCCGTCTTCCGCGAGACGTTTGCCTTACCCGAGGCTCCAAGACGAGCTCGATCGTGGAGGTCGCCGCAAGCAGCAGGGTGTGGGACTACATCCTCCGGATGCTGTATCCCGTGAACCGCGCGCCGTCTGTGCCAGATCCCGCCGACTACTGGCCACTCCTGGAGGCGGCGAGGGAATACGATATGGCGGGTGTGCGCGAGGCCGTGAAGCATGCCATGATGGACCCAGCAGTGTTGAAGACAGACGCGCTCATGGCCTACGCACTCGCTTGCGCATATGGCCTTCCCGACGCAGCCTGTGCCGCTGCGAAGGCATCCTTCCAGTCGTGGCCCGGTGACGGACGTCCGCCACCGTGCATTCCTGAAATGCGGTGTATGCCTGTCATGGCTTATCATCGGCTTTTGCGGTACCGCTGGGCTTGTGTTGAAGCCGCAACAGCTTGTGCGGAGAGCAGTGACCTCTTCCGATCTAATACTCGTTGGGAAATGAGGCCATCGTTTTCTGCAACTGCGACTAGTCGGGTCAAAAACTCGAAAGTGATCGATTGGCCGGAATGGATCACCGCGTTGCAAATGAAGACTCACGGTAGCTCACTGGGCTGCCCACCAAGCCGCGCCCACGAAGACAGCGGACTTCGGGCCTACATCGATGACTACATAGACAGATCCATAAAGTCACTGCGCGTCGAACCAAGTGGCCAAGTAGTCGCTACGACTGACGCGATTGGGCCCATCCTCAAAGCTGCAAATGTGTGCTTCGACTGCAGGCGGATTGGCTCTGACGCGATCGTTCGATTCGCCAATGTCTACGCGCAGAGAATCGATGCTGCGGTGGCGATGGTATGTAAGCCGGATGAGTTCATCGGTCCTCGTATGTTCACTCATCTGGTTTGCCAGGTTACACTCGAATTTATTCTTGACGGACCGTATACGTCAGCCTGCCTCCACCCCATACCTCATACCATTTCACCGTATAGCCACATGATGGAGTCGTGCTCGGACTCTACTCCGGTATCGCCACCTTTCAACGACCCTGACGCGGACCTGATAATCCGCACGTCGGATGGGGTGGACTTCCGTGTCTACAAGCTCATCATGAAGCAGGCGTCACCCGTCTTCCGCGAGATGTTCACCTTTCCCCGAGGCTCCCAGCTGAACAACTCGGTCGTGGAGGTTGCTGAACGCAGCAGGGTGTGGGACTACATCCTCCGGATGCTGTATCCCGTGGGCCGAGCACCGTCTGCGCCAGATCCCGCCGACTACTGGCCGCTCCTGGAGGCGGCAAAGAAGTACGATATGGCGGGTGTGCGCGAGGCCGTGAAGCATGCCATGATGGTCCCAGCAGTATTGAAGACAGACGCGCTCATGACCTACGCACTCGCTTGTGTCTATGGCCTTCCCGATGCAGCCCGTGCCGCTGCGAAGGCATCCTTCCAGCCATGGCCCGGTGACGGACGTCCACCACTGTGCATTCCTGAAATGCAGTGTATGGCTGTCATGGCTTATCATCGGCTTTCGCGATACCGCTGGGCTTGTGTTGAAGCTGCAACAGCTTGTGCGGAGAGCAGTGACCTCTTCCGATCTGAGACTCGCTGGAACGGGAAATCAAACGTGATTCATTGGCCTGAATGGATCACCGCGTTACAGAAGAGCACTAAATGTGGTGCCCGGTGTCCTCCAAGCCGTGCCCACAAAGACAGCGGACTTCGGGCCTACATCGATGACTACATAGACAGATCCATAAAGTCACTGCGCGTCGAACCAAGTGGCCAAGTAGTCGCTACGACTGACGCGATTGGGCCCATCCTCAAAGCTGCAAATGTGTGCTTCGACTGCAGTCAGAAAATTGGCTCTGACGCGATCGTTCGGTTCGCCAATGTCTACGCGCAGAGAATCGATGCTGCGGTGGCGATGGTATGTAACCCCGGATGAAATCATGAGTCGTGGCTGAGTATGTGTGTTTTCCAGGTCACACTCGAGTTTAGACTTGACGGACCGTAGAGCGGGCATGCTTCTGGTACTATTCAAAGCTCATTGGTGATAATGGAGACAACAAAACAGATATACTGTGTATTGGATATGATTACTTATGGTAGCGGGAAGAAGTGGGATTCAGTTATTCCTTCGTGTGCTTGAAAAGTTCCTGCTCACAAATGCGATAATGTTCTGCGCGAGGATCCACCAATATGACTGCAAGATGAGCTAATCAACGGATCGGTAGGTCGAGTAGTCTGCGTTTGACAGGCTTTGCGTCCGTATCTTGATTGGCCTAGCCGTTCAGATTCCCGGTGGCAAGTCTAGTCTCTGATCAGTGATATGGGCACCTGCCGTACGCGTCTAAGATATGCAGCTGTATACGCGTCAACACGAATACAGAGCAACAGTCCTGCGGTGAACCAGGTCGATCCACTGTGGTCTGAGCTCCCCTAATAAATCCCAGGTCATTCTGTACCTCTGCCTCAATGACTACGCCGCTCGGTCAGTCAATGAACAGGCCTCAATAGAGCAGTAACTTGCCACAAGGTCTAATATGGGTCCGTATTCCAGGCGGCCCAATGCCACAACATTTCAAGTACGTCGGACTCGAGAGCTTGCAGGGTAGGTAGTTACGTCGACTGTCTGGAGAGCAGTCGCTCACCACTGGTAGCTAGCCACGGACGTTCGTAGGGTCAAGACATGCACGCGTCGGCGAGTAGCAATTGACGTACTCGAGCGCAGCGCTGCACGTACATCCGATGTCGATTCATGCCGCCAGTGGGTGAAACGGGGTGGACCCCAACATCGCGCGCGCACAAAGACGAGAGAGAATTATGCTGCTGACCTTCGGCCAAGACACAAAAGAGCGTAGAATTTCGAGAACTGCACGTTCATCACCATCGGGCACGCGATAGATTGGGGATATACGTACATCTGAACACCATGAAATCAGCGTCTTAGCAATATGACATCGCGCTGCGTTCCTTCGTGACAGACTATGATATGCTGCATCCTGATGCTACGCAAGACGAACCCGGGAAATTGAGTGCCATCTTTAGGCCTTATCTTCCTGCTCTTTCCTCCGAAGCAAAAGCCAATCCTTTTGTCTTGTCATACCACAGCACTGGCTGGAACGACCGCAGACGATGGTGCGTATGAAATTTCTCTGTAGCCGCCCACTTCATATCTCGGAACGGAGTCTTCGAAAATAGGAAATGAGGAGCGCACCTGTGATCCATGTTCTTCGCGACGCAATTCGCACGCTTGGAGGCCAAACTCGACGATGTTACAGACTGAGCAAGTTCACTCTCAAATGACAGACTCAAAACTCCCTTGCAGGACCATTGCCGACGAGTACCAATTCGCCCGCATTCCAGGTGTCAGCACAACACAAGGTGATGAAAAAGGCTCGAGCCAAACCTCATTCGGATCGCATGCTCTCGCGGCGTCGCGCAGAGAAACCCAGAACGCCGCGCTATATGGTGTGAGTCTTCTTCATGCTGTTCAGGAAGCCTGAGATGCGCAGCACTGCTCAAACGAGCATAATGGCTCAAGAGGTTGGCCACAGTTATATAAAGCATAGACAAGTCCCGACAGGGCTAGTCACGACCAGATGGGGCTGCGATTCAAGAGGATGAGAATCCCCGACTCCGACCGGAGGGAGAGAGGAGGGCTTTGTCCACCCTAACTTGAGACGATGCCGGCGATGCCGCTCCCTCCGTGGGAAACACGTGACTTGCAGCTCCCATAAACGGTATTGCAGCAATGCTCGAGTGTCCTACGAGGCAGCTCGAGGCAGTTGGATCCTTCCGTGCATCTGGCTGTGTCTGGACGCCTGGATCTCTGACCATCAAACGACTCCTCCCAAATGCAGGAGAGTTTCTCTCATTTTTGATAGCCTGCACTTACAGACTTATGTACTGTGATACATACTGAGTCGTGGAAGCCCGAGACGCCCGGGCGGCGAAGCCGCCGCGGGCGTGAGGGCTTCCAATTGAGTCTCCATACCACTCCGATGGTACAATATTACAATACATGCATAATATACTCTGGTGCCGCTGTGGCAGGCTGAGTAGCTGTGTTCCATGCAGGAGTCGGGGATCGGCGCTTGCGCCGCTACGATTCGAAGTAAATTCGAAGCGAGAGGCGGTGCTGTGCCACGGTCACGTGGGCATGTCGTCCGTCGACGCGATACAGGTAGTCTCCCGTGGGCAGAGTAGACAATTCTTTCAACCTGCGCGCGCTCCGGATATTCTTGTCTAACGTCTGCTTTTGATACCCCCCTGTTGTCTGGAGGTCGGTTTCACATCGCCATCAGCCGCTCGGCACGTCACGACTATGTACAAATACGACGGCACAACGCGCTCTGACGCGTCCGAGGCGCGTCTCGGTCATTATAATCTGTTATTACGCGTTCTGCAATGCAGTCCGCGATGTCGCTGTACACGCCCTCTTTACAGCATCCTCGGTTACTTATGTGTTGATGACATCAAACAGCACCAAGCAGGTGCACTGAATCCAGCGAAAAGTAGATTACACAAAAATATATTCCTGTGAGTGGCTTAGTGAGAGCGCAGGCGAAGACGTGGACACGCGAGTAGGCAGGTACAGAAACGACTGAGTTGCCATACAATGGAGCAGGCTGGTGAGAAGGCAGGCGGGCAGTCGGGTGGCCGAGCTGGCGGGTGGCACAGTAGGTGCGCTGCCAGACGGGCGAGCGTGCAGGCGGAGGAGCCAGGGGATATGTTTGCAGCTAGATGGGCGAGTGCGCGGGCAGATGAGTGGGCGTGCGCGCGGGTGGTCGGGTGCATGGACGCGCGGGGAACCAGGCGCACGGGCGGGCGGCTAGGCCGTTGGGCGCAGGGGTGGGTAAACAACTGTATGGGCGAGCGGGCGAACGTGCGGGAGTGTGTGGATTGGCGGACGGGCATTTGAACGCGCGAGTGGACGCGCGTGCGGGCAGACAGATGAGTCTGCGTGTTAACGGTCGCTAGCAGGGGCGTACTTCGACTTCGAAGCTTCGAATTTACTGTACTTACCTTCGCCGTCCCTTCTTCCTTGGCGATTCCTTCATCCCGTGCATACCACGATCATTGTCGTCTTGTCCCCGAAGCTCGACTTAAGCTGTGATGGCTGATTTCGCGCGGCCGGGCAGCGTGTCGCTAGAGCCGCACAGCGCCAGGAGGTACCGCCTTCTGTCGGTCCAGCAACTGATCTCGGGGCGAGTTAGCTAACAGCTGTGCCAGAGGGCAGAACCATACCGAGGCAAGCGAGAATCCGGCCATATATGTAAGAGGGCATGCCGAGAGGAAGATTCCGCACGAGAACATGCCAGGGAGTGCAGGCGAGACAGTGCGAGTGGGACCGGCCAAAGGCTCGGGTAATAGATGAGGGACCGAACGAACGGCGAGCCCAAACGCGGTGTTCCAGTTACGTCGCTACACACCAAACTCGCTTGATGAACTATCCAGACTGTAAACAGTATCAGGTCGCAGACGGGCGGCGAGGGACAGACCTTTCGTTACTTGTCGCAATCAAGGCGTGAACGTTCGAACTCTTGGCTGAAGAGCATCTTCTCGTATCAAGAAGCGGCAGATAGCGGTGTAAGTTGGTATTGTCGAGCTGACGAGGAGCAGCGCACAAGACGACGAGCTAGTGCGCGACTGAAGCAACTGCACGCAGAGGCACCCGCCACAAGCTCGGCCACGCACTTGAGGCTCCGCCGGCGATCCACAGCGCACATTCAGACTGCGACTGAAAATACCGACCTGTCGACAAGGGAGCGCGTCGAAAAGTAGACTAGATACAGGCTGTTTGCTGAGCTGCTCCGTTCCGCAGAGTTCTGGGACTAGTGGCACTGGAAGTGGGCACGTTTGCTACCAAAATGGGCTGCTCGCCGGCACTCTCTGCATCTTCTTCACTCCATCTGTACTAACGTCTTTGGGACGGTGGCTTATGCTCCTTTACACGAGGCAGTCGACGCGGCTACTACCAACCGCGCATTCACCTCCCACAGGTCACTATCCCACTGCTTTTCCTGTCGTGTCAGCTTTTCCAGCGGTATCAGAGCTGTTCTCGCGATGCTCCGTGCAATGTGGCCACACATCTCCGGTACTATCGGGGCACTGCCCTCGGTCGCTCGACGCGTTAAATTCGCCACTTGGGCGGCGATGCGTAGCGGCCCGCGATCCGTATCTAGGCGTGCTGTGTCCGGGTGGCGGTGACACCGAGTATATGAGGAGGAGGCAAGTGGTTAGAGGCCCGTCATTCCTCCCGCCATCTTCGTTGTTACCCATGGTGTTGTACACAAACACAGCGAGATCATTGACCGTCCTCGTGTCGCAATAACATACGCTTGAGCGTCACGGGCGCACGAGAGTGCCCGCACTCTCCGTCTGGGACGCCTCGCTTCTCTAACCTACTCATTTACCTGCTCAACCCATCGAGTCACCCACCTTTTGCCCGTCCTTATATCCTCAACTTCTTCCTGAAAGCTGAGAAGACATAGTTTGCATCGACGTCTGATACGTTTACGAGTGGACTTGCTCATTACCTCTTAGGTCTTCGTCGGTAACAAGAAATACGCATGGTGCGACAGCCAATGATCACTCGTGCGCATACGAATCTAACCCCTGCTGCGATGTAGCGAGACGTGCATCAAAGGCCACCGCTCGTCCACATGTAAGCACACAGACCGCCCGCTGTACGAGATCAAGAAAAAGGGCCGCCCGGCGACGCAATGCGAGCACTGCCGTGAGCTCCGCAAAACCAAGCAGCTGCACGTCAAGTGCATGTGCGCGTCCAAAATCGACAACGCGCCCGACGCCGCGGGGCCATCGACTATGAGAAAAGGTGATTTCCCGTAACATAGCAGGCGCCTTGACGTGAGACTGATCGTCAAGGCCCATCGCTCTTTGTACGTTTTAGGTGCCTCGAAGGTGCCGGCGAGCGCCGCGTTTCCCAGCGGGCTATCCCCCGAAGCGCTGGAAATGTTGGTCGCATTGTCGGACGGCTCAGATTCCGAGCTCAGTATGTGCCGTCGTCGTACGGTGTCGTTGATCGCATAGTACAACTGATACGCTGCAGGCCATGTTCCCTGCGAATGTGATCACAGCGGACCGTGCAACTGCACGACTCCCCGCGCACCACGCAACAAGGGCAAAACCCGGGCGCGACCCCTTCACGGAAACGCGGAACAGGACTCGTCCTCGAAAAGTTCAAGGGAGCCACCAGTTGCTGGGCCCGCCGGGATCGTCGCGTCGGCGCACGCAGCAGGACACCGCCCAGTTCTACCTCGGCCGCCCCCGCCAGAACCCTCAGTATCGTTCCGGACTGCGCATGTCCCCTCCGCGATTCCTTCCCATCTGCCTGGCGGGCGCCGGACGTCCCACGACCAACACTACAGCCCTTACGGCAGGGCGTACGAAGAGACATACACAAGCGATCAATGCGGCAGCCAATCCGTGACTTACCAGAGCACAATCTCGCCTACCAACGAACCCTCCGACCCCACTGCGGCCCTCCCGGACTTCCAACCGTGGCCGGCGTTCAGCTCACCGTCGCCGAGTGCGTCCCCGTTCGCAAACATTTCCCTCTGCGGCTGCGGTCCCACTTGCGCATGCCTTGGCTGCTTCGAGCACCGCGGGCGCGACGTGCTCCCGGGCGCGACATGCGCCAACCCAAACACTTGTATCGCCTGTCTTGAATGCGCAATGCTCGCGATCCCGCCTGAAGTACCTGGCATGACATACGAGGACACCCAGGCGCAGAATGTAGACGAGTGGTTGCGCCAGATGACCGTTGCTGAGCCGCAGATGCAGCCCCAGTCCGAGGCGGCGATGCCAACTCAGCCCGTGCTACAATCCACGCCGTCGTCCATGCTAGGTATGCGACGACAAACTGCGAATCCATCATTCTCACCACAACCCTCTGGCCCCGTGCACCGGGCTGAAGCCGTTGTGCCCTATGACCCGACGCTCCTGCAAACGTACGCGCTTTGGAACGACTTGCACGACGCCCGCACGCGCTCGCGGCCTGTGCAGGGCGAGTGGGACGAGCTTGCCCAGGCGGAGACGGGATGCTGCGGCGGTCGGTGCCAGTGCCCGCCAGGTTTGTGCTCGTGTCCAAGGGAGTGCTGTGGGTGTTGTCAGGGGTGCGCATGTGAGGGCCACTTGTGCCAGCATGGCGCAGGGGTCGGAGAGGGCGGAAGACTCACGTTCGCGGTGAGTGGAGAGCGTGGCGGCTGTTGCGTCCCGCCATCGCGAGCCACCGCTTCCTCGTCTGTGCTGGGTCGTAGACAGGGTGGGACCATAGCGCAGCCGCAGCCTGTCACGGACGCGTGGATGATGCAACTTGAAGGCGCGAACGTACCTGGTACGAGCGGTGTTGTTGACTGGAATGTGCAGGCGCAGACACTCACTGTATCCAGGGTAAACCTCAGCCGTGCGTCGTCGCAGTCGTCGCAGTCGTCTGCAGGCCTCTCGCACTCGTCGACATCGTCATCCTCAGATCCGTGCTTGGAATACCGAGTCCTCTGAGCGCGTCCGGGAGTTGCTGCTCGAGCCGGTGATTCAGAAGTGAATGGTATGTGTGTAGTTGTGGAACAAAAGTGCTACCACCTCGGTAGAGACCCGCTGTGGACAATGCGGACTTCCTGATGGCGTGGGATGTAGATGTAGTCATGCAGGTCTTGTATACAAGTCATGATCTTGCAATTGTCGCTACTGCGTGGCTTGACCTCGATGGCGTGACGCCAGTCGTGCTCGTTGCCATCGTCTTCTTATGCTGCTATGCGGGACTGTCAGACTAGCGAGTCGATCTCAAGACATCCACACCTTCAACCCGAGGCCCATCTTGCATCTTGCATACATCAACCTGATTGATTCCCAAGTTATTTAAGATGTTACCAGATCGACGAGACACGGTGTCACTCCCTGTCACTCCGTGTGGACAGATATAGGGCGGGAAGATCTTCGGATTGGTAATCATCTAGCCCTTCGAGTGCGAAGTACCCTGGGGAGCATCACGCGCAGGGAGTGATGGACCTGCCGCTGCTCACAGATATCGTCTATGCTCGTATCTTCCAGTCGGGTAGTCCCAACCAGTCTGACCGCCGTACGCTCATGGTGAGTTCCACTGGGAACACAAACCAAGTGTATTCTGCCCTCCTGATCAAAGAACGACGCGTCATCGTTCAATCTAATGCAAGCCGTTGTCTGCTCAACGTACGAATCAGCATAAAGTCTCCATGCAGTGCCCATATGATAAGACCGCACCCGTTACACTGCCTCGGACAAGACTGTGAGCCCTTGAATCTTCCAACTCTAAGCTGTACAAGTCAAGTGTCTTCCGTCTGCCCCTGTTCCAACGCACTGATCGCGTCCTCCCATACCCTACCAATGTGGTTGCCATATATCCAAGACATGTCGCTCCCGCCGTCCTTGATGATCTTGACCCTAACGCGATCGTCATAAGACGGCGATTCCCCGAGCTCCGCCAGCTTCGCGGCGCGCTGCGCGGCCTGGCCCTGGAGATGCGCGTACATGCGCGCGTAGTACGGGAGGCGGATGCGGTCGAACAGGGGGAGCGCGCGGTGGACGTCGTTCCGGTAGTGCCGCAGCGCCTGCGCGAGCACCCAGCCGTCCTCCATGGCGAAGCCCGCGCCCGAGCCGAACGCGCCGGACAGCGCGTGCGACGAGTCGCCGACGAGGACGACCTTGTCGTCCCACGCGGTGAGCTTCGACAGCTCCGGGCCCGCGAAGGCCGCGAACTCCCTCCAGTCGCCCTCCTTCACCCAGCTGATCACCTCGCGGATCTGTGGGAGGTACTCCTATCGCCAGATCAGCATGAGACGGACAAGCTCTGACAGGGGAAGCCTACCTCGAAGTGAGACTCGACGTACGCGTTTCCGACTGGGACGCCCCAGCTGACCTTGTCGGCGCTGTGCACAGCAGGGTCTTGCCAGCTCCGCGCGGCGATCTCACCAAGGCCTTCTCCAACGGGAGAGAACCAGACGTGGGACGTAGGACCGTGCCACCATGCGGTCGTGGCGAAGCGAGGGTCCTGCTTCACGACGTCGTCCCATGGCAAAAGCGCTCTCCAGATGGTGGTACCGGTGAACTTGATCTCGTAGTCAGGCCACGCGGCATCCCGGACCACCTGCAGTCGTTATGTCAAGACGGATGGCGGGGATTACAGATAATGGCAAAATGCGACTCACCGAGCGAATGCCGTCTGCACCAACGACCAGATCGGCTGTGGCCACTGTACCGTCTTTGAAGTGCAGTTCCACACCGTCGTTGCCTATGTCCACGATGCGAGTGAGCTTCTTCGAGAGCTCGATGACACCAGGCGGGACATGTGCGAGAAGGGCCGACTGCAGCTTCGTCCGCTGGGTGCGAATTTGTGGGCGTTTCACAGGGGCGGTCTTCACCTGCCGGTGTATTTCTTCCCCAGTCTTGCCATTTCTTGCGGCATACATGCGTCAGCAATCAGCTGCGTTAAAAGTAGCAGCGTAGCTCACAGGTTCCCGACGACATCAGTGACATGGCCGCTGGTGAGCGTGTCGGCCACTCCGAGCAGCTCGAGGACGTTCCAGGTATTCTGCCCAATGCTGATACCAGCCCCGACCTCTCGCAGGAGACTTGCCTGCTCGTAGACCTTCACTTCCACATTTGGTATATTTGACAAGGCGATAGCCGTCGCGAGTCCGCCGGGACCTCCACCGACGACAGCGACTCGGAGCAACCCGAGCGACGTTTCGATAGTCATCCTGGAGCACAGATAATACGTCTCCTATGGATATGCTCGCTGGCGTACTGGTCAGTCGACGTCTTGGCATCGTCGCAGGAAGACTGCTGATATGTACTGTATTTCAAGAGCGGCTACGCGTCAGATCTCGACTGGATGGCGTGCGAGGACCCTCTATCATGTCGAGCCAGCAGTATCTTGTGGTTCTCTATCACGCAACGCCACTATTACTCTGTTGCTGATAGTGAGAGTGGTATGCTCCGGTCGCAATTCAAGTACCTACCAACAAAGCGTCGCGCGAGTGAGCAACGCGATCGACGAATCGAGGCCGCTGGGAGAGACGTACATCTTCCACCTCTCAGGATTGCCAAAGTTTGTAGAATGCTATATAATCTGGCTCTTGAAATTTAGAAAGGCGGGCATTTAGACGCAGACTGGATATCAATCAGAGAGCATAGGAGCGGAGTGTTATGTAGTAGCAAATACATACTCTGTCAGCAGGATGACTGCGAGGATCGAGGTGGGCGTGAGAGCCAGCGGCCGAGCGCCTTCCTAACTTGGTTCAAAAAACATCCACGCTTTGCGCGCGCATCTCATCTCCGCCCACATATCGTCGCCCGCCCGCTACGTGCTGCTGCGTACACGTATCAGTACTGGGTTGTTCTGTACTCCAAACGACATGACGGATTCGACTCTACCGGATGCACCCACTTTCCTGACCGCCTCGCCGCCCTTTGACAATCCTGATGCAGACATGATCATCAGGACGTCCGACCACGTCGATTTCCGCGTGCACAAGTTCATCCTCAGAGAGGTCTCCCCCATCTTCGCGGATATGATGTCCTTACCGCCGACGCGCGACTCGTCTGGTGTGGTCGATGTCACCGAAGACAGCGTCGTATGGGACCATATCCTCCGCATGTGCTACCCCTTCGCCCGACCAGCTGCGATCGCGCCTGATCGCTTCTGGCCGTTGCTAGAGGCCGCCAAGAAGTACGCCATGCAAGGTGTCCGCGAGACGGCGGGGCGAGAGATGTTGGCTTCCACGATGCTAGAGCAAGCGCCTCTACGAGTCTATGCGCTCGCATGTGGCTATGGACTCCATGATGTCGCCATCGCAGCGGCCAGGGCCAGCCTGCGTCAACCACTTGACGAGGACACCTTGGTCCCGGAGCTGCGCTGCGTGACGTCGGCTGCCTATTTCAACTTGCTCCAGTACCGTCGCAACTGTGTCAAGGCAGCTACAGCCTTCGTGGACGACTGCAAGGGGTCCAAGGGGTTCTGGCGTGAGGGCTGGGGAAACTACACGTGTGGCTGGGCTATATCGCCTCCCAACACTGAACCTAAACACGACCCACGGTGTTTTAACTCTGCGGCGAAGATAAAGACGTACAAATTATACCAACCTACAGGCTCGAAGCAGATACATGTGATCCTTTGTCCAGCTCGCCGCGTTTTCGAAGATTACATCACGCGTTCCGCAGAGGCACTTGAGGCCACCCCTCACGGTGCCGTCGTACTCGATCCACACATAATCGCCGCTACTGTACAGCAAGCCTCGATCTGCGCAGTCTGTAGAACCAACGAGCAGGCGGACCAGATTGTTCGGTTCATCAAGTTTCATGCATCCGACATCGATGCCGCCGTAGCCAAGGTGAGCAGGCGTCGGACATGATGTCCACCTACTATAGGCTAACTGCTCTCTGTAACGCAGGTGGAACTTAAGATAGAGGCGTGAAAAATGGGCGCACTCTGACTCCACGATAGGTCGCAGGTTGAGTCGAACACAGAACGCGCAAGGCCTCTTTCAGTTTCGAGATTGTTATATGCTTGGGCACGGTCAGTCTGTTTGAATGGTTGTACGAGTATGTACGAGTGCCCGTTTGATTTGTGTAACAGTTGGTGGTATTTCAGAAACTCGATCCAGTGTCTCCATGTATGCTGTATACGACGGTAGGACCGTACAGATACCAGCTGTCGCGATGTAGATGTCATTAGTAGGGCCACCATCGGCAGACCACAGTACCAGTCCTCCTGATATCATCGTGACTATGTATCCCTTCTAGTTCTACCCAGCGCATCATCTCTGGCGATACCATTGTCGCATGAAAGTGCAAGCTCTTGTCCGTATACGCTATGGCGCCTGCAGAACTGAATAAACATTGTCACATTGTAGGTTGACGTGAAGCCGACTGTAATCATCTTTCAGTCCGGACTCCGGGGGTTCTGCTCTTGTCGCTGACCATCAGGGGTGTCGTCTCATCAAAGAAAGATACCATGTGTTCATGCACTGTCAGTTCGCGACAGTGATCGTTCGCCACGGAATATTATCCTGTAAGCAACACGACCCACAGACTATGTCATGTCCTTGGGTGCAACGCCACAACGAGTGCGCCGTTCAAAACGCCCTCACCCTTCCTCTGCACCCACCGCCCGAATCGCATCTCATGCCCCACCCCTGCAACGAGCAACACCGTCTTCGCCTGGGCGTGGCCACGGGCCTTAATTGACGGCTTGTCCGTATCTTCCGCAGAGCGTGCCCAAGTGGCGCCGGCATGGAAATCTGGCGCGGGCGTGCAGAACTGGATGGAGTTGACGACGCCGGGGGCGGGGATCGTGCCCAACAGGGCAAACGACTTGAGCTTCGCGTCGAGCTTCCAGAGGCGGACCGAGCCGTCCCACGAACCTGCACGTCGTTCGTGAATACTTCATGACCAACGGGAAGTGGAAGTGAACGAACCGGAGGCGAAGAGATCCGAGTACCGCAGGGCCCCGATCGCAGTCACCCAGCGCGGCTTGCGGACCGTGGGCATGTCCTCCGTGTCGACGTGTGCCTCGTCAATCCCGTGCGCGAGCGCCTGCGTGAAGACAGGCTTCTTCTTTTGCGTGGTCCATAGGGATAAAGACCTGTAGATCGAGGGGTGCACTGGTCAGGTCGGTCAGTTGCACAGAGGACACGGATTCGCGCACCCGCTATCGCCGCCGCTCACGAAGGTGACCTCGTCAATCATGGCGATGCACTCGATGCTCCCCTCGACGAACTTCGTCTGCTGCCCCTTCACCTCGCGCCGTTTCCTCCGCCCTTCCCCCTCCTCGTCCTCACCATCGACGTCCATCCCATCCAGGTCGTCCCTCCATTTGCTCCCACCCCCGCCGCGGAAGACGAGCTGCGTCTCCTCCGGGATCTTCCAGAACCGCACCGTCTTGTCGCGCCCGCCCGCGCTGACCGCGGTCTCGCTCCGGAGCGCGTCGAGCGCGAGCACCGGGGCCTGGTGCCCGAAGAGCGTCTCCACGTAGCCCATCGAGGTGAGGTCGAACAACTTAAGCGTCCTGTCGAACGAGCCGGAATAGAGTTGTGTGGATGTGGTAGCGTTCGGCTGTACTTTCCGGAAGGCGAGTGCCTGTGGGAAGGGTTAGGAGAGAGCGCAGAGCAGAAAAGGCAGACGTACAGAGATGTGATCTCGGTGCCCTGTGAAGCCCTTCACCCACTCGTTCTTCTCAACGTCCCATACACCGACCCGTCGGTCCTTCCCACCGCTTGCGAGGTATCGTCCGTCTGGACTCACGGCGAGAGCCCATACCTCGTCTGTGTGTCCCGACACGTCCTTGCCCTTGCCCTTGTCGGGTCTGCACTTAAGGAATGTGTGTACTTTGCGCCCGGTGTGCAGGTCCCACTTGATGATAGCGCCCTCCTTGCCCGAAGTAAACAACCACCGTGCGGACGGAGACGCAACAGCCCCTGTGACGGAGAAGCGGTGACCGCGCGTTCGTATTGACGGAGCGTCCTCAATCTGGTACTGCGTGACCGTCAGTGGCAAGAACCATATGATAGGGTAGTGTATGACGCACGCTATCTGCTACAAACAGATGTACTTTGCCCGAGTGCTCGAGGACGTCTTGCTTGAGTCGCGTCGAGATGAGTTCGCGGTCGATCTCCGCCGCATCGACCTCTCCCTCCGCTGAAAGTGCAGCATGAGATTCCGGGAGGAAGGGATGGGCACTGTACACGCACCTAGCCCAAGACCCTGCTTCACTCCGTCGAGATACATCTTCGCAAGCCGCAGCCGCTTCTCTGCAGGAGTCTCCTCTTCGTCTTCCTCACCGCTCTCGTACGCGTCCGGGTCGACGTCCGGTGCGCGCAGGTCCATCTCGTCAATCCCACCAACGTCGTCCGAGTCATGGGTCTCGTCCGACAGCTCTTCATCCCTCCGCTTCTTGGGTGTGGGGGCGGCGCCGGGCTTTTGTTTGCTTCGCTTGTTGGGAACGCTGCGTCCGGGTTGTCGGGAGGAAGAGGCGGTGGCATCTTGCGACCGTTTGCGTTTGCGCGTCTTGGGTGCTGCAAAGAAGGAGTCTGGCATTTTTGTCGGGTGTTACCCCGAGGGCGAGGGTCGCAAGGATTAGCGAAGGGCGTGGTGGATGCGCGAGCGTACAATACGAAGCTGCGCTGGTGGCGGAGCCTCAGCAACTTTTTCGCTCAGGCGCCCATGATCGGACCACGTGGAGTAGGTATCGCTGACTTGTACGAGTTTGTCAGCACTCAAGAGCTCTGTTGAAACGCACATTCATGCACTCAAGAGCTCCTACTTCGTCCATAAAACAGTCAAATACAAATCTACACTTTATATGGTACATGAACCACGCTATCGTAGACATAAAAAACTAGCATCTCGTATTCTGTGTCGTGAACAAGACATTTCCTAGCAACGTATAGTAGTACAAGTAAATTGTAATCTTGAACACTCCGAAGCTGCGATTCATGCATAGTAGCCTTCAGTTATGATATGCCGTCTCGAGCTTCTCCTTTGCCTCAGCATATTGATATTCGTCGACGAGCATCTCGTCATTGAGAGTCTCGAGGGACTCCATGACCCAGTCCTGGCAGGTCCAAGTGACGATGTCGTTCCTCATAGGTTGCCGCCTCAGGCACTCCTTGACCTCGGCGATGGCACGCTCACCATCGATTTCGCAGACGAGAATTTCTTCGCGGAAACGCTGCGACTGCATCGGGTTCGCCTCTACGACGTCAAGGGCGAGCGCGCCAGGCTCGCCGTTGGCTTGATAGATGAAGTGCTGCTTCGACTCATTACCGCCGAGAATATGCAGATGGAGGGCCCAATGGGCCTTCGAGTGGGCCAGTGGCCTGTACCTGACGACCGAAAGCTCTGCGTGGACCATCTGCGCAGTGAGAAAACCTAGTCAGTCGGGCCGAACGGAGGCTTGCACAAAGCTGTAGCAAACTCGAGAGGGGCTCTGCGATTTTTCGTTGTGGCGTCGCGGGTTACTGAGTGCCAGTGGGCTGTTTGGTATCGCCCTTTTAAATGTCCTGCTCCTGCGACCGCACGCCTTCCCAGACAAGCTATGGTCTCGCCACGCTCTTTCGAGTCATGGATCACGACTATACTTGGAAGGAACGCAAACCCTTTGAGGAATAGCTCCACGGCAATTGTATAATCCAAGGTACAGGTTCATACCACTCACCTGAGTTTGTCATCTGCCGGGGACAGCGGCAGGAGTCACTTCGTGTCAAGACGTTCTCAGGACTCGCCGAGGAGGACGAGCTGATGAACGGCGCTGATCCCTAGCTGAAACTTCGTAGTCTAGACATGTATAGCAAATAGATAGACTTGTCGTACCAGTACGCCACTGCAACATGTTGTCTTCGCATTGGCACCGTCCTTGTTTTCCATGCCGTCGAGCGGTCTGCAGTGATGCCGCTCATCAGAAGCCAAATACAAGCCCATACTTCTTGTTCATCGATGACTTCGACTATTATATGCGCTGACAAGAAAATGGTATAGCGCGAGATGCTAGTACACCACAGTGGACTCGATGACACGGTCCAAAACGACCTCGCGATCGTAACCCAAAATCGACGGAGGTAAAAAGTCCCACCAATCGCTCTCGTCCTGGATGGAACGCGTGTTTAACGCCTTGAGGTGCTCCCAATACTCCGGGTAAAAGCCACTAGACTCCCAGTCGATGATCCCAGATAGCTCGACGCCACCGTCCGGTCCATCGACCACCATCACATTCCCCTGATGCAGATCCGCGTGGGTGAACACGATGCGGTGATCATCGCTTAGCATCGAGCGGAGCCATCTCTTGTAGTTAGGTGCCGCCCGGCAGGACCGTGACTCTAGGAGGAAGTCGTTGAACTGCGCTTCGGAATACAGGGACGACGCGCTGACTCGATCGTCTCTGCGGACATCCTTGCAGAGCCGGCGACCGACAGGAGAGCCGAGTGGGGCGCCACACGGAGATTCCAGTTGGCGGAAAGTGGCGACGGTCTCATCTAGAAGATCACGAATGCGCAGCTTTGTCTCCGCAGACAGCGAGGGCCAACGCTTCTCCAGTGTGGTGCCGGGTACGAGGGTCATGAACATGAAGGACGTTGACCCCACGGTTACCAATCCGAGAGCACGCGGTGCTGCGATGCTCGGGAAATGCTCTTCCACGAACTGTAGAACCCCGTGCTCGTCGTGATTGAAGTACTGTGACTGGGCAACCTTCACAACCACGTTCTCGCCAATCTGGATTACGGCGCGAACAGAATGTTCCCAGAGGAGTGTGCCAGACAGTGCATGCCCAACAATAGTCGCTGAGAGATCAGATACAGACGCATCCCAAATCTCGAGAAGTTGGCAGACTACGGGGGAGAGCGGGTAGATTATGGAGTGTGGCAGGGGGCACGGGAAAGGGAAATGGATTGAAGGCAGCGGCGCTAGGCAGCCGGCTGAAATCTGTCGAGATGCAGCTGGTCTGGGCTTCGAAGTTGATGCAAGGTATTCAAGCACACGAGGAGGAGCTTTGTCTGGCTCCCCCGCTTGCAAAGGCACCAGTGGCTCACTGCTTTCTGCCGCGAGAGTGAATGTTAGGATTGGGCGGAGTGAACAGTATACTCACCTGTCCGTCGCTTTGCTTCTCGCGCCTCGATTGAACGGCGTATTTTAGCGTATGAGGTACATAGCTTGCTCAATGTAGCTTCTAGATCAGCTGCGGGGTCGTCCTCTAGGGCCCTGTTGATGTGTGCCAGCACAGTGACATTGAGATGACTGTAGCGACGCTCGGCCATGGGAAGACTGATTGAGAACGATGTCAAAAGACCGAAGGGAGCTGATAAGCCGTAGAAAATACGTGCCGGTACACTGTGCCACGGTACTACTAGTACTGCATACGTTCGTGGTACAAAGCCAAGTTTGCGTGACCGTGTTCAGGGAACCTCGGTGTCAGTGGCGGTCACAACACGTATACGTAAGCTGTCGTCCGGATTCAGGTCAGCACGTGCGCACAAGTTGAATATGGCAACCGGCGTCGTCGTTCTAACTTTCCTTCATGATCATTTGCACTGGCAGGCTGCTCTTTGCAAATCATAACATTTGCTTATGGCCCCCGATAAGCGCAAATGCGTTCTCTCGAGTGAAGTCGTACGCTCAGGCTCGCTGCAGCCGGGTGCCAGGGCGTACGCGGAGCATGACGGACCACACCTCGACGGAGAAATTGGACGATCCGAGTACCATCCAGACTACGATGACGCCAAGTCGGTAGATCAGTCTAATAAGAGAATGAAAGTGCAAAATTGTCTATCCGTGGAACGAGACAAAACGCCCCCGCCACAAGTGCCTCCTAGCATTTCTCGTTCGTCCGAAACCTATCTCATACGGACGCTACTCACGCGGCCACCTACGGCAGGATATGTCCCAATAGTGTGCGCGGGCTCTCACTGGTGTGATCGATCGGCTCTCGAGAACGTCGTCGTCTTGTGAGTCCTAGTCATCCTTCATTCAAGCTAGTGTGCCGAGCTGTCACACGCAGTAGTACTAGAGCTCACCCTAACTTGCACTCCAGCGGCGACTCGTACAGTAAATCGGATGATGGAAGAACATGGGTATGGTGTTAGCCAGTGGTCCTCTGCTGCTGCTGATACTATACCAGGTCGGCCATCTGGGGAAGCGACTTCAGAGACGAGACGCACCGATCAGGATACACAACTTCGCTTTTCCTGGCGCGACCGCTGAGTATGACTTCTCAACCCAATTTTCAAGCTTCTTCGACCTCTGTCCACCGAAGAAAGATATTTACAGTGGGATACCTACACTTGATCCGGAGAAGACCGTATATTGTTCGTGTTCTCATGCGCTTTGTATGGCCAGCACACTGACGCGCATGTAAAGTCCTGTTCTTAGGTATTAATGACTGCGGAAATTCCGAACCCGATGATCTGGAGTCCATTGTGGAGACGCTATTCGACGGCGTTCACGATCTATACATCAAAGCCAGGGCTCGGAACTTTGTCTTCATCGACGTCCCACCTACTGATCGTTCGCCGCAAGGTGCAGTCATTCGAATTGCCCTTCCCTACTTCGCTAACATCTGACTCGTAGCGATTGACTGTGAGACCTCAGACGAGGCAGAAGAACGTGTCAGGACGTGGAATGATGCGCTGCTGGCACAGACAACCGAGTTTGGGACTAGCACCGAGCAGGCGACAACACTCCTGTTCTCGTCACATCGAGTGCTGACTGAGGTGCTGGACGACCCGTGCGAGTTCGACTTCACCGAAGACGACGCGACGGCCGAGGGTGGTGGGATCTGGACGGACGGATTGCACCTCTCAACGCATGTACATGATATTCTTGCGGAGCGACTGATGGCATCCGTATTCCCGCCATAGTGTGCAATTGCAGGGAGCTTCTTCGATGCTCGGCGTGGTGTCCTGAATGCCATATCAATGGAAAGAATGGCGGTTGCATCATGCACTCACGTCCTGGTAACAAAACCAAGCTCGAGCACCGTTGTACAAGTACTCAGTACTCACTTGAAACGAGCTTGTCATGGTACATATTTTTTTCCAAGAGTCATACAGATACCACTCCGAGAAACTGTATTCCTGTGATACCGCTCCTTCAGGACTCCACAACGAGTACTACCTGTGGAAGAAACCCCGTCAGGGAGCAAGTACTTTCAAAACCTTGCTGACTTACCTTCGCGATAGCCGCATCTATCTGGGCTGCATGGAATTTAATGAAATGACTGATTTCACTGGCATCACTATCTTTTCTACATATGCTGCATAACGCAGCTGCTTGCACCGTAGTGGCGATGAGGACTGGGTCCAAGACTGCGTCGCCGTGAGGGTGAGCTTTGAGTCTTTCAGTAGACTGGGCCATGTAGTCGTCAAACGTGCTGCGGTATGATGTGTATTTCGTGACATATGCGGTTCCTTGGGCACAATCTGCATGATGGTGCTGTTCAGGTACTCCCGGGCCGGGTCCGGATCGGCGCACGATCCAATCTGGCACTTCCTCCGATACCATCCCGTCCCATCTATTGTTAAGGAGGAACCGTTCGTCCTCCGCAATGGATATGGCCGCCTTCACGCACTCCTGACGGTATTGCAGCAGGTTGAAGTAGGCGGCTGATGTCGCAGAGCGCAGCTCGGGTACAGATGACCTCGCCTCGAGTGTCTGGCGAAGACTAACCCTGGCCGCTGCAGCAGCGACGTCATTGAATCCGTAGCTGCATGCGAGCATGTAGACGCGCAGCGTCTCTTGCTCTAGCATGCGGGGTGTAGACATTTCCTTCACCACGGTGTTGCGCACACAGGCCATATCGTACTTCTTGGCAGCCTCGAGTAACGGCCAGAGCTGATCCGGGACGATCGCAGGTAGTACGGTGGGATAGCAGATGCGAAGGATGCAATCCCACACAACACTGCTCTCTGTGACCTCAACTACCCTTGAGTCAGTGTCGGGAGCCGTCGGCAAGGCCGCCATGTCGGCGAAGACCGAGGAGGCATGTGTGAGTATTATCTTGTAGACGTGGAAATCGACATGGTCCAGCGTGCGGATGATCAGATCAGCGTCGGGATTGTCGAACGGCGGTGAAGCGACCGTGACTTGAGCAGCGGATGAAGTGCCGTCTTCTGCTGCGTCAGTCATGTTGTCAATATCGTCGAAGTGCTATCGTTTGAGGCGTGGTGCGCAAGCGATGTGGCTCTTTTGTCACTGTATATACGCAATGAAAGATGAGCCAAGAATGAAAGTAGACAAGCACCGAGACTACCTTGGACGGACTCAGGGGAGGACTCGGACGCTCGAGTCGTCTTGCTAGTACGTCAATCGGCCCGTAGATGGTCAGCTATATTTTTGTATGTCAATGCGATGCATATGGAGTCTATAACTGAAGTATACGGCAAAGGTGACGGGGCATCCTCACCTTACTCAGGCTACTCTGATAGTAGTCTCGTAAAAAACCACTTCCGAATTCGAAGGAATACAGCCGCATGTCACGTGCGTAGTGTTGACAGATCGAGATCGTATTGTGGCGCCCGCGGCCCAGCCGTTCGAACTTGAACGCGGTTTGGTTGAGTTGCTCTGCTCAAGCCTTCCTCGAGCTTACGACTCGGACGTTCTCGTACTGCCTCAAAATTGAGTGAACGCTATCTGATGCTGGAACAAAACACAATTCGGGGTCTTCCAGTGTCAGCTCAGGTGCTGTTGACTTCGCCGACTTCCCTATAAGCACCATGAACTTCGCCTGAAGAACAGTAGGCTCGCTGGGTCCGTCAAATCTTATGCATCCCAGTCAGGTGCAGCGGTATGTAACGACTAAGCCCCGAGTAATCTACAACGCTAGTTGACCCTTGGACTCGCAGGCGTTGCTCGCTATCGACGTCTGACACACAGGGGTCGCAGGAACACTGGTAGACGCTCTCGGGTGGTCAGTGCGGCCGTATTGGCACGACGAGACTGAAGCTATCAAGCGAGAACTCAAGTAATTCATGGCTGTACGCGTCCAACGTGCGAAGCTAGGACGAGCGCGATGGATGGCGCAGATCGCCTTCAATGAGCGTATGTATCGAGGACTCGGCCCACAATGAATGTCCGATGTGGTCATGAGACCACGCAAGCATGTATACTTGGAACAGAGATAACTCACACAGTACAGCAATCTACCGCCTGTCGTACGTCACTCTGCCGCTCCGGATACGGCTGCTCATCGATTGCACACTGACAAAATGGAAGTGCGCGGTTAGGACGCCCACTGTATTGCCGCACCCATATCTACTGCTGCAGTGACTCCTTGGCTCGACTTGCGCACCGACTCCGTCATGGATACGCAGTCCCCTGTGCGTCGATCTGCCTCATCGCCTTTCGATAATGAAAGCGCGGACCTGATCATTCGGACGTCCGATCACGTCGAGTTCCGCGTCTCCAAGTTGATTCTCAGGGAGGCCTCGCCAATCTTCGCAGACATGTTCACACTACCCGTGGCAGCGACACCCGAGGCCGACACGGGTGTAGTTGATGTCGTCGAGAAGAGTACCATCTGGGACTACATTCTCCGTGTCTGCTACCCCGGACCCGTCCCGTCGTCGACTACCATCACTCCCGATCAGCTCTGGCCGCTGCTCGAAGCGGTCGCGAAGTACAACATGAAATGCGTCCACGATGCCGTCTGCCAGGTCATGTCGACTCCCCACATGCTGGAGGAAGAGGCTCTGCGAGTCTACCTGCTCGCATGCGGGTACGGATTTCGCGACGTCGCCATCGCCGCAGCCAGAGCCTGTCTCCGCCGGCCAGCCGACGAGAGAACGTTCATACCGGAGATGCGTTGCGCGACAGCCGCCGCATACGTCAGACTGCTCCAGTACCGTGGCGACTGCGTCGATACGGCCACCGCTTTTGCACAGGATCCCAAGTTGTTCCTACGCTCTAGCTGGAAGGAGCACATAGGGAGCTGGGCTACAGTTCAGTCGATATCTACCTCTCGCAATCATCCCGACCCGGCACACAACGAGGCATGTGCAGGCCGCTCGATGTTTTACAAGATGGAGCCGCGTTCTTCCGCGGCTGGGAAGGACAAACACGTCACGCTTTGTCGCCGCGTACTCGAGAATTTTATGAAGCGCTCTGCGGAGGAACTGAAAGCTTCCCCGCACGGCAGCACTGTACTCAACTCGAAAAACATCGCTGCCATCGCGCAGGAAGCCTCTATCTGCGGTGCGTGCAGAAAGGATAGTCAGCCGGACAACATCGTTCGATTCCTCGAATTCTACGCATCGGAGATAGATGCAGCTATTGCAAAGGTAAGTGTGAATGCCATTGCGTACGTTACTCTGACCGCTGAACTGGCCCGCGTTGTTCCTCTGGGACTATGACGGTTCCTGCTTGTAGGTCCAACTCGTTGTGGAGCCTTGATTGCGGCGGCGCATCGCAGTGCTTCCGATGTGGCATGTCCCCCAGACTGTGTACTGAGTTGTATTTGACTGCCAGTGAGAGTTGGGCAACGAATCTTATTGTAGTGGTTGTTTGAAGTGTTGAGTTCGAAACCACAGAGTTGCTCAGTGCACGTAGTAGTCGCGACCTTTCTGAAGGAATGAGTCACAATAATCCGGTTGGGACATAGTAGTCGAAGACGGCTGGTCTTTTATGTAATCAACCTTACTGTATTCATTTGCCGCTGATCTGAAAAGCTCTCAAGCTTTCTCACTCGCGAGCATCATCCGCTTACACACCGTTAACTACCTTTCCATCTCTATGGCGTTTCCAAACATCGTGACGGATCCTACTTCGGTTGATCCTACTTCGGTTGAGGGCTCCACTATCCATATAGCCTCTCCGCCGTTCGACGACCCCCAGGCGGATGTGATCATCCGAACGTCTGACCACGTCGAGTTCCGCATCTTCAGGCTCATTCTCAAGATGGCCTCGACGGTCTTCGCCGACATCTTGGCATTGCCTGTCGCACCTGATGCAGACCCGAATGCCATCGACGTCACCGAGGACAGCGTCGTGTGGGACCACATCTTGCGTATATGCCACCCCGGCATTGCTCCACCAGCCATGATCGCCGCCGATCAGCTCTGGCCACTGCTCGAGGCAGCCAAGAAGTACGATATGAAGGCAGTGCGCGAAACAGCGGTGAGGGAGATGTCGACGCCTCGCATGCTCGAGCAGGAGACTCTGCGAGTCTACGCGCTCGCATGCGGCTATGGAGTTGAGGACGTCGCTGTCGCAGCGGCGAGAGCCAGCCTTACCCAGTCATACGAGGAGGGCCCGTACGTACCCGAGCTGCGATGCGCAACGTCCGCTGCGTACTTTAGACTGGTCCAATACCGTCGGGAATGCGTGAAGGCGGCCGTGTCCTTCGCGGAGGATCCACACCTTTTCTTGCAGGATGGGTGGAAAGACTACGTCAAATATTGGATCCTGCGGCGGGAACATGTCAGCGAGCAGCATGACGACGGGTGTAGCAGCGGGGGGAACTTTGCGTTGGATTCTTGGGAATGGGGCAATGGGTTGCTCCGCGACGTACTTGTTGAGTACATGGCACGTTCGACAGAGGCCCTCAAGGTGCTCCCTCATGGCAGTACGGTTTTAAACCCCATCTTCATTGCGACCACAGTGCATGCCGCCTCAAAATGTACCGCTTGCAGGAGCCGTACGCAGCCCAGTGATGTTCTCGCGTTCCTCAAGTTTCATGCATCTCAGATAGATGCAGCCACTGCTAAGGTAAGCTGACAATACTCAGGGAGTACTTGGCCACCAACAGAACATTTGTTGATCCGGTGGATATTTTCTTCTGTAGGTGAAACTCGTCGTGGCGTCCTGACAACTGTGGGATATCCTGGGTGCTCTCGAATTTGTCTGTGGAATTGGACCGCCGTTTCGCTCGCCCGGAATTCAATGATGTACCTCCAGTATATATTCGATTGGGACTCAATGGATTTATAGCACTCGTACCTGTAGGTGCTCGATCCCCGACTCCGACCGGAGGGAGAGAGGAGGGCTTTGTCCACCATAAGTCGTTCGCAGCCGGCGATGCCGCTCCCTCCGTGGGAAACACGTGACTTGAAATTCCCATAAACGGTATCGCAGCAATGCTCGAGTGTCCTACGAGGCAGCTCGAGGCAGTTGGATCCTTCCGTGCATCTGGCTGTGTCTGGACGCCTGGATCTCTGACCATCCAACGACTCCTCCTAAATGCAGGAGAGTTTCTCTCATTTTTGATAGCCTGCACTTACATACTTATGTACTGTGATACATACTGTGTCGTGGAAGCCCGAGACGCCCGGGCGGCGAAACCGCCGCGGGCGTGAGGGCCTCCAATTGAATCTCAATAGCATTCCGATGATACAATGTTACAATGCATCATAACTTACAGTATATACCAAAATCTAGTGCCGCTGTGGCAGGCTGAGCAGCTGCCAGTGTCTGCCATGCAGGAGTCGGGGATCGGCGCTTGCGCCGCTACGATGCATAGTTGGTCAATCTAGTCATCAGCCTGAGGCAGGCGAAGCCTAGGGTGGTCAACGCGCCCACACGTGACCGTGTATATACGCTAGACGGCCTGAGGCCTCCTTCTCTCCTCAGGTCCTCGTCGTTCTCCTTCTCCTCGCCCCTGTCCGCTATCCTCCTCTCTCGTTTCCGGACATGCTTGAAATATGCACTCCAGTAGGCCTTAATGCATCGCCACCTACTTGTCTGATATCTGCCCAAGCACCACGACTATACTGCCAACGTGCTCACCGCGCTGCTCTGTGTCGGGCTCGCCATTTCCTACCTTCCTCAGGTCCGTTCAAAGTCACCCACCTATCCCGTCGCTATGAATGATGCTTATGTGCGACGCCAGCATCTACGAATAATCAAGGCAGGTTCCTCAGAGGGCTTTAGCCCATGGTTCCTCTTACTCGGGAGCACGTCGTCTGCATCGGGAATGCTGAACATGTACGTCAAGTCGCTCTCTTCATGGCCTCGTCTCATTGCATTGTGACCAATGTACAGCATTGTTATGCAATGGAGCATAGTCAGGTGCTGTAGGGTCGTCGTGAGTGTTTCCCTATCCCGCCATCTCCCCCATGCTGAACCCGGCGTCTGCCTCCTAGACATTCGGGAGCTGCATCGAGTCCGTAGCTGGGGTCATTCAGCTTATGCTGCAATGGTTCTTCTTCACTGTCATGTAAGTAATATCTCCTGCCCCTCTGCGTCGCCGACGATGGAACGTCACCCCAGCCTCGTGTTGTACATGATCTACTACCCGCCCCATCTCAAGTTCACCGAGGTCGACGTGGACCTACACGACAACCGGCCTCCACAGCACGTCAAAACCTCCGTCAAGACCGACGCATGGCGTCTCTCCATCACCCTCTCCTGGGTCGTCTTCATCCACATGTGCGTCGCGCTCCGCTGCCCCACACGTGGTGCACACGCTCACGTCCGACCGCGTTCAGCGCCTTCATCACCTTCGTAACCTTCCTGCTACTCTCTGCGGAGACTCCCGATCTTCCAGAACGTTCCCCGCAGATTTCGCTGTGGGCGACATTCCTAGGCGTCGCCTCCGCGTTGCTTGCCGCGCTTCAGTATGCCCCGCAGCTCATCCATACCTACCGCCTCAAGCTAGTCGGCGCGCTGAGCATCCCCATGATGTTGATCCAGAGTCCCGGTGCCGTCTTCATGGTGCTTAGCATCGCTCTTCGGTGAGTTCTGAGCATCATAAGTATCCCTGCTTGTCACTGACGCGTTGGTTAGGCCTGACACGAACTGGACAAGTACGCATCCCTGTCTCTGTTCGCGAACTGAGTCTGACTCGCTTATCTACGACACAGCATGGCTCCCTTACGCCGTCGCCGGCGTGATGCAAGGGTCCCTTCTCATCATGTGCATCCTGTGGCGCGCACGCCAGCACCGCCTGCACATCGACGACTTCGGCCAGCCACTGGACGCCTCATCCGCTCTCCTCGCCTCGTCCGACGGCCCAATCGAAGTCGCACGCGGACCGGAGGACGCTCCTCTGTTGCAGACAGCGGTGGAGGACGCCGTCGAGCACGACGTTCGCGCCGAGACAGAGAACGAATCAGAGGACGCGAACGAAGAAGCGCCATTGCTGAAAGGTAGGAAGGAGAAGAGGGGTCACGCGTTGCGTAGATGGTTTGGGTGGTGACGACGATGCGCGTTTGCTGCGTCGAGTTTGGAACCTTATTATCTCGGTTATCTTACGTTTTGGCTATTGCAGGGTATGCTTGCTCTATCATGCTTCCTGCTGCGATGCTGCACCTCGTCGTATGGTACTTGCAAGGTACTTGTTTGACGTACTGTTAGTAGTCCGTGGTGTCGAGCCCGAAGAATCGTCATAACCTATTATGTTGCAAACAAAATGGCCCAATGGTCTAGAGGTAAGATACTTGCTTTGGGTTCGCTAAGCGCTTAATTGCGTCACGTGCAAGGGATCCCGGGTTCGAATCCCGGTTGGGCCCTGTTTTTGCTTTTTGTTCCCCATTGCTATCCCACGAGTTCGACTCAAATGGCGCATCCGCATTAGGAGGTCTTGCAAGCCAGGACGGTACGTACAGATGCCCTTGCATACAGCTGAGCGCGAGGATAAATTGTATGCATTGCGTGCATGTGTCGATCGCTATACCATCCATATCGCCGGCCCCCACGACTAAATCACACCAAGTATGTACCACTGGCGGCATCGTCAACGTCTACCACGAAAACACATTTCTGACTACCGTCATGCATTGGCTTATAACTCAGGCGGACGATTGAGGATGTGTGATCACACAGGTGTCCAAGTAACCGCCAAACGGCAGTGTCCCGGCTGATCACGAACCAGAGGTGTGGGAAGGATCCTCTTTGTTCAACACGGTCACTCATTGTACATTTGCTCTTTTACCCCAGTCAACCATCGTAAGATGTAGGTGATTTCTATTTCGCAAATGGTCCTGAGCATCTAATATCATCGGACAGCCCGAGCTTGGCCCGCGCCGCAATAGTATGTCCGGTCGGATGCTCGTCGGGCCAATCTCTTTCTCTCCGCCTCGTGAACACAACGCCCGGAGACCAAGCACCGCAGCTTCCGGCCGATGTTTGCACGGACATAGCCAGCTTTCTCTGGCACGACACTCTCTCGCTCTCGCGCTGTTGTTTCGTCTGTCGAGCCTGGTATCACGCCGCAAAGCGCCATCTATTATGGTCACCTACGCCGACCATCAGCACGAAGGTGGCACTCTATCGCATCTCCCGCGTGCTTATGTCCGCGCCAGGTCGGAGGCTTCTCAAGCTCAAGTATATATCTATCGAAGATGACCCGTCTCAGCCCTTCGCGCACACATTTCCTTTGTGTCTGTCCGGGACACACCTCCCAGAGCTACATATCATTCGCCTGCAGGACGTGGACTGGGACAGACACAGGCTACATACCGACTTCTTCACCTACCTGGCACACTTCACTTCTGTCCGCTGCCTCACGCTCTCGCACTGCACGCTCCGCAGTGCAGACGACCTGCGCAGGCTTGTCAACTCCTTGCCGAGGCTCGCGTACCTCGCGCTCAAAGGAGTCGATGTGAAGCAGTCGACTTTCGCCGTAGAACGTGGAACTGTCGATCGAGCTCGTGTCCGAGAGCTCAATATTGGTTTTCATCCCTCTTGTACCCCCTTGCTCAGCCTGTGCACAGCGTACACCTCCGTTACCTTAGTCATCATCGACCTATCTTATTTCCCGTCATTGGCCCAAGTCCAGCGCGTCGTCTCTGCATTCTCCTCCTTGAACCACCTGCGTCTAGAGTATGTGCACAAAAGTAGCATGAACACTAACAGTGCAGACGACGACATGTGGCCGCCGGCGTCCAGCATAACTCTCGCCGCAGATGCATACTGGCACTCAAAGACACTCGTGCTCTCGCTTGCAACTTTCCAGATCGATGGGCTGCCATCCGTCCAGATCGAAGCCGTCCTCCGGTGGCTCGTGGCAACTCGTAGCAGCTCCACCATCGAGGAGCTAGAAATCGGCTTCCGGGATGCACCTACGGAAAGCGTACAGTCAACCGTTGCAGACCTTCTGCAGCGGCTGGGGAGAAAGCTTGTACGTTTTAGGTGCGGGAGACTCGGTGTCTCTAAGGCTGATGGTGAGTATTTCGCTGCTCTCCCCGCCGGCATAAAATGGCTAATGCACAATTGTCCCATCGCAGTTGCCTTCGCAGAGTACCTGCCTCCTCTGGAGTACAGCATAGGCTTGCGCACTCTCCAGCTGCACACTCGTGTTAATGACGACAGCAAGACGCTGCGCAAGACTCGCACCACTATACTCACGGTCCTCTCCCGCATCCAGACCCCGTACCTGGAGAAGCTCGTCCTCGGGTTCACGCTAGACTTTGGATTGTCTGCGACCTCCACTGCGTGTGACGAGCCCAATGCTGCGGAAATCGACCCCGCTGCTCTCGAGATCACCCACAGCATCCTCGCACGTCGTGTCTTTGCCAATCTCTCACCGCAAGGCGTATACATCAGGTTCTACGCCCCGGACGAGGCTATGAGGGTCATTTCCGAGGTCATAACGACCATTATGCCGAAACTCTTCGCCCCATGGTTCGCGAGGAGACTCGTGGTGATGAAGACCCCGGACCAAACTTCAATCCCTATTACAGAGTGACTAGCCGATGCACAGCCGCGTAGTTTCCGATTTTGTTCTCAACGATAATGATGGCATACCCATTGTAGTCCCGATTGCGCGAATGGCTAGACGTGGACCCGCTTACAGTACTTCGTTGGGCGCATGACGGAATCGATGCTGGCCGCTTAGCAGCGAAGCTAGACAGGACAGAGGCGAATAAGTTATGTAGACGGGTATGAGCCGGTAAACTTGGCTGCAGAACTAGTGTGCCCGCGACAACGCCCAGAATAAAGAATTCAGCTTCGAGGCGCACTGCTCCGCACACCTTGGGTAACGACCATCTCCCGCCCGCCAGCGAGTCCAAGGAAGTGGGTTCCAGAGATACACACAACACAGCATGTCTAATGACAACATCGACAACAAGGCTCTCACATCGGCACGATGGGCGCGCTTCCCTTCTCCAGCGCTGTCCGTAAACTGTCCCCGCAACGAAGTCGTCAGACATCCATCCACTCGATCGACCACTCGAGTGAGGGCCAAAGTCTGAGGCACGCACCTATAATCATCTCCATTTTGCGTTATGTACCGCACCCACGGCAGTGCCTGGTATCCGCTCTTCTCGACGATCTTGAGGTAGCGCACCTGGATGCCGGACACGGTGAAGTACGGGATCTCGAACTTGACCGTGATCGGGGCGCGCTTGTCCATCGAGTCGTGCTCTGCTTGAAGATGAGTAAGACACATGCAGCGAGGAGCGAGTAGCGTTAAGAGATGAGAGACAAGACACACCTCCACGTACGCTCGGTAGGCCGAAGTGTGCTCGCATGAGGAACTCGCGCCCGCCGCCGAGTTGCTTGATCTTCCACACGAACGCGCTCTTGTCAGGGGCATACTGTACAGAGCCTGTACTTGCCTATGGTCACACGTCAGTATACCATGATATGTGCACTCCGCTGCCACGCGTCTCCCTCCCGGACACGGCCACCCCGAAAAGACACAAGCCTACTCACCCGGAACTTCGGTGTATCCGCGTCGTCCGGCACAGGCACGTAAATCTCAACGTTGTTCGCCGTGCTCCGCCGCTTGAACTGCGCCTTCACCTTCACCATGTACTCTACGCGGGAGCCCTTGTGGTGCTCGACCTTCGCAATCCTGGGTCAGCGGACGGCTCACGCGACACGGAAGACAGCGGACGTACGGCGGCCTCAACCCAGACGAGTGGCTTGACGGGCGTGCTCAGCCGGTAGCTCATCAGCTCGAACTCGCCGTCGGGTGGGATGAAGGATATCTGCAGGGCGCACGGTTCAGCGTGGTCAGTTGCGTATGGGAAGCATGACCTGCGCCGGCTACAACGCAGAACACGCTCTCCTAAATTCGAGACCGCCACTCACTGTCCGATCATTCTCGAACCGTGATAATCGCACGCATTGGTGGAACTTGACGTCTTCCATCTCGATTGCCTTTCCCCGCGCGGCTGCAAAGCGTATCAGCACATGCGCACTATTCACGGTTGAGGTGCAGAGTGTGACGGGGCGCGGTGTGTACGTGATCCGAGCGGTATGGGGCCTTGCTCGACGGAGAGGATTAGACACACCATCTCCCCCGTCATCATTGCGTCTACTGCTCCGCCAATGTCCTCCGCCCAGATGCATAGGTCAAAGCTGAAGTACTCACTTCGGCCCGTCGTCTCGAACATGACCTTGTCGTTGAGCCCAAGCCTGAGCTCCGGCATCCCAGACAGATAACACTTCATCTTGACCGCGCCCAGAATCTCCGAGCGCACGACGTTTCCTGTCGCGTTGACCTGCATGGCCACGGAGTAGTCGTCAGAGGCTGAACGCAGAAGCATGGCTGGCGAGGACGCACAAGCAGGTTGACACTCTCGATGACGTCCAGGAAGACCTCGTTCTTCCGGTACCGGATGCCCTCCGACCGCCACGAGACGGCGTTTGTGACTGCGATCGGTGGGCGTACTTGAACTTCGAGTTTGTATGATTCTTGGGTGATGTATCTAGCACGGCATGTGAGTCACGAACCGGGGACGTGCACACCCAGGGTACGAGCTTGTAAACCCTCGAGTATACGTGAGGAAACCTGGATGGAATCCAAGCACATTTTGGTTGTTGCAGCCGAGATATGTCGATGGCCCCGCTGCTGCGGCCCTGGGACATAGCGCGGTCGCTCAAGGTAAAGGACCACCCCAAATGTACATGCAAGACCAGACGCCAAGAACCTCCGTGCTGCCCTGGAAGCGGCGCTCATCGTGAGAGGCCCCAGGGAACGCCTAACCATTGAGGTGGTGTGTATGGCGATAACGTTGTCCAGACATGAACGCCAGTTTCTGGCGGGGGGCGGTCCTGGCCTTCGCCGAGGGCCCTAGCTCGTACCGTACCCGGGAAGTAGAGAAAGGAGGACGCACTCTTGTAGGATCTTACTCTCTGTCGTTTGAGGGTAACCAAAGTCCATCATCTCGTCGAGCAGCTCGTATATGATGACGAAGTTGTCGCGGATACTCTCCTCCTCGAGCTCTTTGAAGTATTCGATGAGCACCGAGACGAGCCGGTGTAGGAATAGGATGATCTCCGCTGCATTGCTGTTGCGTTTGCTGAGCGCGAGCACTACCGAACGTTAGTATACTCCAGAGCTTGAGATTCCACGCGTTGGACGTACGATAAAGGTTGCTATGTCTGATGTGGAGGTAGTTGACGCCCTCCCTTGTGAAGCACGGTGTGACCTGGGCACCCTCCTCCTCCAAATCCAGAACGATGGGCAGAAAACGCTCGATATATGCGGAGGGCACGTCGTCCCTGTATGATCGCTGGATGAGAGGCTTGCCCTTGAGATCGAGAATGGCAATCAGGGAGGCCATCGCGGGACGACGAGCAATCAGCTAGCCCGAAGGAACGACGTCCTACGCGTACGACGCGTAGATAGGAGGCAGGACAAGCGGTGGACACGAGTGCAGCGAGCGCGAAGGTGAGCGATGTGAGCAGAGTCGTAGATGTAAGTGAAGCAATATGCTGTACACCATTCAAAGCTAGAAGCCATGTTAAGACGAGTATAAGTGTAGGTAAGTGATACATTCTATTGACCTCAACGGCTGGGTTATCAGACATCATTAATGCTTATGCAACGTCATAAGCATCCAGTAAGTAATACTGTAACCCAACAAGAGAGCGCCAATGACGTTATGTAACTGTCTCCTCTCGACCTGTCTATCCACCCCGTCCACTCCACGCAGCAGCCTCACGGACCCCTATATAAAGTTGCATGCCCCAAGATGATTTCTACCCCTCGCTTGCATCTACCCTCTCCATCCGCGCAAAACATTGTCAGCTCGTAACTCACGCTCAATATTGCAACCATGTCCGCGCCCGGAGATTCTGTTTCCTACCCCCCTGCCGCGCACATGCCCCTCGCGCACGCCGCGCGCACGTCTAGCGAGGTAGTCAGCACACAGCCGGCACCGGCACCGACGATGAGCGCTATTGCCTCTCCGAAGGGCGGAGAGAAACCCGAGAGACTGAGGGGTGGATGTATCCCGCTTCCCGTACGTCTCCCCTTTACGCGATCTTGTTATAACATTCGTATACTGACTGAAATATTCCTCAGGGTGGAGGGACGTGCTTCATCATTCCTTGCTGCTGCTGAGCACCAACACCGCTATCAGCGACGATCCCAACCATTGGGGAGCCACGACTTACGAAGGACATCCCCGATTTCTCCATCCCGATATCTTCACGCAGTATAGGTCTCTGTAATCGGACGGACTGTAAACTTAGCCGTGGACTTATTTGCATGTTGCCACTCTCCCGCTCTACCGTGTTCGTACCAACCTTTCGCGATCCTCGTCATATCATCGGCGGTGGTGTTCCATGGCTGTAATGTTACCTTGCAGATGCCTACGCCTAATATTAGTCTAGATCCTGTCGGATTATAGAAAGAAACATTGGTCTTCAAGCTTCGCATACGCGACGTCCACGCCATGCTTGATGCCATTTGCAGACGTACAACGATGCCGGCCGACCTGAACGTACTCTGAGCTCCCGCACGGACGGGCTTACCCCAAGACACCGATGTACCCCCTCCGGCGTGCGATGCATCGCGTACGTACGATTCAAGCATGCTACTGAGGTAACTCGAGCCTGAGGATAACTCGCTACCTCTTGCAACCAGAGAGCTCCTGTCGTTCGTGCGTCGCAAGCGCAACATTCTGCTCGAGCTCATCTTCGGGTCAGATCGTCTCATCCTTCAATTCCTGGTTCTCAGAAAAGATCGCGAAGAACGACAAAGAGAACGGTCGACTCAACAGTCTGACCTCCGTCGCACAAGCCTGATAGTGGCGATTGGCCGATAGATCCTCCGCCTCCGCGAGGCGGCCTCATACGAGTGAAGTGCACCTAATATATATGATCATTCGTACAGCAGCACACGGCGAATCCTCCGCATCCATAATTGTCCTTGCAAACCTCGCGTCCCTCTCCCCGCATGTCGTGTCCGTCACCCCGAAACCTGCACATACGTCCTCCGTCATTCCTAGTGTTTCGTTGTCCGTGACAAGTTGTCCGCGTAAGTTCCAAGCCTACGGCGAGGCGTATCGAGTTATGAATCTGAACGGCGATGAGTCCAGCACCGTCTGATAGCGCCAGGGATTGAGGAGACGCAAGACACGATGGTCTGCGGTCATGAGGCCTGCAAATACAAGCAAGCGCGTTGTCTATGCCGCAGACAGCCTCGCCTCTTCTGCTCCATAGTTCCATGGGCATCGCGGCGCGCGCCTCCCTCGCATTCATGTCTATCCGAGTTATGTCCTTCAGTCGTGTATGTAGAGAACTGTCTGTTATATCAGGGATTGAGAAGACGCACCACTGCACTGTGAGCTGCGGTCATGCCGACAAATCCAAGTGCCCTGTCTATGCTGCAGGTAGAATCGCCTCTTCTGTCTCCGTATCTCCACGGGCATCGCACGCGCGGCCTTCGCGTTCATCGATATCCGAGTTCTGGATCTCTGTGATGCTGGCAGGCGTCCCTAGTCGAGTAGATGAGCATATTGAGTAGGTTGCGACTGCGTCCGACTTATGGACGACGAAGTCGTGACACTCACCAAGGCCTGAGAGTACTGATGATAAGAGATTACGAGGGACGGACTGTTCACCAACATGATTGGGGATGGGCCCCTCGCCAACAATGCATACACAGGCGGAGGGCATCGGATCTTGCCTTCAAGTGATCCACACCGTATGCCGTTCGACCTCAGCCACCCGCCGTAGTCTGGTTCGCCCTCGACAGTGGCGGTCATGGTCCGATCTTGATGGGAACGGCGAGACCGACACACTCCGCCTGAGTGCGATTTTTTGACTGTGAGGCCTATCGTGGTTAGAACCGCTGGAAATCGAGCCATAAGACTTTGCGATCCAGCCACGGCGCGAACAGAGTGGTCATGTGTGGCTTGATCGCAGACATCGTGGCGGTTTGAGCATTCATCCCAACCAATACAACGAGTACAGCGGCCTCGTACAACTGTTGGGAGGCTCGGAGTGCTGGAAGACGGTCAAAGACACTGCGAGAGAGGATAGTGTGGAAAGTGGAGGTGGAGCCGGGAGGGTATATCTCGCTGACCGAGGCCTCGTCACCATCTTCAGATGTCTCGGAGTCAGACATCGTAATCCAAATTTCGAGTCGCTCCAGATGCGGACTTTGGATGTCAGATAGCAAGGCACCCAGGTACCCTTGAATCCTCGGGAGTGATGGATCGACCGAGTCAAAATAGACAATCAGGTTTGTCAGTGATGTATTTGCTGTAATCCGCGGTACGATATCGTGAATCGAGTCTACGATAGTTTCAATGAGCAACGACAAGCACAATGACAAGCGACTTGAACTAGGACACTCACCATGAGCAAGATCACATCTCCACTGAAACTTCTTGAGCCCAGCTCCGGCGAGGTGCAGGATCTCTGTAACACGTGGTACAAGCTCTGTACATGGGCCATCCCTGTGTGTAGAGTAGAGCTGCAGGCCTTCCAGTTGGCTACATGCTTGCGGGGTTAACATCAAATTCAGAAGCTGTAACTGCCACGACGCGTGTACGAATAAGAGCTCGAATTCTGACAGTGAGGAATTGGGTGCATGTGCTGTGTACAGGGCCACGTCTGCCGCTGATGCAGGCTCGACATGTGAGCGAAATGGATTCTGTAGTGACAAGTTGGACAAATGGGGGAAACGGCATAAGAACTGATGAAGATGTGAAAATGAAGAGTAGGAGCCCAGGTCTAAACTTAGCTCTGTTACGTATGAGTACATGGCACATACAATCAACAAGAATTGATGGTGAGCGCCCAACTCGGAGGTTGAGCAATCAGTCCGAAGTGCGACTTTCTTGAGCTTGTTGCGCGACGAGGGACCGTAGCGGGACGCCGAAACTGGAACGAGTGGGTGCTGTAGTGTGACGTCCATGAGAAACAGATCTTCGAGACTCGGTAGTGCTTTGGAAATTCTGTGGAGTTCCGCTATACTACGAAAGCGGCACTGCCTGATGTTCAGGCTTGTGACGCTAGTATAGGCGGAGAGGAAGTCGAAGAATAAAACATGTGGTCTGGTAACCACCCAATCGCAGTTGCGTAGACCCACCTCCACAAGTGATAGAAGACTCGCGGGGATGAGCATGGGCCAGATGTGTGTGAATGGCTTTTGAGGGTCCTCCCAGATGTTCAGGTAAATAAAACGCTTGCCATATGATCGGATGCTTTCTGACATAAGCATGCGTGCTGTATCGTTCAAGGCTTCTCGGGTCCGCAATTGGAGGGAATTGTGCCGGGAGACGCGCCGTGCGGCGTGGTACCAAGCGTGGCAAACGAGGCTGCACCTCGTCAGTGCGAAAGGCTCGTACACAAGGAACTCGCAGATACGATCGATCAGTTCCTGTGGAAATGGCGGATAGGTATCACTGCGTCGACGCAGAACGTTGATATGTTAAACGAGCAACGGGATCCATGGTAATTGGAAGGCATACCTTGAGTACGTGGGTGGTCTGAAGCAATATTCCAAGAGGGGATGATGGTCGTTCAGCGGCCTGTCTTCACTGTCGACCACATCCGTCATCTGGTAATCATATCATCGGGTCGTTCCGTGATTTGCTTATATATGCTGTTGAAGAACTACCTCGCACGACTACTTTATATTTGCAGAATTCAGAGTAATATCCGAATGGCAGGTCGATGTATGCCCTATACAGAGTGTAGAAGTTTCAGATGATGTCGTACAGACGGTATTGCCTTGAAACCTTGCCTAAGACAGTCGTAAATTTGAGCTTCTTGGCAGTATTGGACGCACTCGCTCGGGGTGGTAACAGAGGATATATGGGAGGTTCGGAGCCTCGCAGATCGAAATCAGCGGTAGTAGGCGTTGATACGCGTAACGTAGACCAGCCGCAGAATGTGGGAGACGACAGATGGCCTGCGGACTCGAGCCTGAGATAGAGAGTGTTGTCATATTAGTATGAGGCCGACCCGAGGCGATGCACAGACTCACCTGAGCCGCTGGGCCGCATTCTCTTCTAGAAGACGGATATCGTCGAACTTTGCGTCGACAGGAAGCGCGCGTGTGGTACAAGCCAGTGCATGGAAGACCGGGCTGTGTACTATTGCCTCCTATCGATGCAGGGTTCCTTCTATAGCCAATTGTGCACGAGGCCTGGCGCCGAGCGTGATGCGGGTGGAAAAACGGTCAACGATCGCAATGAAGTGCGAGGTTCAATAACCGCATCTTGCTTATTGCCCCACAGCGTCCCATCCGACCTTCTAATTAGAACGGACGGTCTCAACTGACTCGAGACATTTCAGTGCGCCATCTGAGCGCCCTTGATTGGCTGAGGCCAAGACCATACCTTTGTTTTCATTTCCCAGAATAACCCCGCCCGGCGACTGGTACGTCCGAGGCACGCAGATGGTAGACACGGCTAGATCCATAGATAGGTTGTCTTCTCCGCACGTTCAACCGAATTCTATGCATCATGTCGCTGAACGCAAACTGCTCCCGCTCGCCGCTGGGGGTTATGAACGCCTGCGTCGAAACGGAGTTCAGGCGGACATGCACATACCATGCGCGAGAAAGGGGGAGCTAATCGACTAGCCCATCCCTATGATTTACTCAATGGCTGTATCGTAGTTCTCGTATTCGGGACACTGCCAATCAAGCACGCGTGTGGACCTTGAGAACGCAAGCCACATCAGACCCGAACCGTGACGTAAAGCTGAGCAGTGCTACCTACCAGAGCGGTAGTCTGACCTGCGCACCCATGTACTTATGATAGATCCCACGAACAGATCTAGAACTACGCACGGGGAAATCCACGGGGCACGGCGATCTCTGCGTGCACGGTCGCGTGAGCCGTTCACAGTTGGACTGCACATGTGCATGCCGACGTAGTCCGAGTACATAGCCTCGAGCGCGGCTGGTAGGACTATATGCGTGGACGCTCCCACCTCTACGGTCCGGGAGCTCGCTCTTTCGGATACTCGCCACGACGACCAGTGCTCGGAAAGGATTTGCGAGCCCGCGCAGACAGGCGAACACTTGAATTACCCGCGAGCCGAGTGCGTGGACTCGGGACGTGGATTGGCAGCGCTATACATAAATGCCCGCATTTCCAGCCCAGGAGCATGTTCGGTCGGATCCCCGCCACGACGCTTAGTGGTCGAAACAACCACGAGCGCGCCAGGCTGTCCGGTGAGCGGGAGTTGATGTTCGTAAGTGTATTGCCGTGACATGTGAACAACGTGGCACGAACCTAAGCATCCGGTGTCATCGATTCATCGTCGAGCGAGCGTCGAGTTCCGTCCGTCTACGTATCATCTTCGCTGATATGGAGGCATGACGAATCCTCTCTACCGCACCTCTTATTCGTTGTCGGTCAACGGGTGACCCAAGTGGATTGAACGTGTGCAGAGACATCACCGTTGTTGAGCCTCGGCTGGTGGTCCATCGCAGACGATGAGTTTCGTCACACCAGCACTGCTATCAGGCAGGTCGTGCAGAAACGTACTGTGCTGCATGACTTGCTCGACGCTCACCTCAGCTCGGGCAGAGCTACATTGGGTTTCTACACCCTTCGTCGGCGATACCGACAAACAGCACCAATCGAACATCCAAGCCATCAAGTCTTAGCAGAAATCCTGAACACCGCCTCCGAGTGAGAAATGATCTGTACGACGGTGCCACAAAACTCACCAGGCTGCGTAGACCATAAACCGTTACGACCTCACCCGCTCTGCACGAGGGATGGTCAGCTGATGACGTAGGACAGTGGTACTTCTGATCGGAGCACGAGCGATGTATGGGAAGTGCGGTCCTCCACTAGATGGCATCCGTTCGAGAGTACGCCGACACGCTTGCGTCCTGATCAGCTGGCGACAACAGACCTCGAGGGTGCGATCCCGCAGTCGCGCGGGAGATGATGTCCTGTTCGTGGTGCATCTGTAGAGTACAGCCCTACTCCAGAAGAGCCAGCGCAATACGCACGTTGCGTCGCCGGTAGATCGTACTCATGTCCGTCCGTCTTCTCAGCATTGGCGAGCCGCAGGTTCGTACTGCGCTTGTACCGAGTTTGAAAGGCTAATATATACGGATGGCCGACGAGTGAGTGAGAGCGCGCTACTTGCTTGAAATGCAACGAGCGTTAGGAGGTTGCGTGCGGATCTTGGGACAGGCGGACGTACCACTGCCAGTGCCAACGTCGTTTCCATGCCCCTTGCGTGGACCGGAGGACCTAACAGTGAGAAGAGCGGCGACGAACGAGTGTTATCCCTGCAAAGACCGAACCATTTTCTTTTACGAGCGAACTGAGTAAGCTGAATTAACTCATCAATGAACAACTTACCTCCGGTATATCTGATAGGACACGTACCCTGTTCCCGCAATCCTCCTTCAGCTTCTGTCCAGCGGGTACGAGCCTGCAGCTCGTACCGCGCTCTCAGCTCAGGCAGAGATTGTACGTGATTCATCTGACCGGTAAGCCTTGACTGAGAAACACGAGTGTAACAGGGTACGGACAGCAGGGTTCGAACATTTCACAGCCAGTGTCGGTACTGTACATCGTCCCAAAAGGAGTGCACTGCGTAGCTGAGCCTGCGACGAAGTAGGGTAGCAGCCGGAGAGCAAAGGACATGTGCACTCGACAGGCCGGCTGGGGAGGAGGCAGTCCAGCAATTCGCAGCCAGCGGCGGAGGGAGGCGTCGTTGTCGTCACGGTGACATCTAGCAAGAGGAAGAGTGATAGTCAGAGTGTATGCGGAACGTACGGATTTGGACACACCAGAGTCAGCACCAACCTTGTCGGCCTTACATGCGTATGCTCACATAGTGGCAGCCTACGAGCTCGGAGGAGGGCAGAGTATGCGTGGGACACTGGGAGGACATTACAGAAGCGCTTAGCGCGCCTGTGGCGGCGGCGCGACGAGGGTCACCGCCGCCTCCTCCTCCTCGCTCGCGTCCGCTCCCAAACAGATCTAGCCTGTGCTTGTAATCTCTTGCTCACTGGCCCGCCACCCGCCCGCGGCGCCGACGATGACATCGGCCACTTCTCATTACATGCATTCCCGCCCTTTCACCATTCCCGTTCCCCTGACTCGGTCGGTCATACCCTGCAGTCTGAAGATCTGACCAACATGCAAGGGCCGAAAAGCTCCATGGTCAGTTCTTCCCTATGTACTTATACAGTGTGCAGACTCTTACACACGCCTTCCAGTCGATGCACCTCGGACCCCGTCCTCCGTTCCGGTGCTGGCCGCTGTCGAATTGCGTGTGCTCGACTCCCGCCTATCCTATCCTCTCCACGCTGCTCATACGACCTGCGATCCCGTAACAGTGATTGAACATAGTCGCAAACTGTATTTGGGAGCCCACTTGCGCTGGATGGAGGGCAACTAGGGGCGTTCCCGTGAGTCTCGTTCGTTCTGCTGCGCCTCCCTTCGATCCTGATGAGGTAAAGACATGCTCGTCAAATTCTTACTGCGAGCAAGCCTAGCATGCGTCGCAAGGCTGACATCGCACCCACCGCCACAACATCAGAAGGTGCGAGGGCGTCCGTCATCCCCGGCCACTGGAGGCGTAATCCCGACGTACACAGTTGCTAGGTGAAACGTACACACGCCCCTTCTCCATCCAGTCAAACTCACACTCAAAGGTTTCCCGTATTGTGCACGCAACATGACTGCGTGTTCTCGGGATCAGCTACGCCCCTTCGAAGACTATGCTAGGTACTTCCGGCTGATGGGCGAGTGCTCGTCTTCTCGCTCCCGCCACTCCCCCGTTCCGGGTGACGAGCCTACCGTGCTTCCGTCGCTTTCCCAGACCTCACGGTCCCGTCATCTATTCGACCCTTCCACCGTCAAGCATTGCATCCATGCATCTCACGCGTCTCACAATCCACGAACACGCCCAGAGCGTCAGCGGCCTGCGGCTCTCCCGCAGTAGGAGGTGCGTGCGGTCGGAAGCCTCCGCGCTGCATCCTCGGAGCCTCGGCAGGCCGCACGTCGCGGGCTTCACGTCTCTGGCACGTCTTGCGTGCCGCTACACCATCTCTGGGCGACCTTAGTACGTCCCTGGATCGTACGGACAAGGACGTCCGTTTGCTGTCCTCGTTGGGTGCAGCACGTCGGGGTTCTTCGCGGTTCGAACGTCCATCCATCATTCTAACCATCAGCACGAAGACAAACGGGCAAGGAATCTCTTCGCTCTCACCTGGCTGTACCGATCGCGACGCTGAAACGTGGACCTTACCCCCTACCCCTCTCACGCACATACCGGACTCGTACGGCACCCGGACGTGTCGCTATGCATTTACGGCCAGTCTCTGCCCCCCGAGTCTCGCCGCGGACGCGACGCCTGGCGGGAATCTCTCCTGGCTGAGCAGTGGACGTATCGCGATCCCTGTTTGCCCCTCCCTCTACTACGGCCATCATCCGACCCATGCACCAGTCCCGTGGAGGGGACGCGCGGTTCGTCGACCAGCAACGTTCACCCATCGCTAGGGATCCGTCACTTGCGAGCGATGTCCCCGCCGTGGGCCGCCATTCCGCGGCTCTTGTCGCCCAGCATAGAGCTTGGCCCTCGCTATCGGACGTGTATCTACTAGTAGACCGCGGACTCGTGTCCTTATTGAAGTCTTTTGGTCTACCGTGTGCGTACCAGTGGTTTGCGTTCCTCGTCTAACCATCAATGTTATTAATTGTGATGCCCCATGCTCGCCTCCTTGCCTCGCAGACTCGAGGCTTGGCTGATGTCTTGATGTCGTCGGATCGTATGCAAGGTCTGCGGTCCTTTATGATACAACTGGCCTTTGCGCATGCTCGGGCCTTCAAAGCTTCAGGTCTCGATGCCTCTAAAGGGCGTCGGTTTTCAGGTAACTCTCAGCTCGAAGAGACGCGACGCGCATGAAGTACAAGATCTCGACTGTATTATAGCCCCGCGCGCTACGTTGTTCGTGTCTCTCGACATAAGCAGCGATGCGCGTCGCAGCACCTGGAGGGTTCTCGCATTGCGTCGCAGTCGCGAGAATCACGCCGCTTAGGTCCATCCCATTCATCTCTAGCTCACGGGTCTTCGTGTCCCTCGTTAGGACGACTAGACCGATTAGAACATAGGATGAAAGGGCTCAGCTCCCTGAAAGTAGCTATTGGGCGACAAATCCTAAGTACACGCCGCTGCGCACTACGAATGCAGCGCATCCAATAGATAATAACTTATTGGGGGTTCAAACGTCACTACAACAGTACACAGATTCTTGCAAACTTCCCTTTCCTCCCCTCCGTACGTCGTATCCGTCTATGACACGTACTCCCGCGAATCAATTGTGTAAGTGCGACACAGCGAGTCGGATGGATTGCCGCTCCAGATGTGGTGCACTATCAAGACGCGGTGTCTCTGGCAGTCTGGCAGGCTCGTCGAGTTCGGCCTTCGATCTGAGCGATATATGAGTAAAGTGCCGTCAGATATATCAGAGATTGAGAGGACGTACGATGTTATGATCCGCAGTCAGTTCTACAAATTCACCCCCTTCTCGTTGCTAGAGGTAACTTTTCTGCTTCTCCTTCAAGGTTTTCTGCCTCCGTATCTCCACTTGCATTGCTCGCGTCTCCTTCGCGTACACCGTCCTCCGAGTCATGTATCTCCACGATGCTGGCATGCGGCCCTAATCGAGCGGATGAGCATACTGAACAGATCGCGGCTACGCCCTTACGGACGACGAGGTTGAACTTGTGGCACTCACCAAGGACACGGAGTACTGATGAGGAATTACGAGTGACGTACTCACTGGGCGCTGCACCGTAGGGATTGTCGTTGAATTCGAGCCGTAAGACTCCGCGATCCAGCCACGGCGCGAACAGAGTGATCATGTTTGACTTGATCGCAAAAAATGCGGTGGTTCGAGCCTCCTTCTGAGGCTCAGACACCAGCTGCGAGTCGATCCAGGTGACTACGATGAATACACCGGTAACCTGGTACGAGGTCCAAGAAACTGCTGGAAGTTGGTCAAAGACGCTACGAGAGAGTACAGCATGGAAAGTGGAGGTGGAGCCGGGAGGGTCTGCCTCGCTGACTGAGGTCTCGTCCCTATCTTCAATCGTGTCGTAGCGGGTCCGATTCAGGTCAATGTTGATCGTGAGTTGCTCCAGATGCGGGCTTCGTATGTCAAATAACAAGGTTCCCAGGGCCCTCTGGATGCTCGTGGGTGATGGATCAACACGGCTGAGAGCGATCTTCAGGCCTGTCAGTGATGTGTTTGCTGTGAATCGCGGAACATCATCGTGCATGGAGTGTTCTATAGTTTCCATGAGTAATGGCAATTGCAATGACAAGCAACTAAGACATTTACCATCAACGGGAATGTGATCCCACTCAAACGTCTTCAGCCCAGCTCCGGCGAGACATAGAACCTCTGTAACACGTAGTACAAACTCTGCACGCTGTCGATCATCATGATGCGGCTGGGAGTACCCTTCTGGAGAGGACACCCGCAGGCTTTCCAGTCTGCGACAAGCCTGCGGGGATAATACCAGTAGAATCTGTAGCGCTAATGATGCAGGCACATCTTCGAATCGTAAATTCGACAGAGAGGGGTTGGGTGCATGTGCTGTGTATAGGGCCAGGTCTGCTGCTGATGCAGGCTCGACATGGGAGCCGATCTCTGCATCGTGTAGCAACAAATGGGACAGATGTGGGAAATGGTGCAGAAACCGATGAAGACTCGAGAGCGAAGAGTAGTAGCGCAGGTCCAACTGTAGCTCTGTTACGTAGGAGTACGTGACACATGTGTCCCATAGAAATTGACGGTACACAGATGGGATGTGAGTGTCCCTCGCCCCCGTGAGCTCATGAGTGGCATGGCCGATAGTCCCAATAATTATTTCCTTGAGCTTGTTGCGAGACAAAATGGGAAGATAGCGTGACACCAAACCTGGAACGAGTTGGTGCTGCAGTGTGATCTCCGCGAGAGACAAGGTTTCGAGGTTCGGAAGTGTGGTGGAGATCCTACGGAGTTCCGCTATACTGTGAAACTGGCACCGTGTGATTTCCAGAGTTTTGATGCTGGTGTAATAGGAAAGGAAGTGAAAGAAAAGATCATGTGGTCTGGTTGCTGTCCAGTCGAAGTTGACGAGTGTCAGGTGCTCCAATCGCGGTAGGAAATACCCAGGAATGCGCATTGGCCAGATGTGGGCGAGTGGCTTTTGAGGGTCGTCTTGAATCTCCAAGCCAAGAAAAGTTTTGCCATATGATCGATTGTTTTTCAACATGAGCATGTATGCGCAGTCATCCAAGGCTTCTCGGGTCTGCAACTTGACGCTGGAGTTCCAGGAGACGCGCAGTGCAGCATGATACCAAGCGTGGCAAACAAGGCAGCACTTTGTCAGTGTGAAAGGATCCAACCGGAGGAGCTCGCAGGTGCGGTCAATCAGCTCCTGCGGAAATCGCGGATAGGTATCACTGCGTCGAAGAAGCAAGTCGATATGTCATTCGAGCAACTAGTGTCTGCGGACTGAACGGAAGGCATACCTCGAGTATGTGGGCGGTCTGTAGCAACCCCGCACGTGCCAGGTATGGCCTTCCGGTGGCCTTTCTTCGCCATCGAGTGCATCTGCCATCTGGTAATCCCGCCATCAGGTAATTATTATTCAATGGCTCGCTGGTACAACGAAAAATATACCTCGCTCGACTACGTTATTTCTGCAAAACTTCGAGCGAAATCTGAGTTGACGATCAATACCTTGTGTAGAGTGCGGAAGTATCAGGTTATGGAGTGCGGAAACCACTCAGCTGAAACCTCACCTCTGAAACTCGTGAGCTGGAGGGCAGCGAGTCGTGTGCAATCGCTCACCTAAGAAAGTTGTGGAACTGAGCCCTCTCGCAGCGTCGGGCGCGCTCACTTGTGGTGGAAACAGAGGATATATGGGAGGTTCGGAACCTCCCGGATCGGAAGCAGCGGTAGGCGTTGAGTGACACGCGTAGGCCAGCTGCAGTAGGCGTTGAGTGACACGCGTAGGCCAGCTGCAGTATGCGAGAGGCGACAGATGGCCCGCGGACTCGAGCCTGAGAGAGCGTCGTTATATTAGTACGAGGCCAGCCCGAGGCGATGCACAGACTCACCGCGTGTCATCGGCCACTCTCGTACCACGAGCAAATGAGGTTGATACTCACACTCCGACTCACGGCCTGCGTTCAGGCAGTGCTGCGTTCCCTTACAGAACACCGATATCTTAGAACCTTGCATCGATAGGACGCGCGCGTGTGGTACAAGGCAGGACATAGAAGACCGGGCTGTGTACTACTGCCTCCTATCGATGCGGTGTTCCTTTCGTGTACTATATCCAGTTATGCACGAGGCCCGGCGGGCGTGACACAGGTAACAGAGTAGTCGCAATGAAGCTGCAACATAAATGAAGTGCAAGGTAAGTACATGCGCATCTCGCTCTCCAAAAGGGACTCTATACCGCGGCTGCGTGCCACTTGCCCTTCCGACTAGACTCAGTCACTCCACACAGACATCTCAGTGCACTTACCGCGCGCCTTTGTTGAGCCGCCGAAATTAAGCCTTTGACAGTTGATTGCGAGAACAGCCTGAGCCCTGTACGGCGGCCGGTACCAAGGGAATAATAACAGAACGCTCTGACAGGTCCGTCGTCGCCAACTGGCAGATGGCAGAGCCGTCCAGAGCTAGATATTGACTGTCTTATTTGAACCTTAATGTTCTCCTAGTATTGTTCCTGAGGATTGTTAATGCTTGCGCGAGCGGAGTCGGGGTATACTTGCACATACCCATCAACGTGAAGGAAGTCAACCAGAATGTATATTGACTCACCATATATCCGTGACGCTGTTATCGGATGAGGGACATGGCAGGAGACATGGGCCCCTCCAAGCATGAGAACGAAGGAACGTGAGTCGTGAGTGCGACGACAGACGGCAAGCCTGACGCCGTCTGGGCACGTAAATGAGGACGGAGTGATGCGCTTTTACGCGCATCGCATTGCGTATGGATCACCCTCGTGTCCCACCGCGTGGGTCTGTTTGTCCAGAGTTGGCGAGCTGCAGGCTAGGATGCGCTCGATGTATGTGGGAGGCCGATGAGCGAGCGAGGAGGCTCGCTAGGCTGAGGTAAAAGAAGGCACGGGACATCAGTAATATGCCAAGAAGGACACATTCGGACGTACCAATGGCCGGTTCGTATTTAGCTTCCACGCCCTTTCCTGACCAGGAGATTCCGACGATGAGGTAGAACCAGGCGGCGAGTGCTGATCCTGCAACACCCGTCAAACTACGCAGTCCACCGTAGCATCGACAGACAACTCACCCGCTCTTGGTCGCCCGACGTGCAGCCCGAATGCGTCATCTCAGTTCAGCTTTCGTCCACCGTGTACGACACGCAGGGTCGTATCGCTCTCGCGGTGGAAACATTCGGGCTGTACGAGGCATTCATCAAGCGAACGAGCTCGGGTCCTGAGAATCGTGAATGTCTCAGTGGGCACCAGGACGTGCATACCTCAGCCAGGCGATAGTGTATACCTTCCATGTGCATGAAAGCTCGCATGGGAGCAACTTGTGACGCCGAAACGACGGGACAGACTCGCGAGCGATGCGTGCGCTCGACAGGCTGGCCGGAGAGGGCGCAGATCGCTGGCAGTTAACCGAGGGAGGTGTCGTCTAGTGATTTTAGGAAGAAATGATCAGAGAGTACGCGGAGACGGGGATGACGTGGTACAGACATACGACTGGTGCTAGAGTCAGCATCGATTCTACGCCCTTCGTCCAGTGTGGGAGCCCAAGAGCTTCAAGCCCAGCGGCACTGGCAGCAGAGCACTGTTGACCGTGAGATGGACGAGCGAAGTAGAGGGCCCGGGGAGACCGCTGAGTGACGCGTGCACCCGGCTGGGCGGCCGGTCCAATGCGGTAGACTGCCAGCATCAGTCGGAGGTGTCCACGACCGACGCTGGACCAAAAGCCCGCGCCGTCACGCGCACGCCGTGGCCGGTGTCGACAGGCAGAAGCGCGCGTGTGGCGGGGACGGCGGCGCGACGAGGACCGCATCAGTCACATCATCCGTCTCGCCACCGTTCCTTGGTCGTTCCTCTCACTCACTGACCAGCCATCCGCCTGCGACACTCACGACGAGCACTTAAAGTCCTGCCACCAATCATCATGGCGTCACACACATCGCCGCCCTCTGGCAGGGCCATTCCTCGACGCCATCGCCATCCCCTGAAGCTGAAGGTCGTGCGCGTCACCGTCCTGTGTCTCTGCAGGCCGACGTGCAACTTGCAAAGGTGCGAGTTGATTATTCTATGACCCCTTCTGACCCACGTCTGGTATACATTGCGCAGATCCGTGCCCATGCTGGCCGCTGTCCCCAAGTCCATCCGCGTATTCTCGACCCCCGCCCCATGAAACCCTCTCCTCCTCTCCAGCTGATTACAGGCCGCTAAAACGACTTGCAATGCCACGATCCCGTACCAGCGCTAGCATACAGCCGCAGATTGCATTTGTGGAGGCTACTGACGGCGAAGGGAGGACATTCAGGGTCGACCTGGTGAGTCTCGAGCTCTGTTCTACTTCTACTGCGGCCTCTCTCGAGCTTCATGAGGTTCAAGCACACTGCAATCGCTTTCTGCGAGCACACTTACTATTTATACTTGGTTTTGCAGCCGCATCTACTGTCACCAATCAAGACTCAGAGGGCGCGAGGCTATCCGTCATCGATTCATCCCCGGTTACTCTGGGCATAATCACGGTCACGGTCACTTCGTAAGTTGTAACCATATTCCTTCTCCATTCCGCTTACCTTGACAATCGGTAGTATCCCGTAGGTCGCCCCGTGTACACGCAGCATGGTGTTGTATCTGCGGAACTATGTACGCCCCTCCGGAGAGTCTGCTATACACCTCGGGCTAACGGGTGAGTACTCCTACTTTCTCCTATCCCCTCGCCTCGATCGACGTGCATGCGGTCGCCTGTCACGATGCCGCAGCTTCTCGGGCAGCCCGTTGTCTTTTCGTCTACGTCAACCTCTGGTTTTCGCCTACGTTTCCCGTACGTGTCAATAGCATCCACATTCGTATTCGCACATCACGCAAATGCCAGGCGTTTGAAGTATCGGTGTCTTCTCGTTCACTCGCAGTACGAGCAATCTGACAGCGAGTGGCTGGAAGCTTGTGCACCGCATATCCGGATCCTCGGCGGACCACACGTCGTTAGCGAAGCGGAACTCGCATCTACGATACTTATTGTGCGTCCACGATAACCTTCCTCTTCCCGAGCTCAACGTATCAAAGGCGCGTGTTTGCACTGTTCTGTGGACAGGTCTGAGGCAGCACGGGTGTCGTTGCGGGCGTGACCATTCAGCACGAGCCAGCAGATTATATCGCCCCTTGGAGTCGGCAGTTGGGACGTCGTGCCCTACCCCTACTGCACATAGACCCAGCGCGTCCACGTCTCGCAAGGTCGTAGGTCGTCCTACGCCTCGAAAGTATCAGAAGACACCTCACGGTGTACACTAAGCTTGGCATGACTTTACTGAAGCTGAAAAGCGGATGTATTGCGCCCCCTGTTTTGTGGCCATACACGACCGCCCTCCGTCACTCAACAAGTTTGTGCTTAAGCTCAGCCTACCGGAGCCTACCGGCAGGAGCCGCAAGGTAGTGACTGGGTAGTGTTTCGTTTCAAGTCCCCGATATTTAATGAATCTATCTCTGGTTTTGATACAGTCGGCGACCGTGACTGCACGCTACGTGACGTTCCCCGCGATGCTATACCATCTGGCGAATTCAAAGCACGAGAAAAGAACAGTCTATGATTATGCGAGCCCAAGCCCAAGGCACAGCACCTGCTGCGTGACGACAGTTCCAGCAGCTAAATTATGGTCACTCGTAACTCGGACTTTCCGATAGCCAGATGCAGCTGCGAGTAAAGCCAAATTTGAGAAACAATCATCGAGTACTAGTACACACGGAACCGAGGATCACATACACCCATCGCTGGAATACTCCAGTAATCAACGTTGTGGCATCATACACGCACGAACGATACCAGGTTCGACACAACCCCCTCGCCTCCACACTAGCGCCGTATGGAGGGTCTTGGTATGAGACTACGAACGATACAGTAACTTGAATGGGAGAACGGGTCACTTCGTGGTGGTGATTGAATCGCCTGCGGTCGCTAGTAGTAGCTGTGCCTGGAGGAGAATCAGAGCCTCCGGTACAGAGTCATCACGCGCCTTCGTCATATCCCACAAATGACTCCCGCACTCCTTAGCCAGCGCAGGGAGCTCTTCGTCTGCTCTGCATGCGTCGATGAATGGCTGGCGGTCGCTCTCGGTCAGAACACGGTCTTTCAGGCCTAGGTTCGACCTCTCCCTGAGGACGTGCAGCTTCGCACAAACGTCCTTGTGCGGAAATGTTGTGTGCTTCCAGGCGCGCTTCTGGCAATCGCGCGAGCAGTAGCGGGGGACGCCGCAACCGGCGCACCGAGCGAACGTTCGCTGTGCGGAGGCAAACGTCTTGGGGCATCCCGGCGCGCAGCAGCGACGTATCGTGGAAAGCCACGCAAAGCCCTGCCAAACGTATTAGATAGGGTCGGAGAAGCTGTCGGCTAGTTTCGCGTGTAGGTGGAGGATTGATTCGTGGTAGACGGTAGTGTCATCGGGTGGTCTGTGGGAGTAAAATATCGCACCGAAGCGGGTGACGGAGGCAGCAATATCGGCAAATAGTTCGCCGGTGAAGAGAGTGGTACCCTCTCGGAGAGCACCAGGTGATTGAGAATGGTATCACACACGAAGAGGAGGCCGATGCTCTTCATCGAGCCCTCGAACAGCGCAGTCACGCGAACGAACAGTGAGATATCCGTTGGATTCCATTCCCCAAGGTTCACGATGGTTCCGCAAAAGTCCATGACGGCGAGGAGAGTACACGCCCAGCTGTGTTCTACTTCTAAGTCGACAGACGCCCCTAGTGTCGCCTTGCGCTCCTGGCACAGAGAGGTTGCGAGGCCGGTGATTCTCAATGGCATCTCGGGGAAGAACTGGAGCAGATGAGGAATCATGGATCGGCCGCAGATAGTAAGAAGATCGCCGACGAGCGAAAGGCCATCTTGAAACCTATCAAATGGGCACCAGCGGAGGGAATTGGCGTATCCCTTCATTGACTGCTCCAGGCCATGGGGAATAAGCTGACTAGCATCCTCGGGCCACAGTGGACTTCCGGCGTACTTTTTGCGGTGTCGTTTGAGGCCGCTCTTGGCAGAAATACCACCAACAGTCTTTGTTGAGACTGCATTGTAGAGTATGCCGGCCAAGTGGTGGACGAGCGCTTGAATGAAATCGCCAAGGGCAAACTTGTGAGCGACCTCAAAAGTATGCAGGCAGCCCAGCACCACCCTCTGATCGCCGCCCACTGTGCCTAGGGCCAGGCATGAGCACTCCTCCAAAGAGGCCCTGAGTTCCACTTCGTCCTGAGTCGAGCGTGGGTGGCTCAGGAAGGTAGCGCACGCACTCAGATACTCGGGGTATGTCTTGCGGAGATGCTCGTAGTGCCCGTTGATGGGTAAGAGGTAGCGTCCAAATATTGCAAAGCGGTCGTCTTTGCCACTTCCGCCCAATAGGTGGAGGCAGCCGCAGAGAGCTCTGGCGCAGCCCTTTGGACGCGCCGGGTCCCTCATGCAAGATGTGAAAAGCTGGGCGACAGTGTCAACATGAATCCTCACTGTCTCTGTCATCCTTCAGAGCAGCCGTCACAGATGTACCATCACGTTAGCCGCACATTTCTCATTCATACGGCGCGAAGACGACTTACGTTCGAACAAGGGAGAGGAGGAGGTAGAACTGGAAAGGATCGATCAAGTAGCGATCGCTTCACAGCGCGGTGGCGTGGGACAGCGTACAACGGTACATACATACGCGGTGGCGCCGAAAGCGCGTCCTGGCCCGGGATTGACCCAAGGTTGACTCCTCTAAGTTCTTTTCGTTCCGGAATACGTCGTCAAGAGTCAAGATCACAGCTCTTGAAACACAAGACCCGATATCTGAACAATTCATGAGATAGTCTCGGCTCACAAGTGTTGTTTCCAACAACGGGGTCGGAGAGGACCTCGTAGCCAATCAAACGGTACTAGTAAAAGCGCCCACCGGCCGGACAGTACTCAAGCAGACCTACTGTCCCGAATCCCTCTACGTCAGGCCTCATACATCGCGGTCCTTGTTATTCTGGTCTCCTTCCTTCACGACGGACACAGGCAAGATGACAGATGCGCTCACGACGACCGCAAAACCGCTGTTGGTGAGCGACAATATACAGAGATGCAACTCGGGATCCATTTGATTTATGTTTCTCAGCAACCACTTGCCGCGAAATCGCTCACTGTACACGGCCTCGTGAAGGATTACAGCGGCAAAGATGCGACACTCAGTGTACCAAGGGAGATCTCGCGTCTTCTGAGGTGGTACACAGCCACTGAGTCCCATGATTCCGAGCCCATGGATCTTAGTCCGCCGGATTCCCTGTCCGTACTACCTCCCGACAGCCATCTCGACATCCATGTGCATGTCGATGAGCTCTTGAGCGCCGGGGAAACCCACACTGTTTATAGAGTCTCGCATCATGATCCCTCTGTGGCAGCGTACAGTATCCCGCCCATGGTTATCAAGGTCTCCGCAGAAACTGAGGGTCAAATTCTCGCAGAAGAGGCAGCCATGTACGACTATCTACAGCCTTTGCAAGGAGTCGTAATCCCGCGCTGTTATGGCTACTTCCGGTGCTTCGTCAACCTGGTCGAGCACGTCGTCATCCCGTGGGTTCCGGAGCCTTGCACGTTCCCGCGGGACAAGCTCAACATGTTCAGAATGCCTAATCAAATGGCGAGTTTGAACATCCTACTGTTGGAAGATGTAGGCGAACCTCTCTCATCGGATTTGGGCGCACAACAACTCGAAGAGCTTCAGTGAGTCTTGACGGGCACGAAGTGCGTTGAACCGTTTGATCTGATTCCGATCATTAGGCAGGACTTGTTCGACATGTCCGAGGAGCTATGCTACTCGCGTATTGACTACATCGATTGGCGGCGCTCCAACATTCTTCGTCCGTACGAACAGCCTCAAGGCATCGCCGGCCTTCCGTCCCCCAGAAACAACCGCACCTACAAATACCGCATCATTGACCTCGAGTTGGCTAGTATATCTAAGGCAAACGGACCGAAGGCACTCTTTCAGAGAGCTAGGCCCTTCCTCGATGACATCGTCGCCGAGGTTCGGAGGGGCAGTTCGGAGTTTTCAGACTAAAGACATCGGTGGTGCAGGGATAGAGTCAGCTTCGTTGTCTTCACTAGTCACATGCAAACACAGTCGGGTTCTAGAACCTTTTGCCATATAATCAATTGTTCCAATTTGACATGAGATTAAGTATGTGCGCAGCCATCCAGACACACAAAGCCTCTCAGGTCCAGTTGGAGCCCCATGTCGTTCCACTGACAGAGGCGCCGCGCAGCTCGGAGGCTCTACCAGGCCCTACTTGAAGCACGGCCCAGGCATCGTCGCGGGCGCAGGGTCCTCCGGAAAAAGAGAGGCGGACACAGCGACACAAGTCGCCTCCGCAGGAAGGTGGAAAACAACTCACCTCTTACAAACACGCTCGAGGTGAACAGCACAGAGGCAGAGACGGGACGGACTGCCACATCATCACGCCGACGGACTCTGTGGGCAAGATCGAGTGAGGATAAGAAATGAAACGGAAAGGCGATGGGCTTATTACTGACGCGCTCGACGCAATGATGGCAGGAGCTAAAGTGGGCGAAGACGCCACGTCATTGAGAAGAGCTAACGACGTCGACGAATCAGAATGAGGCGACAAAACAAGTAAGAAACGACGTACCTAGGTGAGACTCGCTCTGAACGGCCGGGGCAGAGGTACAGACAGGAGCGGACACCACGTCTAGTGCCCCTGCAGATGCTGGACAAGGAATGGTGTAGCAAGGAGGGGAAGAGTCTAAAAGAAAGTAACTCGCAAAGGCGTGCCCGCCCTCCGCAACGAAGACGCGTGAGCGGGCCGATACTCGGATGCCACGTCAGCTCGGGCAGCGGACGGTATTGGAGCTTTGGAATCGTCCACGGAGCAATTAGCCTGCGTAGACGAGATGTTTCATGCGAGCGCGGCGACGACCGCATCGCCAGGTTCAGAGGCGTGGTGGAGGGCGTGCGCAGGGGCGGCGGGAATCTCGAACACAGGCGGCGAGCAATGCAAGGGCGGCGGGGATGGCCTTCACGGGGCGCGTGACCAAATAAAGAAGCGTGGTGCACTGGGCGGAAAATCATTGCGACAAAGGGAGGTTCAAGAGACGAGCCTGCGAGTTTATTCTGCCCATAATCTCTTGAGGACATCCTAAACCATACACAGGCAACGCAGTCAACATCTACCTGTCTCGTTGAACCGGATATGCTCACTAGTTGTGGGCCCCGTCACCTGATGACGACGTAGATGAGGGTGATGAGGGCCCCTGTGCAGACGGAATGAAACGGAGGGACGTACCAGTCACGTCACGAGGTAGATCTTCCACACTGTCCTCGAGCCCGAGTTCCATACCCAAACCCCGGGCGCGAGCATCCCGGCGATCAGGATATCCGAGACGACGGTGATGTGCCCTGTCCAGGACGTATCAGCATCCCAGATGTTGTAAGCGGAAGTCCTCGTGCGGACCAGCGTGGCACCCCAAACAAGCGAGCGACGGAGTGGGTCAACCATCGATTGCGGGCGACCTGTCCCTCTATATCGCACGCACGTCAATGTATATATATCACACGCAGAATCTTGCTAGGATATATGCCAATCGATTTGCGAACTCACTTTTCTGGCCGGAAGCATGAGAGCTTCGAGCCCGGCTTGTAGTGCTACCCACAGCGCGGTGGTCATCGGTTTCGGCAGTGCGCTATAGCAGGCGGTAGTACGCAACATACACTCGTCCGGGGGGTTACTTCGGGTTCCCCTTGCGGTTGCGTCTGCGGACGTGCGCGTGTCAGTCAACAGTGAGACGATCGCGGGTCTCCTATTGAATAAGTACATCAAGTAAAGTTTGGATCCCCTAAACACGACAGTCAAGTCAGGTGAAGCGCGACACAGAGACAAGGAGGCATACAAGAACTGCCGAAGGACCATCTTCCGAAGCGTGCCGCACGTCTCCTCGGCCGTCTCGTGATAGACGATCGTGTTCGCCTTCTCTACTTTCCGGGTCCCGTCCTCAGAACTTCGCGATGCCAACGACGGAAACGCGACCCACCTTTCGCCGGCAGGTCGAAGTCCTCGCGCGTCTGCGGGTGGTACGTCTCGTCGCGGTGGATGTTGTTCGTGCCTTTCTGTCGCGTACGACGTCAGCATTCTCGTTTGAAGTCCCCGCGACGCGCTCCAACGAGAAAAGAGATCGGGGCCGCGTACTCAGCTGAAAGACTCACATGGTGCTATAGGTGGGTCGCCCGCCAGGCCAAGTACGGCGTAAGAACGAACGTGTGGAGCCCCATCCCGACGACGATGTTAATCCACGGCTTCGGCGAGAGCGCGTTATGACCGCACTGAGTGTATAGGCGAAGTGGGACCAGGTGGCAAAGCGGCGAGTCAGTCTGAGGGGGTAGGATAGCAGCAATATGTGCGCACCGTGTCCTATACCAAGAACAGGAGATCAGTGAGATTCAGAGTGTCTCGCAGATGTAGCTCGGAGATGCGCAAGTCGGGGACATTTTGCAGCGGGTGAGTCCGAATACAAGAGCGGGATACTCACCAGGTATCCAGATGCCTACGAACGCGATGCTCTGTCCAAACCAACACGTCGTCCACATCACCCACTAAAGCGCGGCCTCAACGCATCCGCCCTCTGCTGCGCCGGAGAGATCGAGCGACACCGGCACGAGGACCCCGATCCGTGCTGCGAACAGACATAAGCCGTATGTGAGGAGGGCGTGGCGACCGACATAGGACAGACACTTTGGCGTCGACCATGCAAAGAGGAGCATGGACATGGCTACGTGGACGGCCGTGATCGAGAGCAGGGGCGGGACGAAGGGCGTGTGGGTCGCCGCCGGGTGCGGACGGTGTACTCGGGCGAGTCGACGCGCGGAAGAGGGCCGTCACCGGGCATGAGCGGGCTGGGATGGACGGCGGGATGGACGGCGGACATGGTGACCTCCCAAGCTCAGAGACAGTCGCGGCGGAATGCTGGCGACAGGGCTGCTTGAGTCTGCGCGATGGCGGCGCGACCCATGCGCGTCCCGACTCTGGACGCGGTCACGCCACAAAGGCGCTTCCTTCTCGAGGTGGCTGAGCCTCCTCCTCCTCTCCTCCGATCTGTCGAGATCGACGAGTGCTCTCGGATTAGCACCACCTCTCGTTCACTATAGCACTAGCCAACCATCCGCCTACGATGTTGACGATGATATGGCCACTCATGATCGCGTCTCGCGCACAGCCGCCCTTTGGCATCCGCTATGCCGTCCCCCTCAAGGCCTCAAGGTCGTCACAGTCGGACAAACATCATAGGCCTCCTCGGTGCGACTCGAAAGCGCCATGACCATCTCTTACCCTCGTATTACTCACATTGACCACGGCTTTCACCAGTTCGAGCCATCGCATCCCGCTCACCATGCCCGTGCTAGCCGCTGAGTCCCAAGTCCAATCGCTTATGCTCAAGTCTTGCCCCGTGCAGCTGACTTCCGCTTAACAGACTTGCGATTCCGTATCAGTGCTCGCATATAGCTGCAAGCTACATCTGTGGAGGCCACTTACAGCGGAGGATGGGCAACAAGGGTCGATCCGGTGAGTCTTGTTGCGTCTTCTTTCGGGCCTAATGAGACTCAAGCACTCCCGGAAAATACTAGCTGTGAGCGAGTCTATCAAGCGATTTCAGACTCACAGTCCGTTCATCGTCATGACGTCAGAAGACGCGCGGTCGTCCGTCTTCCGCGGTCACTGTAGGCGGGCGGACACGTTGATTGGTGAGTTCTTAACACGCTCCTTCTGTGTCCACTTCACCTCATGCTTAACGGCGCCCCGCAGGCCGTCTCTTGTGAACGCAACATGACCGCGTATCTCAGGACTGGCTACGACCCTCCGGAAAACATCCTAGGTACCTCGCGCTAGTTGGTGAGTGCTTGTTACGATACTCTCGCGCCACTCCCTCGTTCCAGGCGACGTCCTCGCGGCGACCTACCGCGATGCCGCCGCTCCTCCGCAAGCTCGCCGTCTCGTCATCCACTCGACCTCTCGTGCTCGTTTGTGCCTCCCGCGTCATCAACACGCATAGACCCATCTGCTCTTCTGCTTCAGTCGATCCTCAACCGCGCATCTCACGCTCTACGAATATGCTCAGCCTTCATAACCTCCGGGTCTTCCGGCACCACCGCAATAGGAGCTGCGTGCAGTCGAAAGTGTCCGCGCCGCGTCCTCGGAGCTTTAGCAGGCCGCACGTCGCGCGCGGAGCGGAATACACGTCACCAGCCCGTCTTGTGCGTCGCCGCACCGTCTGTGGTCAACTTGATACATTCCTGGATCGAACGTTCAAGGAAGTGCGTTCGCTGCGTTCGTTGCTAGGTGCAGCACGGGTGTCTCGTCGGAGCCCTCGGCGAGTCCTACCCATCAACGCGAATACGAAGGGGTAAAGATCTCTTTGCTCTCACCTAGCCGAACCGATCGCGACGCTGCAGCGCGGACCACTCCTCGTTCGCTGGTTGTGCTGGCTGACGACCATCTGGCCCGAGGACTGTACACAGCAGGTCTCGTAATCTCGCTCTACATCGTCTACTCTCCTGCCAACGCCCACGACCGCGGTTCCTTCGCTTTTCATCACCCTTACACCCGGTGACCTACCCCCTGCCACGCATATACCAGACTCGTACGCCACGCGAGGTCGCCGACGGTCGCCCTCCGCCCGCCATGAGCCTCACCACGTACGTCACGCCTGGTGAGAATCGATTCCCGCTGAGCATCGGACGTATCGTGCTCCCCGTTTTCCGCTTTCATCTACGACCTACGGCCATCATCCGACCCATACACAAGCCGAATGGAGGGAGCGCGCGGTTCGTCGACCAACAACGCTCGCCAATCGCTGGGGATCCGTCACTTGCTAACTTCTTTCCCGCCGTGGGCCGCCATCCCGCGGCTCAGATCGTGCAGTATTGAACAATGCCGTCGCGGTCGGACGTGGATTAGTACGGTGGTTGCTTTGCTTCATCGTGTACGTACCAAGTTTCCCCGAGTCGTCGTTCGAGTCGTCGGCACTATCGAGATTCGAGACGTCCATTGCTTGTCGGTCTAGCTGCATCCGCTACCACATCTCCGCTTTACGTTTCTATGGACCATCCTGACGTCAACATGAATTGCGTCGCTCGTCTTTCCTCAAACCAAAGTGACCGGCGATCCATGAACTCTGACGGTCTTCAACCATGCGGGAGATTCATCTCTGGTGGAGGCTCTGTATACGAAATCGTCCATTGGTGCAAATCTCTATGTAGCTCTGTGTAGAATTCACTCGCGGCAACATGCCTGTTCTCTGGCCGCATAGTGCAACTCGCACCACTCGTACGATTCCAGTTCGCAGATGTCTCTGAATCACTGATGCCATACATGTGAATTGCAGGAACACATTACCAGGCGCCATTTTACCATGGCGTGGGCAATGCGCGCAAGCCGACGCATGTCTCCAGAGACCACTATCCACGCACGCGCGGCGGAAGGTTACCTCGGAGCGGAGAATGCTGGGACACCGCTCAGACAAGTGCGGACGACTTGTATTGCGGTACGGATGGCCAAACGAGGATGGATCTGTGCTCACGAGGAAACAAAGCGGAGGAGCGTACTATAGCACCGCCGGATGCGGTCGGCGGGTGAGTCGCATCAGTCCCTCTATCCCGTCCTCGTCACGCTGAGTTCCTTCTTCAGCACGCTCGCCCTCTACATACCTGCTAAGTCGCCCGCAGATCGTGCATCCGATAATATCACCTCCCTCGACAGTCGCCCCGGATCTTCACGTGCTCGATGCCCCTAGTCCGCCTCGTCTTCGAACATACGTCTTCCGCAATACAGTGTCTGCGCTTCCGACCGTTGGACAGACACTTGGCGTTCACCGCGCAAAAAGGTGCTTGGGCACGGCTGCGTGGACGGCCTTGATCGAGAGCGAGGGCAGGGGCGGGGCGAAGGGCGAGCGGGTGAGTGCGCTGTACAGTACTCGGGCGAGTCGGCAGTGCGGAGAAGGGCCATGATAGGGGATGGGCGTGCTGGGAGGGACGCGTGTGGAGTCTTTGGTGGACGGCGGACATGGCGATCTCCCAGCCTCCGAGGCTGCCACAGTGGCGGAATGCTAGTGAAATGGCGGGTTCTGCGCGGCGCGTTCATGCGCCATCACCCGCGTGTCTGGACGCGCCGACGCGATCACTCCACAAGGGTGCTTCTTGCTCGAGAAGGTTGGGCTGAAAAATGGCTGAGTCTACCAGCATCCCTCGGACGACGGTGACAACGAGTACTACTTGAGTACTACTACTCAATGAGCCAGCCCACATCTCCACCTGAGTCCCTGCAGCCTATCCTTTGTTTGCCCAGGACGTACCGCCGGACGTTATCCTCTCCAGGCCCGTAACGCCGTCAATATGGACGGTGGCAAGAATTTGTCCAGACCAATCGATCGTATGCGGTGTTTCCCATGTACGCCTGCCTCCGTACGTTGGTCTTATTTGCGTATGCTCCAGTCTACTTTCATGTTTCTCCTTAATCTTACATGTTCCCCGTGAACCCGTTCAGTCCCGGTCGACAAAGCGTTGTGTTCTCCGTGGGATACTAGATGCAAGCTATGGGCCACTGGTTACTTCATTAAGGTGCGCTGAGATCATGTCAATGTCTCTCGGTAGTCCTTTATTGAGCAAGAATTGCATATACGAGAGCGCGGTAACTGACAGCTCGTACTGTGCGTGCTCCATCAGGCTGACAAGTCAGCGGGACTCCTCCACGGACTCCACTCCAGGATCGCTGTCATACCGCAACTGCTCTCGGCGCTGTCCCGTCAACTACGTGGTGGACCCCTCCTCATTATCAGGTGCGTCGTCCCCATCTACAACAAGTTAGTTGCTGACGTGTCCAATAATCCAACTCGACACCGTTTTATGCGTTGCGCCTCTACCAGTTCCCATCTTCCAACAGCTCCCGCCCCGCAGTACGCCCCGCGTGCGTCCTCCCGTCCTCTGCACTCTGCGCCGACTCTACACTCCACTTCCGGCCGTTCCGGGCGCGCTACCACACCATCCTGAATCAGCCCATCTCGTCGAGGAAGGGTTTCCGCAGCGCCGCCGTCATGCATCTTGGACCCTCGCCATGATTGCGAACGCGGCTTGGTTCCGGCCGCCTTGGATGTCACGACGCTCGAGTTGAGTACGCCTCGACTTCCGGCTCATGTTATTTAGTAACCTCGGGGACATCTTCGCAGACATCTATCACCGTTCGTTCGGGGACGATCAACGAGACCCGACGCGCGTGGGGTGCCGGTACGCGTGCCGGGTTCGTCCTGGCGGCTCACGCTCTTTGTGACCCGCTCCTCGTGCAACTAAGTCAACCACTGTTGGCAGGATCCGTCCAAGCTGTGCACGTACGACCCGGAGAGAATTCTCCAGGGATCCTCTCACCACACTCCTCGTTACACTGCGAGTTGATCGGGTTCGTGTACGAACCCAGGACGTTCGATGCGCCCTCCGTCTCGACCAGACCTCACTCGTGCTGCGGCACAGAGCCTCTGTTACTCGACTTGAACGTGGTGCGCATGTCGGTGACTCATGACCCGCGCTGATGCGCAGAACCACACGTCCCATGGCACAGGCTCGACGCACACCGTATAATGCAGGCTCATCTCAACGGGGCTTGAAGTCGGCGACCGCACGTCCTTTCCGCGGCGCGACGCAAGCCTTGTCTACAATTTGAACGGACGCGGAAACGTCTCGAGACCGCCCCCTCGCGCCCTGCGCTCAGGTGTCAGCCACCCTCCTCGCCTCCTCGCTGTGTCGAGTGATCGCGCAGCCGAGGAGCTCACCAGTCGGTCGACGACATCCGTTTCGGGTTTCCGGACGTACCCGCGCCGGGTCTCGCTGGCCTGCCCTGCTTCGCTCGTACGGACGCTTGCCACTCGGAGCCCGGACGTGTGACGATGACGACACTTGAACCGACATCTCGTCCGTCTGCGGCTACCCGTCGCGCACCTCTGGCTTGAGGCGTGTGCGGCCCACAACGGTGGCCCGACGAGCGGATCGCCGCCGTCCTTACTCCATTCGTGTGTACTTCCGCCCGACCAGGCTGTCCTTGCATTTCCTTCGACGGACTCTGGCAGCGCAGGGTATGCGCTACTGATTCGTTGTGCGCTCCCTGCGTTCGCGTTCTCTCGCTGACTGGCAGCCACTCACTCGCGACGCCGCTGACGACGGCAAAGTATGTCTTCCTGAACGCTTCCGAGTCGGATCTGACTCACCGCCTCCATCGATTGACCGGTCTAGTCTAAATACGCCATTGCAGCCCGCGTCGAAATCGCAGACAGCTGGGGCCACGAATTACGGACGACAACGACTTTCCCATCAGGATCGGGGTCGAAGAAGAGCATCAACAATCCGCGGGCAAGCCACGGCGCGAACAGAGCAACCGTGCGGGACTTGATCGCAGACATCGCAAGCTTGGAGTGCGCGTTGTTCGTTGGCTTCTATGTTTCGAGCCGGATCGCTATGGAGCAACGAGGAAGCCGCTCGACGATAGACTCGGAGGCTGCGAGCGAGAAGTTCGTGAAAAGCAGATGTAGGGCTGGGAGCGTCCGTCCCGCCGGTGGGTGGTTCTTCGATTGGATTCCAGTCTTCAGAGGGCCCCTGACTGCGCCAGATAGGCTTCACAGCTCGCACAGCTCGATTGGTCTGCTTACTACTTGAAACTCGACTTGAACCTGCTAGTCGACAAATATCCATGCACGCGACATTGTGGCATTGGGTCGCCGCTCCCACATCGCACAATAGCACGCCCCAGGATCTCCCCCAGGCTGCACTAGGCCGCCCTATCGTGTCCATCATGACCATGAGCACCTCGAGGTATGTCTCTGCATTCTTCATACTTGGCCTGAACTTGTTCAAGTCGTTCCGGGTCCATTATGCGCAGTTTCTCTCCAGGTCCTTCCCATCAGAGACGTGATGAGGGACTTCCCAAGTCAGACTACTTCTTACCTTTCCTGCCAGTGGAGCGCTTGCGTGGCGTGACCGCGTTCCATTCTTCAAGCTTCAGACGCGCGTTGCGCGTGCGCCGTGTGAATTGCACTGGACCCACTGTCGCAACCCTTCCGAAGAACTACCTCTCTCTCTCTCTCTCTCCCCCCAAGGTGTAAGTAGCTCGCGTTCGTTAAGCTGCATGACCTATGGCTGACGAGGCTGTTCGATAGTGGCCTCCAAGTCTGCTCGGGCTACGAGAGGGATGGCGGACATAGCTGACATCGGCCCACTTTTCACCTCCGCCATGAAGGACCCGACGCGTCCGACACACTGCGCCAGGGTTCTCTGCGGCTGCCTCCATCTATTGGACGGGGAGACCAAAGATGCGCCGTACGCGTTGTACCAGCGCTACTACATGTCTCGAAGTGAAAACTACGAAGACATCCGCAGGATGTTCCCCGATTACCTGAACGCATGCATCGTTTTTCTGAGCATGCCACGCTCGAATCAGGAAACCGAGGGTCTCGATGAATTCCTCAGTATGTGCCCCTGCTCATGCGCCTCGGACGAGAATACGGCGGAGGCGCTGGAATGGCTGCACGCATTCGAGGCCGCTCGTCAGTTCACCCTCCGAGACTTGACTGAAGCGCTCATCCGTCACCTCGGCGGTGTACTGAATGATGCTGTTGTATCACGGACCGTCGGCGGTACTGTCGCAACGGGTGGCCTCACAAAGCATCGCAAAAAACATGCTGGAAGACCTCTTTGGCCCGTGGACCCCAGCCAACTTCTCCCCTTTGGCCTCGAGCAGTCGATGAAAGGATACGCCACGTCCTTCCGCTTGTGCCGTCAAGATAGGTACGAGGAGACCCTTTCGCTCATCAACAAGCTTCTTGCCATCTGTGGTCGAACTGTTACCCCGCATCTCCTTCAGTTCCAGCCTGAATGGCCATTGCTCATTACCAACCTCGCGCTTCGTCTCTGCACAGAGCGCAATGAAACACTCGGCAAGCCTGTCGAGCTTGGTGTCGAGCTGAACTGGATGTACGCCCTCTTGCATATAGTGGAGCTCTGTCGAAACATCACGTACGCCGCCAATCCATCAGATATCGCCCTCTTTGTACGCATTGCCATACGGTTCGAAGGCTCGGACAATGGCACTTGTGGCCTTCTCTTCCTCTGCGATTTGATGCTCAACCGCCTACCGCTGTTCCGCGAGGGTACAGTCTTGTTTCCCGACATCCTCATCACCGAACTCTCCAAAGGGTTTGCCCGCTTCGGGGCAGCATTCTACCTTCACAAGCCCACAGACGACACAAGAGTCTACCACCAGTCGATCCTCCTCCAGCACGCGGAAATGGAAGCCTGCTTAGAAGACCCTCTGCAGCGCGCCTTCGAGTGCTTCGGCTGGGCGTCCATGGTGCGACACTGCTCTTTACCAGAGTGCCACGAGACGTTTGCCACCGCCAGCAGGACGTTCGCCCGCTGTGCAGGCTGTGGCGTCCTACGGTACTGCTCCCGCCCGTGCCAGATACGCGCCTGGAAGCACGCGACGCACCCACACAAGGGGGTCTGCACGAAGCTGCGCGTGCTGAGAGAGCGGACACACCTCCCGCGGGATCAGGAGCTAGATCCCCGCCGCGATCGTCAGCTATTTATCGAGGCGTGCGAGGCGGACGAGGGCCTCGCGGCGCTTGCGGAAGACTGCGGGAAGTATATGTACGGGTTGGTAACTGCGCGAAGGGACAACAGCAAGCTTTTGGTACCGGAGGCGTTCCTGGCGTTCTGGAAGCCCGACACGCTTTCGCCCGTCCCTACAACTGCCACTGGGGAATGATCATTCTCGGCTCACTGGCGACTGACCTTGTGATTGATGCTATCTTTGGTGCTCAGGCTACGTGTATCTACGAAGTATCAGAACCCGAATGCTCATTGTTGTTGATGTTTTGGACTTAATTCTACTCGCAGATGCGCTCGATCCTGGGAGAGCTTCAAGCAAGCCTGAGGATGCTTGCATCGTCGGGCATGGTTGTTTTACGGAGTCGAGAAATGAAGGCTCCCGCTGTACTGTGTATGGTGCCTGCTCAATGTTCACAACGGACGCGCGGGGCGGATGGCCAAGTGCAGAGTTGTTGCCACGGAGTTGTACTGAAAGTGTGACATCGACCAAAAGGCTGGGATGCTGGTGCGCCAATGTCCAAAGCTCAACTTGAAGGGGTCGTCATCTTTTCACCAGCGTCAGTGCTAAGTAGTCTCCGTTGCCGACCATAAAAGAACGACAAGGTGCTCAGTGGTACTACCTGATGAGTTCCATCCGTTTCGGTCGACACTATGGCCCGTACGTCGTCCCAATACGCGCCTCCTTCATAACGACCCATGTCTTCGGTGGCGATAAGCAACTCAGACAAGCTCAATTCTCTGAAGTCTGCATTTCAACGTGATTGCGCAGTCGCAATCCTGATACGAGCTTGAACATGCCATAACCGATCAACCTGCAATGCAGGGACATAGCCTCAAATACATACATGTAACGAACAGGTAGTGCAACCCGACAAAGTACCAATATCAATCATACATCAGCTTCCTTGGCGGGACGGGTATCCGCGACGGGCGATGATGAGGAGTACTCAGGCTCCCGCACGGCCTCGCCACGCATGTTCTCGCTGAAAGAACACGGCGTCGCCTGTACTCTCGATGAACTTGCACTGCGTGAACCTCCGCCAGAGGGCGTGAAACGCCGGCTGGTGACGTCAGCATCAAACGACGAACGAACGGGCTCGGACAAAGCGACCTGCCCTCAAATCATAGTAGCCCCGAGCACGGGCTTGATCGCTTTAATCACATTAGAGAGTTTATCTGCTGGGAATGGCAGCGAATCATAACGTACACGGAAGGACACTCACAGAACGGTACCTCAAGGAGAAGTGGTAGATGACGTGGTCATGGGCAATCTAAGGGACGCCAGTCAGCCACGCACGTTGACAACGCCATCAGCATTTCCTTGTCTCGTTGGATGGGATAGGCTCACCCGTTGTGAGCTCGCTGCTGACAACGCGGATGAGACCCCCTGTGCAGCAATGAAGAGACATTGCTATCATTAAACCTCGGCGCGATACGTTCCGGTGTCTTTGTCTATGGCATACGGATAGTTTCGTTGCAGCCAGCATGGCAGGCAAGCCTCCCCAGCTCGGGCAGAGTCATGCCGCATTGGTTTCTACACCTTCGTCGCCGATAACGACGAACGACACGTCGAGTTCGACGTCGCGCAGACATCCCGAATATCGCCTCCGGATAAGAGGGGACCCCAAAGGTAGCGTAAGCAAGCTCGTCCGGCTGAGTAGACCATAGCTTGCTACGGTGTCGCTCGGTCCTGCAGCCTCGCTCACCATCGTACCAGAGAAGCGAGATCGCATCGCTCTGCCCAGAAGATGGTCGACCGACGAGCCGAACCGTCGTACCTTGAATGCAGGACGAGGGACGTACGACGAGTACGTTGTTCCGACCGATGACATCCATGCAAGGGCATCGCCGTGCTAGAGCACGCCGGGAGCGATCAGCGGAGGACCACATAGACATCGCAGACGCGAAACCTCCAACCGCGCGGGAGATGGCACAATAACTTCTTGGTTGCGGTTCATCTGCAGAGCGACGGCTCAACGTCAGGGTGGTTAGTAGCATAAGACTGGGGACGGAGTGACGTGCTGTATCGCGTGTCACATCGCGGGTGGATCGCCATCTCGTTCCCGCCGTGCAGGTCTGTTCGTCCAGCGTTGACGAACTGCAGGCTCGTATTGCGCTCGATGTATGCGGGAGCCGGACGAGCAAGGGAGGAAACCCTGCGAAGCTGAGATACATGAAAGCCCGGAAACGCCAGTGTGCTACAAAGGACGGATACGGATGATAAGGCGGGCTGACGTACCGATGCGAGTTCAGATTTTGCTTCCACGAGAGAGGGAGCCTGTACATATCCTGAGAAATGTGGACTTCGCAGAGGACGGACAGCAAGACGTGCGGACATACCGCAGCCAGGTGATACGTACCCCTCCAGGAAAGCTCTCAAGGGACTTGCGGGGGATGCGTACGCTCGACAGGCTGGGTAGGGGAGGGGGCATACCACTTGCCCGTTGGCTGAGCGAGGTGTTCGTCGTCGTCATCTAGTAACAGCTGCAGAGAGTGCTGTTCGGAGAGTACGCGGAGACGAGGACATACGCGCGGGTGCGAACATACCCCTAGTGTCACTAGTAGTGCCAGCACCGGTCCTACGCCCCTCGTCCGGTAAGGGAGCCCAGGAGCTCCAAGTCCTGCAAAGCACTGAGACGGACGAACGAAGCAGAGGGGGCAGAGTGACGCGTGCACTTGACCGGCCGGATGGATGCGGTAGACTGCCAGCATAAGAGGGAGAAGTCCGCGACTGCTGCCGGTCCCAAGACCCACGCCCTCACGCGCACGCCGTGGCGGGTGTCGACAGGCAGTGTGGCGGCGACGTCGAGTGCAGAAGCGCGCGTGTGGCGGGGCCCGCGTGACCGTCCGCTCCCCAACAGAGCTCACTGGCCCGCCACCCGCCTGCGACGCCGAAGGTGACATCGACCACCTATCGCGTCTCACGCATAGCCATCTGCGCGTCGTGCACGGCCGTTCCGCGATACTCGTTCGCCGCCTGCAGGCCATACGCGTCACCGTCCCGTGTTCTTTCAGTCTGAAGACCTGACCGACACGCAGAGGCCTCCTCGGCGCGACTCGAGAAAAAGCTCCATGGTGAGTTCCCCCCCCATGTCTGATAAGCTTACGGTGTGCAGACTCTTACCACTTCCAGTCGTTGCATGTCGGGTCCCGTCCTCCGTTCCGGTGCTGGTCGCTCTCCCAATTCCATTCGCGTGCTCGACTCCCGTCCTCTCCACCTCCAGGCCGCCTTTAAGACCCGCGATCCCGTAACAGCGCGTGACAATCGTCGCACAATGCATTCGCGGAGGCCACTGACAGTGGAGGCTTGTAGGGCTGCCAAGGTCGTCCCGGTGAGTCTCGAGTAACTTCCGTTGCGGCTTCTTTCGAGCTTGATGAGACTCAAACACGCTCGGAAGATCCTCGCTGTGAGCGAGTCTATCATGTACTCTGAGGCTCCAATCCACTCACCACCACGACGTCAGAGGACGCGAGGATGGACGTCTTCCGCGGTCACTGCAGGCGCGCGGACACGATTGCTTGGTGAGTTCTGAAACACGCCCCTTCTCCATCCACTTCGCCTCACGCTCAACGGCGCCCCGTAGGTCGTCCTCTTTGTGTGCGGCATGTTTGCGTATTGCAGGACTGGCTTTCCCCCCTCTGGAGAATATACTAGGGGGTGCGTGTTCGCTCATTTTCTCGCCTCCGTCACTGCCTCATTTCTGACGATGTGCTCGTGGTCACCTAACCTGATGCCGCCGCGTCTCTACACGCTCGCAGTCTCTTTGTCTCCCGCGAACGATCCGTCTGCCCTCCTGCCACCGGTCATCCTCACGCCCACGCGTCCCACGCTGACCACGACTACACCCAGCATCCAGAGTATTCGCGCCCTCCAGTGTCCTCGCAGCAAGAGCAGCGTGTGGTCAAAAGCTTTCGTGGTGCGTCCTTGGAACCTCGACAGGCCGCACGTCGCGCCCGGAACGGCAGTCGCATCTCTGGTATATCTTATGCGACACGACACCATCTGTGGGTGAACTGCGAAAGTCCCTGGATCGAACGATCAAAGCCGTGCGTTTTCTCCCTTAGTTGGGCGCAGCGCGGGTGTCTCATGGGGCACCTTCGTGGACCGTGGCTCATGTCTAACCATCAATGCGAACACGTACGGGCGAAGTATCTCCTCGCTGAACTGTTTGCGACGCTGCAGTCGAAGACCTCCGGCCCTACTCCCTTACGACGCATATTTACCGAACTTGTACGCCACCCGCCGAAGGTCTCGCAAGGTTATATCCGTCGGGTCTCACCGCGTACGTCACGCCCGGCGAGAGTCTCTTGCGGCTGAGCAGCGGGGGCACCGCGCTCCCTGTTTGTCGGTTCGGTACACGACTTACGGGCGTCCTCCGACCCCTACACAGATCGAGTAGAGGGAACGTCTGGTCCATCGATTCTTATTTCTGCCAGCATCGATCGCCGCCCACCGGGGAAGTCACCACTTGCGAAGGACAGTCCTGGCCTCACCATCGCGATGGGACGTGCACCTATATGCGACCGCGGACTCGTATCCGTGCTGTCGCTTTCCCGCTCTGCCGTATACATATCAGTGGATTGTGTCCCCCGTCTCAATATTGATGCTGTTTGTTGTAACGCCCCATGGTCGGGACGATACCTCGCGGAGGCTTGTCTGATGTTTCGATGACATTGGATTGTTTGCAAGGTCTCCGGGCCTAACAGAGATGACTCGTTCGCCGTGCGCATGTCTTTAGGGCGCATTGCCAGCACTACCGAAGGGAACTGTGCCAAAGAAGAACCCTCAGCGAGGCGAGATGTCCGCTCTACTACTGACACACTCGCTAGGTGGCTCATGCGTCGATGTACGGCACTGCGACTCGCGTCGCAAACCAAACGCAAGAGCAACTCTGCTCTTCGCCGTCGTGTACGTCCGTCCCACCCTCTCTTTTGTTTATGGGTTCATGGGAACTCATGTGCATCCTAATCACCAGAGCGACCAGGACAATGAATTAACGGTCTCAGATCTCAGCCCTGACGCGTGAGCCTAAGAGTGGCTATGACCGAGGGTTATCCGCACTGCGGCGACAAACAAGTGAAGCATTTTCGATAAATACGGGAATCCGAGTCGCCATACAACGGTACCCTGTGAGTTCTGCGTGTTTATGAACCATCCTCGTCTCGCGAAGCTTTCGTTACCGCTCTCTCCGCATGTTTCTTCCTTCACCCCACAATGTCCAATCCCGTTGTTCTTCGGCTATGATATATGATGATACATGATCCACGATTCGACCGCACGCGATTGCGGTGGAGAGAGGTGCGACGGGTTGCCGCTCCAGTCACCGCTCACCGAGACACGGTGTCTCAGTCTATTAAGCTCTTCGAGTTCGATCGTTAAACTGGGTGGTATGTGAGTAACGCGCTTTCCGGTGTAGTATCAGGGATCGAGCGACGTACACCTTGATAACAGTGCCGCAAATCTAGGTGTATTGTCTACGCCAGAGAAGATTCTTCTTCAGCCTCCGTATCTCCAATGGCATCGCGCGCATGGTCATTGTTCTCCGAGTCTGGTATCTCCTTTATACTGGCATGCGTCCGAGTCCCTGCTCGAGCGGATAAGCGTATTGAACAGATCGCGGCTATGCCCTTACGGACAACGGAGTTTTGGCACTCACCAAGGACACGGAGTACTGAGGAGGAATTACGAGTGAGGTCCTCTTCACCGTCAGGATCGGAATTGAATTCGAGCTGCACGACTCCGCGATCCAGCCACGGCGCGAACAGAGTTATCATGTTTGACTTGATCGCAGACAATGCAGTGGTTCGAGCTTCCATCTGAGACTCAGACTCCTCCAGTGAGCCGAACCATCCGATTACAATCAATACACCGGCACCCGATTTGGACCACCAGTCCCCAGAAACTGCTGGAAGTTGGTCAAAGACGCTACGAGAGAGTATAGCATGGAAAGTGGAGGTGGAGCCGGGAGGGTCTGCCTCGCTGACTAAGGTCTCGTCCCTATCTTCAGACGTGTCGTAGCAGGGCAGAGTCAGGTAAATGTTGATCATGAGTCGCTCCAGATGCGGGCTTCGTATGTCAGACAACAAGGTATCCAGGGCCCTCTGGATGCTCGCGGGTGATGGATCAACACGGTTGAGAGTGATCTTCAGGCCTGTCAGTGATGTGTTTGCTGTAAGTCGCGGTACGTCATCGTGGATCGAGTGTTCTATAGTTTCCATGAGCAATCGCAATCGCAATGACAAGCAACCAAGACATTTACCATCAACTTCGGGAGTATGTTCCCATTCAAACGTCTTCAGCCTAGCTCCGGCGAGACATAGAACCTCTGTAACGCGTAGTACAAACTCTGCACGCTGTCGATCATGCGGCTGGCAATGCCAGCAGGGAAAGAAAACCCGCAGGGCTTCCAGTCTGCTACAAGTCTGCGAGGACAATACCAGTAGAAACTGTAGCGCCAACGACGCAGGCATATGTTCGAGTCGTAAATCCGACAGGGAGGGGTTGGGTTCATGTGCTGTGTATAGGGCGAGGTCTGCTGCTGATGCAGGCTCGACATCGGAGCCGAGCTCTGCATCGTGTAGCAACAAGTGGGACAGATGTGGGAAATGGTGTAGAAACCGATGAAGACTCGAGAGCGAAGAGCAGTAGCGCAGGTCCAACTCTAGCTCTGTCACGTAGGAGTAGTACGTGACACATACATCCCATAGGAATTGATGGTATACAGATGGGATGTGATTGCCCCTCGCCGGCGCGCCATGAGAAATGATACGGTAGGCACTCCCAATATTCATTCTCTTGAGCTTGTTGCGAGAAAAATTGGGAACATAGTGTGACACCAAACCTGGCACGAGTTGGTGCTGCAGTGCGATCCCCGCGAGAGACAGGTTTTCGAGGCTCGGGAGTGCGGTGGAGATCCTACGGAGTTCCGCTATACTGCGAAACTGGCACCGTTCGATTATCAGAGTTTTGATGCTGGTGTAATAGGAAAGGAAGTGGAAGAAAAGATCATGTGGTCTGGTTGCTGTCCAGTTGAAGTTGATTAGGCTCAGCTCCTCCAATCGCGGTACGAAATACCCGGGAATGCGCATTGGCCAAATATGGGCGAGTGGCTTTCGAGGGTCGTCTTGAATCTGCAGGGTATGAAAGATTTTGCCATATGATCGATTGTTTTTCAACATGAGCATGTATGCGCAGTCATCCAAGTCTTCTCGGGTCTGCAACTTGAGGCTGGAGTCCCAGTAGACGCGCCGTGCAGCACAATACCAAGCGTGGCAAACAAGGCGGCACCTGGTCAGTGTGAAAGGATCCAACCGGAGGAATTCGCAGATGCGGTCAATCAGCTCCTGCGGAAATCGCGGATAGGTTTCACTGTGTCGACGAAGCAAGTCGATATGTCATTCGAGCAATTAGTGCCTGCGGACCGAACGGAAGGCATACCTCGAGTATGTGGGTGCTCTGTAGCAATCCCGCACTTTCGTAGCATGTCCTTCCGGTGGTCTTTCTTCGCCATCGAGTGCATCCGCCATCTGGTAATCTCGCCATCAGGTCATTATGATCCAACGGGTCGCCGGTACATTGGAAAATATACCTCGCCCGACTACGTTATATCTGCAGAACTTCAAAGTGATCTCTGAGTTGACGATTCTTTCCCTGTATGTATAGCATGCGGAATGATCAGGTTATGTCGTGCAGACACCACTCCGCCGAGATCTCACCCGTGAAAACCGTGAACTTGGCAGCCGCGAGTCGGGCGAGGCAACAACGGTAAACGTGAGGATAGATGGTAGACTCTGAGCGTCGTAGATCGCCAGCAGCGGTGGCAGTCGGGTGGGAAGCGCAGAGCAGGCGCAGAACGAGAGGAGCGGAAGCCCGAGCGGCGGACGACCTGCGGACTCGAGGGCGAGAGACTGCCTCTTTGAATTAGTACGAGGGCGGACCCGAGTCGAGGGAACGCACAGGCTTGCCGCGTGTTATGAGCCGCCCTGTCATTGGGGGCGTATAAGGTTACTTACATCGACGGTCGAACTGTTCAGTTGCGCAGCGCTCGGTGTTCGCGCCACACTGCCTTCTCTGCGAGATATGGTTATTGTAACACCATGCATCGGTAGAAAGCGCGCACGTAGTAGAACACGGGACATGGACGACCTGAATGCAGAAGTACATTTCCTACTCTCGAGGCAGGGTTTCGTTCGTGTTCTGATGCATGAGGTCTGGGCCACAGTCGATGTTCGCAATGCGGTGTGAGGCGCATCCGGCGCGTCTCGCTCACCGAAGAGGGCTGTGTACCATCTGCCCTTCTGACTAGATTCCACGTAAGTACGGCTGTCTTGGGCAATTGAACGCGCTTTAGTGGGCTTACCGAGCGCCCACAATGTCGATGAGAGGCCAAGAATGCCCGCATGGCGACTGACACCAAGGCTGTCCATTGACAGACGAGTTGACCATCTCGTCGGCGCACAGACGGTCGAGTCGTCCAGACCCACAGGTAGATTCTCTTTTTTTACAAGACTCTGTGCGTCGTGCCACTCAACATGAACTGCTCCATTAGGATCCTGCAGAAGATCGTCAACGGTAGCACAAACGGAGGGTTGACGGACTTGCACATACCCGTGAGCAGGAAGGGCACACACTCTTTCGCTAAATCGTATCATGTCGCTCATGGACGAGGGACAGCGCCGACCGGCGACCCATCTAGGACGTGCGTTGGCACTCTTGGGAACACAAGCCACACGCCCCGGCGGTCGCGAAGCCCGGGACACAATCACTTTATTGGCAGAGGTGTGGTTCTATCTGCGCGCCACTGGGGTCCCAGGCGCCGAGGATGCGCCGAGCCAACACGCATGAGCCCTTCGAAGCGAATGACATACCAAAAAAGGTGTATCGTGCGCGTGAGCACTCAATGAGTTCTTGCAACGACCTGGATGGCAAGCCTGAGCACAGCGGATGTGTCAGACGCGATGACGACTTGAATCCGCGCGTCTGCACGTGATGCACGCGTCGGGCACTTCACGAATCCCCTCCTCCTCGTCAAGCCACCGCCATGGCTTGAGGCTGCGTTCATCCTTGTTGGACCGTCAATCGGAGCCCTTGTTCGTGCTTGCTTCCCTCGAAGGCTATCCCACGCTCCAACCAGCCTGTCTCGCTGCATACGCCAGCACTGCGCGGCCCACTTGTCTATGGCCTGGAGCACACTGTACAGGGCTGCGACCTTCTGAGGCCTGCGTACTACTGAAGTCTCACGCATCCCTCGAACTCCCCCTCCGAGTACATTCTTCAGCTCGCGCTCCGTTCTTGACACCAGCACTCCTCTGCGACTCGCCAGCGCGTGCTCTTCCCTGCATACGAACCTTCGTGTCCGCCTCTTCATGGCCTCGACGCTGTCCCTGTCGTCCTGGTTCTGATCCGTGACAGTCTGTGCCATCCACCGCGTCCGTATGTCTCCCGGGCCTCGTGCTTCTTGTAAGCTGGTGTAGGAAGCGCGTTACCGGCGGAGAGAGTCGAGCTCGTGGAGATCTGGGTACCGAGTGAGTACAAATTTTACGCATATGTTTCATTTTGGTGCGGCCGGTCGATGTTGCTTGTCTTTCCGCACCTGGCACAAGCTGGACCTTTCGTTGCCGAAAGACTTGCTATACATGTCTGTATATTACTGGGTCTTGCACTGGAACGCGACGTGGCAGGGGACGTGTAGACGACGGGTTGGAAGCTATCGTTTGTTTGAACAGCAGACGTAGGCGGGCTACATCCATCGGATTTCTGTTGTAGACTGACGTTGTCCCACAGCAATTGCCCCCTGCTTTATATAGCCGACAAGCTATCCCAGTGATCCTCCGCAGTATTGTAGCCAGAGGCACAGTTCCCAGCCTGCATCAATTCAAACTCCCTACGGAAACCTCGGGCTAACATTGGTATCTTCGTAGTGCATGTCTTTTGTCTTGGTGACATCCTTCCATCACTCTACAAACTCAACGGTGCTTGATCAGTGTCCATTCTCTTCGACGACGCACGAACATATGCGCATACATCCTCCGAGGAGTACGTTTGTACGTCTTACTATTCTGTTCAACCGCACACACTAATCTCATCCGTGATTCGCTGAAAGACTGTTCGTCATCCCTCGCCTCCAAAATCCATCCGAAGCCAACGCTGTCGATCCCCGGCTTCGACACGCGTTCAATATATCCGTGCGGGGGTCTTCGCTCGCTATGGGTAGCGTGCGGACGGCCACGAACACGACCAACGCGATCTCGCAGACGCTCACGGCTAGGCTCTTCAGTCCAGGAAGGTGCGCTTCAGTGCTACGTTTTGCGAGCACTACGAAGTCGACCAATTCTCGCAGCAAAAGATCCTCGCTCGGCATTCGAGATGAAATTCGGTCACACACACAAATCTCCTATCGTCTCGCTCGTCATTCGTCACGTCAACCAGCACAGGACGCATAGAGCTTGCCTAGGGTGTGAGAGCGTCCCAGTGCCATAACCGGTAAGTCGTCCATTAATGTATCTATCAAACTTGGTTCCGTTCGTCGTCGGTGAGGGAACAACGTGGCGGGCGTTGCAGAACCATCACTCGTTCGTCGCCGCTTCTCTCCCCATCAAGTCCTCTGGTCCAAGGAAGGGGCGTGAAAACGATGTCGGCACTAGCGTTCGTGCGTCTGCTCGTCTCGGTATCCGTACGTGGCATCCTAACGTTTCCGGAGCTTGTTTACCTCAACGAACAGTGCTCTGTGATTCGCCCGTCCGCCGCCCGCATACAGCCTTCAAATTCGATTTGAGCGCAGTACGAACCTGCGGCTCGCCAACGCTGATCGGACGGACGGACATGAGTGCGATCCACCGGCGATGCGACGCGCGTCTTGTGCTGGCTTTTCTGGAGTACGGCTGTATTCTGCAGATGCACTGCACCCAAGACATCATCTCCTGCGCGACCGCGGGCTCGCACCCTCGATGTCTGTTGTCGCGGCTGATCTCGATCAGGGCGCAGGCGTGGATGAGGTAGCTCTCAGCGTACTATGGAACGGATGCCATCTTGTGGAGGACCGCACTTGGCACACATCGCTCGTGCTACGATCCAAGGGTACAGTGATCCCCCGTCAGCTGCCCATCTCTGGGGGTGCGATCGTGACGGTCTATGGCCTACTCAGCTCAGTGAGTTTTGTGGCACCCTTTTCTACATCTCTCATTCGGAGATGGTGTCCGGGATGTCTGCTAAGACTGGACGGCTTGGATGCTCGATCGGTGCTGTTCGTCGGGATCGCCGGCGACGGGCGTAGAAACCCAATGTAGCTCTGCTTGAGTCAAAAGGAGTTCGAGCAAGTCATGCAGTACAGCATGTTTCTGCACGACCTGCCTGATAGTGGTGCTGATTGCGACGAAATCGTTCGTGTGCCATGGACCGCCAGCCAAGGCTCGCGCTCAACGATGACGATGTGTCTCTGCACACGCTCAGTCCGCTTGGATCAGGCGTTGGACGGCAATGAATGAGACGTGCGCGATAGCGAGGATTCGTCCTGCATCCATAACAACGAAGATGATACGTAGGCGGACAGAACTCGACGCTCGCTCGAGGATGACGCCGGATGCATAGGTTCGTGTCACTTTGTTCACATGTCATGACGATACACTGATGAACATCAATTCCCGTTCACTGGACAGCTCGGCGTGCCCGTAATTGCTTTCAACCACTGAGCTTCGTGACGAATATCCGAACGGGGCGCGCAGATAGGACCACTCTGCCGGTGCTAAGCGGCTGCGTCCCAGGCTTCGAGCTGCGCGTCCGGGGCGCGTGTGGCTTGTGTTCTCAAGAGTGCCAATGCACGTCTAAGTTGTGTTAGCATCGTCCCTCGTCCATGAGCAACTCGATACCTCGGTATATCTACAGCGCGTGCTCCCTTCATGCTAACGGGTACGTGCAAGTTCGTCAAATCTCTATTCGTGCCAAGGTTGACGATCTTGACTCTGCAGAATCCTACTGGAGCAATTCATGTAAAGCGACACGACGCACAGATTATTGTGCAGTAAGACAATATATTTATGGATCTAGACGTCTTGACTGTCTGTGCCCCGACGAGACGATCAACTCGTCCTGTCAACGCACAGCCTTTGTGCTAGTCGCCATGCGGGGCTATTCCCAAACACCGGTTTATTCTGGGCCTCTCCGAGTCATCGATCCATCGTGGGCGCTCGGTAAGTGTACTAGAATGTTCTCAGTTGCTCAAGACAGTTGTACCTAGAATCCAGTCAGACAGGGATAGTGAACAGCCCTTCGGCGAGCTGCGTCTCGCGCCTCATTACGAACATCGATGGTGTCCTGGACGTCATGCATCAGAGCACGAAAGGAACCCTGCATCGATGGGAGGCGATGTACTTACGCAGTCAGGTCTTCCGTATCATGGGTTCTGCCAGGTGCGTGCTTCCTACCGATGCAAGGTGCTACGATAACCATATGCTCGCAGAGATGGCACTGGCAGTGTGGCGCGACCCGGGCAGTACATGCTGAGTAGACGGAGGCGGCGGACGTCCAATAGGTTCAAGCTGACGAGATGCAAGGTCATTCCGTTTGTATGAACCGGAGTGGACTCGGCAGTGCATGAGCTCGCCGCATGTGCTGAGCCGCCTTCGTACCAGGGCCTACAAGGTTACGTCGAGTGGTCCAACTGCACATGCACATGGCCACCGACTGCCCGCGTCCACGCCGCACCGGCGCGTGAGTCGAGAATGCATGGATATCAAGCAAGTAGCCTTCCATCGACAGGAAATGCACGCGTGGTGCAAGGCCAGGACGCAGAAGACCAGGCCAGTGTGTACTATTGCCTCCTATCAATGCAGGGCCCCGTACGTGTTCTGTCGCCAATGTTGCACAAGGTCCGGGTGTTGGGCACATATAGCGACTGACTGTTGCCTGAAGCAGTCGGCGATGGTCAAAAACGAGGTGGGAGATATAATGCTCACTGAATGGTGTCATACCGCGCTGCATACTTACTGTATCCGAGCTTCCGGCTGAATTCAGGATGTTCTAGTACGTTTTACGAGCATCGATCAAACTTTCAAGGGCCATAACCGTTCGAACCTCTGGTTTCAATTCTCGGACTCAGCCTGGCTATTACTGGAACGAGGGGCCCTGTAACAGCAGCACGCTGCACGAGTCGTCAAGTTCGCTGGCGGACAGACGACCATCGGACCAAACGCCTAGAGCCACAGAAAGATTGTCTTCTCTCATCTTCGAGGCTCTTCGGTACATCGTGTCGCTTAACATAGCACACCGGTAGATGCGGCATGGTTATAGTACGTCGGATCAGGGGATTCCAGTCAGTCGGGACACTGGAGTCAATCACGTTGAGTGGTCTAGGGCAATGCATGTCGCGGCATTCAATTCAACTCAAAAATTCTGAACTTCGTTGCACAGCGCCGCTGTGCTAGCGGTTTTCGGTAGGCTATCTCACTTGCACGTCTCCCAGTCCCAGGACTCACACCCGGGAAAATGATGGCTCAAGAGCTCCGTATTTGCGTATACTACTGGTATCCGATCATGGGCCATCTGGTATGATTCGTCTCGTTCTGCGAAACCTGGTACATATTTAGCTGCTCGTTCATCCACAACGTGAGGCTTGCATCTAGCGCCTTCGCGCGTTGTTTGATGAACTCCGTCAGTCCCCTTCGTTCATCCGGTGAATATTGGGGTTAGGCTTCAGTGTTCAGATATGCGTTACAGCCACTTCCGTCTAAGCTGTCGTCGTCGCCAGGGCTGGCAGCTCCCATTTGCACACAGAACCATCAGCGGATGCAGACACGATATGCCTATTGTCGTGGGAGAAGGAGAGGTATTTCACGTTGTCGGTGTGCCCGAGAAACCGAGCGACCTCCTTCTTCGTCGCCATGTCCCAGACCGTGATGATGTGGTCCTCACCACCCGCGGCGAGGAGGGAGGGAGAGGAGCATGAACAGCTTTTCCGTGGCTCGGGCCTTGCAGGTTGACAACTGAGCGCGAGACGAGAGCAGTAGCGCTGTTACGAGGGAAGCACGTCCATAAGATCTTGCGGAGGCTCGTCACATCGACAGGTTCGAGCGGCTCGACAGAGAGGATGTGTCGAGGACAATCGACACGCGTCCGGGTCGCCGATCGAAGGTCCGTTCGCATACCTTGGAATCCCTGCCAGCCGTCTGCGTGAAGGCACCGCGGTGTGGTCCCCGTTCCAGGAATCCCAAGTGACGATACATAGGCAACTCGGGATGATAGACAGGGTGTGTCTGGGCGTGAAAGATCCACAAGCTAGTTCGGATCCCACAGAGGCCGCTGCGCTCGAGCGAGCGCATCATGTACGTGGCATCACTGCACGTACCTTCGCTTTCCAGAGGCACTTGATGGAGCATCGCCCGTGTCCGCGCTCGCGTGGACCCCATTTGCTCCTATACGCATGGATTGACTCAAGATGCCGATACAGGCTGTAGCGTGGCTTTTACATAGCTCGAGGGATTGCCATGCCTTGTCGATGCTGACATCGGAAAGATGATACTTCTGGGGGACATTACGTTGCTGCGAGAGAAGGAAAATCAGATGCAGAGACGTACCCATCTGCGCGTCCAACGCGTGGTCTTCGGGCACGCGCTGACGCGTCGATTTGGGGAATTCGACGATGGAGGTGTCCAGAGAGCGCATTACGCACGGCGTGATGCGGATATGTGGGTTTCTTCGATCGTCGGGACACCGTGACAGAAGTAAGCCCCAGACGCCATCTACTAGAACCAATTTCATGAATTTCCTTCATGCAACAAGCTCTAATCGAAGCGGTAATCGATGATTCAAAACGAATACGGACTGGGATGTGAGGCCTGAGGTCGAAGCAAGAACCGAGGTCGAAGCGGATGTGAGGAGGAAGCAACAACCATGTCAGACTCGATGACGGTACGCGTCGCGCGACATGGCACGTGATGAGCGTGCCGCGGAGGAGGACTCGCTCACTGGCCCGGGCCCCGCCACCTGCGACGCCGACGACAACATGGACCACATGTCGCGCCTCTCGCATAGCTGCCCTCTTGCATCCGCGATGCTGTCCCCTGAAGGCCATACACCTCACCGTCCAACACTCAAAGATCTTCTCGGCGCGGCCCCACAGCCAATTCTGACCCACGTCTATTACTTATGCAGTGTGCAGACCCTTGCTGCTTCGAGTCATTGCATTCCACTCACCCTCCGCGCCCGTGCTAGCCGCTGTCCCAAATCCGTTCGGCTCGACTCCCGTCCGACCAAGCTGTGCTCTCCGTTCCGCCTGCAGGCCGCTCCTGCGATCCCGTACCGCACTTGAATATCCTCGCAAGATGCATATCTGGAGGCCGCTGACAGTAGAGGGAGGGCGACCAGGGACAATTCGGTGAGTCTTGAGTCAATCCTTTCGAGCTTGGAGAGTGACCGTCAGATCTTTGCTCAGGCGACTGTGAGCAAGCTTCACATGCATCTCAAGGTTGCAGCTGCATCTACTTACGCCCCTCCGGAGAGTCTGCTACGTACCTCGGGCGGATGGGTGAGTAGTCATATTCTCTCCCCCACCACTTCCTCATTTCAGGCGATGTACTCGTGGTGATGCCGCTGCTTCTCTGCAAGCTCGCGGTCGAACTGTCGTGTTCGTCCGTATCCCGCAGACGTGCACCTATCCGTTCATCCTTCTGCTGGCATCGATTATCATATCCGTGCGTCCCACGCTGACCCGGATATTTACAGTCTGCAGAGGATACGCGTCTTCCGGTGCTGTTGCAGTAAGAGCAGCGTGCGGTCCGAGGCTTTCATGCTGCACCTTTGGAGCCTCAGCAGGCTGTTGCGCGTCTTGTGCATCACGATCCCATCCGTGAGTGAACCTTTGTACGTCCCAAGACTCGACGCTCAAGGACGTACGTTCATCTGGTTAGGCGCGGCACGAGCATCTCGTCAGGCTCCTTCGCGGTTCGGCCCTCAGGTTTACCTATCAACACGAGTCCGAATGGATGAAGCATCTCTTCGTTCTCATCTGGTTGAATACACCGCGACGCTGCAGCGCGGATTACGAGTCGTTCATCAAGTTGTGCTGGCCGTCAAACCTCTGGGCCGACAACCGGGATTGTACGCCACAAGTCTCGTAATCTCGCTCTGATGTCGTCTAGTCTCCCGCCAACGCCCACGATCGCGGTTCCTTCGCCTTTTATCATCCCCGCACCTGACGATCTACCCCCACCACGCATATACCTGGCTCGCACGCCAGCCGACGGTGTCGCTAGGCATCGACGGTCAGCCTCTCCCCAACGAGCCTTACCACGTACGCGACGCCCGGCGACAATCTGCCGCGAATGGGCAGCGGATGCATTGCGCTCCCCGTTTGCCGGTTCCGTCGACAACCTACGGCCGTCATCCGACCCATGCGTGGGCCGAGTGGAGAGAACGCGCAGTTCGTCGGCCAGCAACGCTCGGGGACCGACCACTTGCGAAGGATGTCCTCGCCACGGGCCGCCGATCCGCGGATCTTATTGCACAGCGGACTTGTGCGTCCGTACTGCCTTAGTTACGACGATGCTCCGTGAATGTACAATAGCCATGTTTAAGGTGTGAAACCACTGGATCTTATATAAGACTTGCGATCCTAATGCAGATGGTATCGATACTCTCCGCCGTCGTACTTAGGTCCAGTGCGGTGCGACGCCAAACGCGTATACGAGATCTTCGTTCCGCTGAGACAGTCACTCGACATGCCTGGCAGCAAGTGGACAGCTGGATAGGCGAGCCTAGAGGGCTTCAGCGTCGCGTCGCCACGCTGCTCTCCGCCTTCGTGTGCGTCCGTATCAGCTTCAAGTTGTACATTTGCGGGAACTGATGCCCGCGCCCAGAACGACCGTGACAACGGACGAATGGTATCATATCTCCGACGCACGGGCCTGAGAGTGCTAGCTAGCTCGGAGTCGGCGGTGTCATACGAAGGGAGCGCATACAATAGACAACATGATTCTTACAGCAGTACGCGCGGTGAGTCCTGCACGTCCCCTAACGACCTCGCAAACCTATGATCCATCCTGTCCTGTGTGTATCACGCCCATGTTCCCGAATCCTAACCCTGCACGTCCGTTCTTCAGCTCCAATTCCAAGGATTCTCGTCATGAGTCTCGCAAATCGACTGCAAAAGCCTGCTAAGCGTGTAGCGGCGAGATGTCCGGTGGATTACCGCGCCGAACGCCGTTCACAAAGGCGCTCTCCGAGTTCGGTTGTTGACCTGGGTTGTTTGTGAGTAAAGTGGTTTCCAGTATAGCAAGAATCGAGTGGCATACAACTTGATAGTCCGAGGTCAGTCCTGCAACTCCAAGCGCACCGTCTATCGGCCCCGGAGAAATCACATCTGTATCTCCACTAGCATCGCACACGTTTCCTCCGCTTTCGTCATCTCCCGCGTCCTGGATTTTCGTAATGCTGGTATGCGTCCCTAGTCGAGCGGATGAGCGCACTGAGCAGATCACGGCTGCGCCTTTACGGACAACGGAGTCGTGACACTCACCAAGTACTGATGAGGGATCACGAGTGACGGACAATTCACCGTCAGGATCGGGAATGAAGTGGAGCCGTAAGACTTCGCGATCCAGCCACGGCGCGAACAGGTTGATCATATACGACTTGATCGCAGACATTGTGGCGATTTGGATCTCTTCCGAGTCCGTCTGGACTTGAATGACAACACCCGCCTCGTCCTGCTCAGAGTGTGCTGGAAGCCGGTGAAAGACGCCACGAGAGAGTACACTCTGGAAATCGAAGGTGAAGCTGGGAGAGTCTGTCTCGCTGACCAACACCTCGTCCCCATATTCAGACGTCTCGGAGTGGGACAGATTAATGGTGATTCTGAGCCGCCCCAAATGCGAGCTTCGGATGTCAGATAGCAAGATACATAGGGCCCTCTGGATCCTCGGAAGTGACGGTTCGACAGCGCGAAAGTGCACCGTTAGCATTGTCAGTGCTGTATTTGCTGTAAGTCGCGGTACGACATCGTATCCTGTGGTTTCGATGAGCGACTGAAATTGCAATAGCGAGACACCAAGATTTTTACCATTAGCGAGATAACACTCAAGCTCGAGCGTCTTGAGCGCAGTTCCGGCGAGACGCAGGACCTCTGTAACGTGTGGTCCAAGATCTGCACATGGGGCATCCTCGATGGCAGTGAAGTCAAGCCATATGACCTCCAGTTGGCTACACACTTGCGGTGTTGACCACAGCTTCAGAAGCTGGGATGCCCACAATTGGGGTACGTAAACGAGTCCGAAAGTCGACAGCGAGGGATTTGGTGCATGTGCTGTGTACAGGGTCATGTCCGCCATTGACGCAGGCTCGACATGGGGGCCGAATGCATTCCGTAGCGACAAGTTGGACAGATGGGAGAAATGGGATAAAACCCGATGAAGATGTGAGAACGAGGAGTAGCAGCGGAGGTCCAACTCTAGTTCTGTTACGTATGGGTACGTCGCACATACGTCCAACAACAATCGACCGTGTTCATACAAGTGAGCAGCCGACTCGGAAGTTGGGTGATAAGTCCCAAGTCCGATTCTCTTGAGCTTGTTGCGGTACGAGGGAACGTAGCGGGTCACTGGATCAGGTACCAGCGGGTGCTGCAGTGTGACGTCCCAGAGAGACAAGTGTTCGAGGCTCGGTAGTGCATTGGAAATCCTACGGAGTTCTGCCATACTGCGAAAGCAGCACTGTGTGATACCTAGTCTTGTGATGCCAGTGTAGTAGGAGAGGGAGTGGAAGAAGCGATCATGTGGCCTTGCGACTGCGCAGTCGAAGTCCTCTATCCCTAGGCTCGTCAATCGTGGTAGAATGTACCCGGGGATGCACATTGGAAAGACGCGTATGAAGGGCCTTTGAGGATCCTCCACAATCTTCAGGCTGGTAAATGTCTTGCCATACGGTCGATTGCCATTTGACAAGAACATATGTACGCAGTCGTCCAAGACCTCTCGGGTTCCCAACTCGAGCCAGCTGCCCCAGAAGAGGCGTTTTGCAGCATGGTACCAAGCGTGACAAATGAAGCGACACCTCGTCAGTGTAAAAGGATCGTACCGGAGGATCTCGAAAATGTGGTCGATCAGTTCCGGCGGAAATCGCGGATAGGTATTACTGCGTCGACGAGACAAGTGAATATGTCATTCGAGCAATGGGCGCCAGAGTAAACAGAAGGCATACTTTGAGTACGTGGGTGGTCTGAAGCAAGAGTCCAGGTATTGATCATGACCTTCCAGCAGCCTGTCTGCACCATCGACCACACCCGTCATCTGGTAACCCGGCATGGGGTCATTATGATACAGTGACCCGGTACATGTTGGAAAGTATACCTCACCTGACTACGTCTGCAGAATTTCGAGTAGTATCTGAGTTGACGATTGATGCCCTGCATAGAGTGCAGAAGTATCAGGTTATATCGTGCAGACACCACTCCACTTGGATCTCACCCGTGAAAGTCTTTTTGAGCTTCAATGCGGCGCTCGGGCGCGATCACCCGAGGTAGAAGCGGCCGGCGAGAGAGATGGTAGGTTCTGAGGGAATGTCGGACCAGTAGCAGTGGTAGGAGTCGTTGGCAAGGCTTAAGCGTAGAGCACGCGCAGAACGCGGGAGGCAACATATGATTTGTACTACGGACTTCAAGAGACACAGTATCGTCATATTACCAGCACGCGCTCTTATCGCGCGGCATCAGACCTCACAAGGCCTCACGCACATGATCGAACGGACTGTGTCCATGGACGGCGGACGCAGCATTGCGTTATAGTCTTGCCGCTCTAACATTCTATTGATATTCATCGCATGGGTACAGATGAGAAGCGAGGTGAGGCGCATCAGTGTCTCGCTCACTAAATCCGCCCAAGTTCCTGTACTGCGTACCATCCGAGTCGCTCAAGAAGAACGAGCGAACGTTGTCCATGATCAGCGTATCCAGCAGGATGAGAGCGAGAAAACGAGTGGTATGCTGCTCGGGAGCGGACGTAGCCAGCGGAGCCTGACATGGTTAAACATGTGAATGCATTCATAGCAAGATTATGGATAGGGGGCATGAGTTGGCGCGCGCGAAGGGAAACTGACATCAGCAGAGCGGATCGGAGGCTAAGGGCTGGCCCTCACCGCAGCATCTCGAGACAACAGGGCGAGCTCCGGCACACCAGCTACCCAGCGAGTGAATCTTCAAGAGCGATGCCACAAACACCACGGCGTTGTCGAGATGGAGCAATTCCTCACGAGAGTGAGCAGATAGGCAGCCGGAATACTGACATAATGACGCACCATACATTCGCGCTTCATCCATGTACATGGGCAAGAACACATCAATATGCGTCCACGTTCGTCCGTCGTCGTGGTATGCATGGCTTGTCGTCTGCTGTGGCTTCATGTCTGTTGCTCGTGATTGCAAAGGATACAGTGGACCCACTCTGTGTTGCCCAAATGACTGTAAGATCGTGGGGGCTCCGAGCGGCAAAGACCACCCACTCTTCGTCAAAGGGGTCGTTCGGGTCGGCCTAGGAAGACTAGATCAAAGCAGCAAGTATGATCAAGTCGTACTGCATGGAGCAATCACAGGATCGTGCGATCGCGCAGAAACCACCGCTGTCCTGTCAGGCGCAGTCAATTCCAACCGCCAGAATATCCTCGGGGCGCCTCATGCCGCATTCCGAATGCAAAGATCTTTCTCGACGAGTCGTCTAAACCACACTTACAAAACACGAACAGTGGCGATACTAGTATTACATGAAAATCCTACGCCCTTCCCTTGAAAGGGACGCGCGTTGCGGCCTCGCTCGCGTTCAGCGTGAGCGGGATGTCGTACAGCCACCTTGTCACCAGGTCCTGCATCGTTGATCAGAAAAGGAGCAGTGAAGGGGGACGAATGACTCACCAAGCCAGCCTCGGGCTGGTCGTACGGGACCATGTGCCTGTATTGAGAGTTAGACTCGCACCAGGACGACGAACGGGAAACGTACCCAGCCTCGTGGACAGTGACGAAGGTGATGTTGCCAGCGGTCTCGTCGTTACCGCCTGCGCTGCGGACCGTACCTGCGAGCGTACCCGTCTCGGTGGTCACCCAAGGCGCTGCCTTCTTCGCCGCAAACTCCTTCTGGAAGCGCGTGTCGAGCTGCTCGACCCAGCGTTCGTTACCCTGCGCACAGTGGTCAGTACGCCTCGCGCGGACAATACGAGAGCAGACGCACGATGAAGTTGCACATCATGTCCGCGTTGCCGGCGTACACGAGCAGCCTGACGCCGTCTTCGACGAGGTCGGGGAGGAGCACGGCGCTGTTGTGCGAGCCGTCGCCCTGCATCGCGAATGCCTGGTTGACCTGCATGTTGCAGCTCTCAAAGTTGCGAGTCGGGTTCACACCGAGCGCACGCTTCACCGAGGGCTGATTCATCCATGTCTCGATCCAGGACATCTGCTTGTAGCACAGATCGCCGTCCTTCTCACGGTCGCACTTCTTGCGTACGTCGTACGGGTTGTAGCCAAGCTCTGCGCCTCGTCAGTGGATTCGCAAGCAAGTGCAACGGCTACTCACGCATCAACGGGCCCATGATCTGGCTGTTGCAGTAGAGGATCGCTGGCACGCACGTGAGGCGCGAGTTGAAGTCGTAACAGCTCTTGACGAGCCGCTGGCATGTCGGCACCTTTGCGCGCAGAGCCTGGCACTCCGGACCATTGGGGTCGTCATAGACGGCATATGGGCCCTCGCACGCCCAGTCGGGGACGCTCGCGTGCTGGATGTAGGGGTCCGTGAGCCCGTTGCCGAGCATCACAGACGCGAGGTTGATAGGTAGCAGCCCCGGCACGGCGACGTCGAGCGCACGCGCGGCTGCGAGAGCCTTGTTCTCCGTGTGGATGACGGACGCGATGTTCGGTGCGTACGTCCCGCCGTAGCTCTCGGCAGCGATGTGGAATGGCGCATCAGCGTACTTGGAGAAGCGCCCGAGGAACAGCTCCAGGAAGGCGTAGACGTCCTTGCCCGCGACGGGGCTCGTGTTCACGGACGTGCCCTCCTCGGCGTATGAGAAGCCGACGTCGACAGGCTGGTCCAAGAAGATAACGTTGGCATTCGCGTTCCAGGAGTGTTCGTTGTAGGTCACGTTCGCCCCGTCCTGGGCCACAGCACACGGACCAAGCTCGAAGAGAAGGCCAGTAGACGACGAGCAGCCTGGGCCGCCGTTGAGCCAGAGAAGCAGAGGCGCGTTGTCAGGGTTGTGGCGAGCCTCAAAGAACCTGGTTGCGAATTAGGGGTGCCAACCAGAGGTGTCTAGGTGACTCGGACTCACCAAAAGAACAGATGCTTGTCCTGCGCGATGTCGAGGTAGCCTGAGTATTGCTTGACATTCGGATCACACAGTTCGGGCTCTGTCACTCGCAACTGGTGTTCACTGAAGGCAGGGTGCTGGACGAGCTCGTCTGTCGCCTTGTATGTAAGCGGTATTCATGCGTCACGAAGCGTGCATCTTACAGGTGATCCCGTTCTGCAGAACTCGCGTCCTTCCGATGAGGTCTACCCACTTCGTGGCCGTCTCCTTCGTATGCTTGATAGTGTGGTGGGCAACGTGCTTCACACCTTCAAAGGCATCGTGAATCGTATTTGCCACGGCCGAGAAGTCGTCTCCGATGACCACTTGCTCAGCTGGAACAGCATAGACGGCCGCGGCGAGCAGAACAGAAAGATACAGCGGCCTCATGGTGGTCGGGACAGAGTAGTGCACCCCGCGCCCGGCGCTCGCGTCGCTTCTCCTCCTATTCGGTCACGTTCCCGCGCCGTGGTTGGGCGGAGCGTTCCGTCCGAGCCCTCCTGTTTGGTAACTTGTAAGTAAGTACTGGACCGTATTCGACAGTCCTAGTCTCCGTTGCAGATCATACAAGTCGACAAGCGTATCACTTTCGCATAGCGTCGACGACGAATTCGAGTGTACAATGAGGTCCCCAGGATTGAACAATAGTATACCGTCAGCATCGCAAGCCAGTCCGCCCTCGAAGTGAATACATTCACCAGTCGCTGTCGAGCAATGTCCTCTACATAATAATACACGGACGAACCACTAGTACTAGCATCAACCAGCGACTGTAGCCATTACCAACGATGGCATCCTAAGCACGAAACCTATAATATATCGAACGAATATAAGTAGCGTCAATGTCAGCGGCTTGGCTTGAAACATTCAAGGCTTCCGTGCGCCGTCTCCCATCTCTCGATGCTTACACGTGTTATCTTCGGGGCTTACTGTTTCGACCACGTCGAGCCCCTTGCCGAGCGAGTGGCAGTACGCATGGGCCCAGTCCGTATGAATTTGCGTCGTCGAGGTCTTGGATAAAGGGCACGCCGGAGGTAGCGGTGAGGAGCTTGTCGGTGAGGATTTTGACAATAAAAATGTGTAGCGCGTCTGGACAATACACAGCACTCGAGGTCGAGACCCCAAATTGCCGCGACAGGTGTTCGAAGACTGGTGACATGCTGAGAGAGGCACGTTAACTGAGCAGGACGAGTCTGCGATTCCGTGGTTCCTTGAACTTTGAGCCACGCCCTTCTGTTGATCGCTCCGCTGGACACGTCGATGTCGGTCAACGCGTTGGTCAACCCATAATATATGTTCGCTCACCAGCTTATACATTGCTAAGACTTAACCCAATGTTCTGAGCGATCATCGCTTCCAGCCTTCGTTTCTTCTCCAATTTGGCCGCCCACAACGCCGATCCCACCGATGTTGTGAGCAGGAATAACATACTTAGGCCTGGGATAAGCTGCAGAGCCAAATGCACCGTGCCGAACCTACAAAACATAAACGTAAGCGCTCTCGACACGACCGAGACAACGAACGAACTACTTACCATGTATACTTCCTCTGTCTGCGCTTAATCGCTTGCTTCCTCTCTGTCTCGGTGAGACCGAGAAGCTTGAAGTACCGCCAATGCTGCAAGGGACCCGCACGGTAGCCCGTCAAGATCAAAAACATTGGCGTGCCTACGACAGGCGCAAATGTTAAAGGCAGGAGCACAACGAACTCGCAGATCTGGCGGAAGGAAAATGGGCTGTAGACATGCGATATTCGTGACTTGCCCAGCTTCTTGACTGGATCCGCGCCATCTGGAACGAGATCGCGGCCTTGAGCCACTAGGTCATCCAGCCCTTCGTGGATAAGCACCTGTACCAGAGACAATGCGCAATCAGCATGACGATGACAACGAATAGGGAATGTATGAGAGATACTCACAGCGTCGAAGATGTCAGCCAAGCCTTCGTCCACGAAGAATGCCTCGAATAGAATCGCGACTATTGCAGCGCCTTCACCGAGGACGAGAAATGCGGCATTGACCCATGCAAGCGAACGTCCATAGAATATCGCAAAGAACGCGACTTGTGGGAGGTAGGCAACGAGGAAAAGGAAGGTGTACACAATGAGCGACAAGATGAAACATGGCAGTACCCTCGCTCGCAGAACAGGCCACAGAAACGAGTGACCTATGAAGAAGTACATGCCCTAATGAATCGTCAGTTTACCAGCTCTGTAGAGCGGTATGAAGCGGAACCTTGAACGGGTACAACCAAGGCGAGCTGATGGCTACATGGAGAGGCTTCGCCAAAAGCGGTCGACGCTCTGGATGTTCTGAGCCGACCAAGTTCATATAGAGGTACCACAGAGCTTGTGACGGCGACGTTAGGAAATAAGAGAAAGAGACAGCGAATTCGATGTACCAGGGCTAACAGAGCCTTAGAGGAGGTCAAGGTTGTCGGCGACGTCGAGTCCGACTCGACCAGGCTCGCTGCGTTGCGGCGCGATGTACACTGTCCCACGCCACCGAGTCCTACGGCGCGCGATCGTGACTATATGGAATCTCCTCCTACTCCTCCTACTCATCCTCCTCCTCCTCCACCGCGCCGTGAAGCTTAGCGGTCGCTGATTGGTTTGAACAATTGATCTTTTCACCTCTCTTATTCGAACGTAAGTCGTCTTCGCGCTGCTTGAATGAACAATGCACGACTAACGTGATGATATATCTGTCATGGCTGTTTGATAAGATTGAAACGATGGTGATAATTGACATCGTCGCCCAGCTTTTCACATCTTGCATGAAGGACCCGGCGCGTCCAAAGGGCTGCGCAAGAGCTCTCTGCGGCTGCCTTCACCTATTGGACGGGGGAGGCAAAGACGACCGCTTCGCGCTATTCGAACGCTACTTCAGGCCCAACGACGAGCACTACGAGCATCTCCGCAAGACATACCCCGAGTATCTGAGTGCGTGCGCTACCTATGTGAGCCGCCCACGCTCGACTCAAGACGAAGAGGAACTCGAGGCCTCCTTGCAGAACTGCTCATGCTCAGCTCTGGGTACATCGGGTCGCAACCAGAGGGCGATGCTGGGCTGGCTACATACCTTTGAGGTCGCTCACAAGTTCACCCCTGACAATTTCACTCAAGCACTCGTCCGCCACTTGGCCGGCATACTCAATAATGCAGTCGAAACAAAGACCGTTGGCTGTATCTCTGCGAAGAGCGGCCTCAAACGGCACCGCAAAAAGCACACCGGAAGGCCTCTGTGGCCCGGCGATCCTAGCCAGCTTATTCCCCATGGCCTGGAGCAGTCGATGAAAGGCTACACCGATTCCTTCCGCCGGTGTACAATCGACAGATTTCAAGACGGCCTTTCGCTCGTCGGCGATCTTCTTGCTATCTGCGGTCGATCCATATTTCCTCACCTGCTCCATTATCTCCCTGAGATGCCGATTAAAGTCACTGGCCTCATCACTGGTGTGTGTCATGAGCGCAAGGCAACACTGGGAGCACCTGTTGCCTTTGAAGTAGAACGCAGCTGGGCGTGTACTCTCCTCATTGTCATGGACTTTTGCAGAACCATCATGGACCTTGGGGAATGGAACCCAGCCGAGATCGAGCTGTTCGTTCGCGTGGCTGCACCGTACAAGGGCTCGATGAAGAGCCTCGGCCTCCTCTTCATGTGCGACACCATTCTCAAGCACCTGGCGCTCTTCCGAGAGGGTACCACTCTCTTTCCCGAAGACCAATTCACCGACCTTGCTGTCTTCTTCGCTCGCTTCGGCGCGATGTTCTACCCTCACAGATCACCTGACGACACCACCGTCTTCCACAAATCCATCCTCTACCTACGCGCGAAAGTCACCGACAGCTCCTCGGACCCTGTCGAATCCGTTTGGCAGGGCCTTTCCTGGCTTTCCAAGATACGTCGCTGCTGCGCGCCGGGATGCCTCGAGACGTTTGCCTCCGCACAGCGAACGTTCGCTCGATGCGCCGGCTGCGGCGTCCCGCGCTACTGTTCGCGCGAGTGCCAGAAACGCGCCTGGAAACACACAACGTTCCCGCACAAGGACGTGTGTGCAAAGCTGCGCGCTTTCAGGGAGAGGACGGACCTGGGGCTGAAAGACCGCGTTCTGACTGAAAGCGACCACCAGCCATTCGTCGACGCATGCAGAGCAGACGAAGAGCTCCCTGCGCTGGCTGAGGAGTGCGAGAAGCATCTGTGGGATATGACGAAGGCGCGTGATGACTCTGTACCGGAGGGGTTTGGGGTGTTCCAGGCAGAGCTAGCGGCCGCAGGCGATTCACTCATCACGTAGTAGTGACCCGTTCTCCGATTCAAGTTGTCTTCGTGCGTGTACGATACCACTGAGAATTCATTGCTGGAGCATTCCAGCAATGTGTGTATGTACTTATTGAACATCTGTTTGCTGACAGATGATTGTTTCCTGGATTTGGACGTGACGTCGACCCGGCGCGCAACTATGAGAGCAACCAGGCGTTCGCGATGCAGGGCGATGGCTCGCACAACAGCACCGTGCTCCTCCTCGACCTCGTCGAGGACGGCGTTAGGCTGCTCGTCTACGCCGGCAACGCAGACATGATGTGCAACTTCATTATGCGTCTGCTCTCGTGTTGGCCGAATGGGGCATGCTGACCACTGTGTGCAGGGCAACGAACGCTGGGTCGAGCAGCTCGACACGCGCTTCCAGAAGGAGTTTGCGGCGAAGAAGGCTGCACTGTGGGTAACCACCGAGACGGGTACGCTCGCGGGCACGGTCCGCAGCGCAGGCGGTATCGACGAGACCGCTGGCAACATCACCTTCGTCACTGTCCACGAGACTGGGTACGTCTCCCATTTGTTGTCCCGATGCGAGTCTAGCACTCGATACAGGCCCGTGGTCCCGTACGACCAGCCCGAGGCTGGCTTGGTGAGTCATTCGTCCCCCTTCACTGCTCCTATTCTGATGCGCGATGCAGGACCTGGTGACAAGGTGGCTGTACGACATCCCGCTCACGCTGAACGCGAGCGAGGCCGCGACGCGCGTGCCTTTCAGGAGGGTGTAGCTCGTCCATCTTGTTTGATACGATGACCTTTTGTAGTGTATCTGGAATGCGCCGTTACTGGTGCTGACCTGGAGTGCACTTGAGGCATGCCCACACTTCACTCGTCCGTAACATTCACCGCAGGACCCCCGGTAGTCAAGTGGCCAGCAGGATCAACTACAGGGATTGACGCAGCCAAGATCTAAATGAGTAACTGAACTTGAAAACGTGACAGCCGTGATACATACGTACTTGTCGCTGAAGACAATATCGATCGCAGGTCACGCCGCGGCGATTCTGAGCGACGCTTGGACCATAACACGCATACGAAAGGCTCAACTCGAACCAGCAATCTGGACACCGAGCCCGGTAGCTGGCGATATCTCCCACACCCGGTACTCATCCAATTTGAAGCCTCCACCGTGGTTCCGCCGCGTGTGGGTCAACTCGTGCCAATGCATCCCCCAGTCCTGCGCAAACATCGCGAGCTCCCCATCCGCGCTGCACGCCTCAACGAACGCCTGGCGATCGCGCTCGCGCTTCAACTCTCGATCCTGCGGGAGGTGCGTCCGCTCCCTCAGCACGCGCAGCTTCATGCAGACATCCTTGTGCGGGACCGTCGCATGCTTCCATGCGCGTGACTGGCACGGACGCGAGCAGTAGCGCAGGACGCTGCAGCCTGAACAGCGGGCGAAGGCGCGGCCGGCGGTGGCGAACGTTTCGCCACACTCTGGCGCGCAGCAGTGCCGCGCCCTGGACGCCCAGCCGAACCCATCGAAGGCCGAGCTCAGAGGGTCCTCAATAGAGGTGAGCATAACCGCATGCTGGTGGAGAATCCCTGGGTGGTACGCCGCTTTATCCCTGGGAACCGGACGCAGTAGCATGTGTTGCCAATGCGGGCGAAGAAGTTGGTGACCTGGCTGACGAAATCTTCCGTGAAAAGAGTCATTCCCTTGCGGAAGGTGTTTAAGGATGGTGTCGCACACGAAGAGAAGGCCGTGGATGTGGGCCTCGTCCGAACCCTCGTATTAGTACGAGGTCTGATGGATCCACCTGCCCGGTCTCCGCGATGTGTGAAGAGAACTGCATGATAAGGAGGAGGGTATACATCCAGCTTGCCTGGGTGGTGATGCCGATGGACTCCCCTAGCGTCCGGGTGCGCTCTTCACAGACGGCAGTAGTGAGTCGGGTGATTTTCAACGGCCATTCGGGCTGAAATCGGAGTAGCTGATGGATTATGGTTCCACCACAGATAGCAAGCAACCTGGTGACGAGTAGAAGGGTATCCTGGAACCTGTCGTCGCGACACAAGCGAAACGACGTGGCATACCCCTTTACTGACTGCTGAAGGCCGTAAGGGATGAGTTGGCTGGGGTCCGTCGGCCAAAGAGGCTTTCCGGCATGCTTGTTACGGTGCTTGCTAAGGCCACCCATCGCAGTAGTACCCCCAACAGTCCTTGATTCAACTGCATGGTTGAGTACACCGCCAAGATGGCGGATGAACGCTTCGGTTAAGTCCCGGAGGATGAGCCGACGAGCAGCCTCGAATGCGTGCAGCCACAGCAACAGTCTCGCCTCTGTCGCATTCTTGGCCGGCGAGAATGAGCATAAGCACGAACTGAGAAAGGCGTCGAGGTCATCAGTCTCCTTGTTTGAGCGAGGCAAGGTCAGGAATGCGACAGACGCATTCAGGCCTTCGGAGTATATCCTACGGATGTCCTCGTAGTCTTTGTTTTGAGGCACGAGGTAGGGTCGGTACAGCGCGGAGGGCTCATATGGTTCCGAACCATCCAATACCTGGAGGCAACTGCAGAGAACTCTGGCGCAGTGGGTTGGACGCGCCGGATGATCCCGGATCCTTCATGCAGGATGCGAAAAACAGAGCTACTTACCTCCTCCTTGTCGGCCATTGTGTTGCGCCTGCGGGCAGTCTACTAATATGTTAGCAACACAATAGCATTTCATGAGATACGAGTTACTGACATTTGTGGAGGGAACAGAGAGGTACAATATTAATGGTGGTCGAGTGCAAGTCACGGTCGTTGCGACACGCGTCGGGACGCGGTCACGCCACCGTGACGTAGATTCAGAGTCGGTAGAAGGCGGGTGCGACTCGGAGTACATAAGTAAGTTACCTGGCGAGCACATCAAACTTAACGCGAACGAGTCAGTAGAATGCTGATGGTGTTGCTTACAGACAGGATCATTACACGCTAGTCATTTGCACAGTACAGTCTACTGTTTCTGCGAACCCGAGTGCGATCAAGCACTCATCGACGTCGTCGCAGGCTCAGCCATTCCTCAGTCACCCTTCTCTAAGTATGTAGCGGGAAGCACCTTTGTGGTGTGACTGCGTCCAGTCTGGAGCATCGGTATCCTAGATGGGCTTCGATATGTATGCGTTGGTTTGCGGCAGGTGCAATGTTGGACCACTCTCAGTCGGAGGAGCGACCGTCTACTATGCCGTCCAAGTGTCTAATGCAATGGCGAGCATTGGATCAAGTTGAAGACGAGAATCGCCAAGATACATACATCAGTTACGAGACAGTGGGTAAAGGGGTCATTTCGTCGTGGTGGTTGAATCACCTCTGGTCGCTAGCCGTGCTTGAAATGCCCCAAATGCCTCTGGTACAGATTCGTCCCCACGCGCCTTCCTCATGTCCCACAAATGTGCCCCACACTCCTGAGCGAGCGTCGTGAGCTCTTCATCCGCTCTGCACGCATCGATGAATAGCTGGCGCTCGCTTTCAGTCGGGGCATGATCTTTCATCCCGAGGTTCGTCCTCTCCTTGAGAGCGCGCAGCTTCGCGCAAACGTCCTTGTGCGGAAATGCCGCATCTTTCCAGGCATGTTTCTGGCATTCGCGCGAGCAGTAGCGTGGGACGCCGCAACCTGCACATCGAGCGAACGTCCGCTGGGCGGACGCAAACGTCTTGGGGCATCCCGGCGCGCAGCAGCGGCGTATCGTGGAAAGCCAGGCAAAACCCTCCCATGCGACTTGGACAGGGTCCGAAAAGCTGTCGGTTAGTTGCGCGTGTAGGTGGAGGATTGCCTCGTGGTAGACGGTAGTGTCGTCGGGTGGTCTGTGAGAATAAAACATCGCGCCGAAGCGAGCGAAGAAGACGGCGAGCTCGCCAAAAGGCTCGTCGCCAAAGAGAGTGGTACCCTCTCGGAAAGGCGGCAGGTGATTGAGAATGGTGTCGCACACGAAGAGGAGGCCGAGGCTCTTCATTGAACCCTTGTACGGTGCAGCCACGCGAACGAACAGCGAGATGTCGGCCGGATTCCATTCCCCGAGGTTCATGATGGTTCTGCAAAAGTCCATGAGAACGAGGAAGGTGCACGCCCAGCTGCGTTCCACTTCAAAATCGACAGGTGCCCCAAGTGTCGCCATGCGCTCTTGGCAAAGAGAAGTAGTTAGGCCGGTGACTCTTAACGGCATATCGGGGAGGAACTGGAGCAGATGGGGAATCATGGATCGGCCGCAGATGGAAAGAAGATTGCCGACGAGCGAAAGGCCATCATGAAATCTGTCAGGTGGGCACCAGCGGAAGGAATCGGCGTAGCCTTTCATTGACTGCTCCAGGCCATGAGGAAGAAGCTGGCCAGCATCCACGGGCCACAGAGGACTTCCGGCATGCTTTTTGCGGTTCCGTTTGAGGCCGCTCTTGGCAGAGACACCGCCAACGGTCTTTGTTTTGACTGCATTGTGGAGTATGCCGGCTAAGTGACGAACGAGCGCTTGAATGAAATCGTCGAGGGCAAACTTGTGAGCGACCTCAAAGGTATGCAGCCAACCCAGCATCACCCTCTGATCGGGGCCCAATGTGCCTATGGCTGAGCATGAGCACCTCTGCAAAGAGACTTCGAGTTCCTCTTCATCCTGAGTCGAGCGTGGCTGGCTCAGGAAGGCAGCACATGCGCTCAAGTACTCAGGGTATGTCTTGCGGAGATGCTCGTAGTGTTCGTCGTTGGGCCTGAAGTAGCGCTCGAATAGCGCGAAGCGGTCGTCTTTGCCTTCCCCATCCAATAGGTGAAGGCAGCCGCAGAGTGCTCTTGCGCAGCCCTTCGGACGCGCCGGGTCCTTCATGCAAGATGTGAAAAGCCGGGCGACAATGTCGATGTTCACCATCACTTCAATCCTTCAGAGCAGCCGTCACAAAAATATCATCATGTTAGTCGCATATTTTTCATTCAAGCAGCGCGAAGACGACTTACGTTTGAACAAGGGAGGAGGAGGAGAGGGAGGTGAAAGGATCGATTGTTCGAAACATGCACTCAGCGACCGCTAAGCGCTTCGCGGGGCGGTGGCGGAGCGCGTTCTGGTCGACGTCGCCGACAACCTTGACCTCCTCTAAGTATCATGAGAAGGACGTCCGGAGTGGTCGGTCAGCAAGAAGACGGGGATGTTGAGCGGGCGACCTACAGCGTGACGGTGCTACTGCAAGCTGGGCCCCGAATTAGGCGCCTCCTCTGGTCTCCTCGTGCTCCCATCTCCTCCGTCACGGTCTTCTTCCCACTGAGTCGATCAGTCTTGTCGCAAATCTAGGTCAGTGTCCAAGTCTTATAGAATAAGGAGCGTCTATGAACCTACTTCTTTCCCAGCGTATACCGTCCTTTGTTCCTTTCAGCAACCTCAGCGATGCCGGCGCGTCGGTTTTGACTTGGTACGTCGATGTTCTCCCGTGCTCCACTCCAGTAAAGCGACTTATTAGCTACCCAATGTCTGCACGAAGGTTCAAGCTGGGACAACGTCTCGAAAACTTGAGCTCAAGACTGCGTATCACAGCGAAGCTGTACGTATGAGAGGCAAGCCGGGAAGGTAGATGAGTTGGCGAGGTACGTATGCTCACAGACTCGGATGCTTACTCGCACTCGAATATGCCTCCCCGGACGCCCGCTTGAAAGGCCTGGACGTGACACGATCCGACACGTCAGACCGGGGACGGTTGGCTCCCCGCGCCGCCGAAGGTCTCCTCTATCGACGTCTGTGAACCCTAGCCTGCCGTGTCCCAGGAGCGTTCCGCCAAGCACGGCCACGCAGTGTGCCGAGGAACATCACGACGGTGATCGGGCCTTCAACCTAGCATTGACAAAGTGTCCGTGCGAGCACGGCTCCTCGCAACACTGGTAATCCACCACACATCAGCCGGTCCCTCGCTGACGTTTTCTGCTTCATAGTGTACCGCGAACTTGACGACCTGCAGTGAGATCACTAGGTCCGACTCGCGCCGACGCCAGCGAATTCAATACCACCCGGTCACTAAGGTATGCCCCCTCTAACGTCAGTACTTCAGTCTTGAATGCTGACGACCCAACTCCCGGACATCCCATCAACTATGACAGCTGCCGACGCGACGTGTCATACCCCGCCTTTGACAACTGTAGCGCGTGCAGCGCTGCTGACGACGACGTCCTTCGGACCACCATAGCACTACGCGGCGTCTCTGCCCTGCCCACGCCCGTCGAAGCTATGGTGCGCTGTACCAACGCTTCGACGTGCCTGGACAGCATCAGTGCGACGGCTTGGTAGAGGTACAGTGACGGAAAGTGTCCGTCCCTGAGTGTGCGTATGCAGCCGACCGCATGCTCGTCCGGTTTCAGTGCGACGGTGAACTGACCGCGACGCCCGCAGACTGTATAACATGCTCGTACGGCGACTCCTTATAAACATGTCTTGCGCTTCACTGACCCTGTACTACATACATAGAACCGATGTCCGCGCGTGGAGAGCATGCGAAACAACCTCGGGGAGATTTGCACGCAGCATGCCCCTCGAAGCGAAACTCAGGGAAGTACTCGGTATATACAGTATCTACTCCATGCGTACGTCGCCCATCCGCCGTGACCACTGATACCAGAGCGCGCTGCCACGAACGCGATGCAGCGCTCGTGCACAGCCGACGAAGGCAAGACGGTGTGTAATTCGTGAGCAAAGCTTGCGTTCTCGAGTCAAGCTTGCTGCTAACGGTGAGAGGTTAGCTGTACTTGGTAGGGAGTTCATTCAGCTGCCGGTCAGCTCTCAAAGAGCCTGTGCGCAAGTCTGCACACTGCGGTGGTTACGAACACGTCATCTGGCCGGAAGACAGTGACTCGTCCCGTACAACCCGGACTACCTTGCGTAGATACAAGGTACAACGCATTGAGCGTCCACGATTGAGCGCGAATGACCATGCGGAATGCTGGTGGGTTCGCTTTGGGAGACATATGCTGGGCAGATATTGATGTAGCACGGGGGTCTGAGATGGACGGACGACGGGACGGGGCGTATCGTCGATCGCTGCGCCCTGCCAGTCACACGCAGCAACGGGAGTGTCGACGGGAGGACGTGCCAAGCGCGAATGTACGTCGCAGCCGGTGCAGGTGTTCTTGTAGAATAGTCAAAGACATTCTATTCGCGCCCTCGGATATCAGATACCGCTTCCCGCAGGTTGTAGACCAGTAACGGTCGAGTACAAGGTGAGTTCTGTCAGTGCTCATGGCGTTCTCGGCGCTGAAACTACATCGTGAAGCGCATATTCTAGTAGTCACTCCGAACATATGTTTTCAGAATTTCAGATGAATTCGAAAAAACACCCGCTCTGCTGTACCGAAGGCCATGCCCGTTCGAACCACTCTCGACGCCCTCTCACAGGCATCGCAATAACCGCGACGCCGGGTTAGATCCTTTCTCACCACCAGACGCGCGAGAGTTCTTCCATCCGAGTCAGCTGTCAGCGCCGTAAGATGATGCTTCAAGGGGTCGAAGGGCTCACCGGAGAGCGTGAGTTCAAGCGATGGGCTCGCCATGACGCTTTAACATTCGGTGAGCCGCTCCTTGTATGATGTCGTACCGTAACGCTTCATGCGTACGAGACGGTCAGGAGATATCCTGCTCCTTTGCATGAGCGTGCTATTGAAGGGTGTTGATATGTGAACGTACGCGGTGAGCTCAACTCGCCATCTCGTCTCGATAGGAAACATGCTTCAATAGCACATAGCACAGGAACTTGGCGTGCGTCGATGTGGCCGGGGCTTCGACAGCTCTGGTATTCTACGTCGTCCGCGTCGTCGAACTTGAGCTTGAAGGCTCAGCGCTCAGCGCTCAGCGCTTAGCTGCCTCTTCTTAGCCGCCCTTCGAGAAGCGCCTTTGTGGCGTGACCGTGTCGCGCCACCGGAAATGAACGCGCCGCAATAATTCGAAGCTTCCATATCCCCAGCATTCCGCCGTGACACTGACAGCCTCTGAGCCTGGGAGACCGCCATGTCCGCCGTCCAGCAAAGACCCCGCGCGTGTCCTTCCCACCCCGCCCCCTGCCAGCCCACCCCCGATCATGGCCCTCCTCCGCGCCACCGACTCGCCCGAGTACACCGCCCGCACCCGCACGCCCTTCGCCCCGCCCCCGCCCTCGCTCTCCATCAAGGCCGTCCACGCAGCCGTGCCCAAGCATCTCTTTGCCCGATCGACGCCAAAGTGTCTGCTCTACGTCGGTCGCCACGTCCTCCTCACCTACTGCTTCTATCTGTTCGCAACGCGCATCGATGTCCTCGTGGGGGTGTTGCTCGATCGGTCTGGCATGACGAGGGGAGGGCGCGTCGAGGATGCGCTGCGATGGCTTATGTGGTGGACGTACTGGTTCTGGCAGAGCATTGCGTTCATGGGCATCTGGACGCTCGGTGAGTACTTGTTCCGCTCTTGTATGCAGTTCGCGCCCGTTTCGATGGCGGGTCCGGATGCTTGTATGCTATGTTGCTCCGTTCTTCGGACGCAGCCGCTGCAGAGTTTCCGACCTAGTGCTTGCGCATCTGCGAAACACTCTGCATCTCACTGACCTCCCGCACTTGCCACAGGACACGAGGTGCGCGGATCCCGCTGTCCTGCACCGTTGAAGCACTCCCAGGCTGACAATCACCTTGCTGCCTCGCCCACTCCACCCCGGCTGCGCACAGTGCGGCCACGACGCGCTCTCGCCGAAGCCATGGGTGAACGCGCTCCTCGGAATGGGACTCCACACGTTCGTCCTCACGCCGTACTGGGCATGGCGGGCGACCCACCGGTCTCACCATGTGAGTCCTCTCCCGCTATGTCGTTCAGCGCTCCGGACTGTTGCGCGCCGCTGCATATCCGCTCTGCTTGCCGCGCTGCCTCTGTGCGTCGGACGGGGATGTCTGACTTGTCTCCGCGTCCTCTGCGATGGCTCGCGCTGTCTGCGACGTGTCGCCTGTATGTGTCCCAGACAGCGGGTTTCGTGTGCGATCGCGGCGATTGATACGGTGAGGCCAGCGCTGATCAGACTTTCGTCCGGTAGAAAGGCACGAACAACCTCCACCGCGACGAGACGTACCACCCGCAGACGCGCGAGGAGTTCAACCTGCCGCCGGAAGGTGCGTCGCGTCTCCGTCGTTGGCGTCGCGCGGTTCTGAGGACGGGGGAGCAGAGAAGGCGAGTGCGATAGACTACCACGAGATGATTGAGGAGACGCCGCTATACACGCTTCGGAAGATGGTCCTCCGGCAATTCCTGTGCGTGCGCTCGACGTTGTGTTACCTCTCTCGGGTCCAAGTTGATTGTGGGTGCGGCTCGTAGGGGCTTCCAGCTCTACTTGATGTATGCCTCTCGTCTTCCTCACATCCCCGGTCAACTGAGCACTGAGGTCCGCGCCTCATCTCGCACAGACATAATCGCAAGGGAAACCCGAAGTATCCGCCTGGAACGAGTGTAGGTCATGTTTCGTCGACGCGCAACACGCCGTTGGATTACCACGCGCGGTGTAGCACTACAAGCCGAGCTCGAAGCTCTTCCGACCCGAGGAACGTAAGCCGTCCTGTTCTATCCGCACACATCCTGTCTCTGCTCGGACGGTTGCCCTAGCTCGGCTGTTGTGACAATTGTGGGGGCTGAACGATATCCCATGACTAGGACACCTTGTCGTCGTCTCGGATGTCCTGATCGCGGGGATGCTCGCGCTCCTCGGTGTCTGGGGGTGGAACTCGGGGTCGGGCACGGTGTGGAGGATGTACCTCGTGCCGTGGCTGGTACGTCCCTCCGCTTCATTCGTCTGCCCGGCGCGTCTCATCTACATCGTCAACAGTGGGCCCATAACTGGTGAATCTATCCCGTTCAACGAGACAGGGAGATGCTGATGGCGTTGTCTGCGGGTGACTCAGGATCGTGACGGTGACGTACCTGCAGCACTCGGACCCTACTGTGCCGTATTACAGAGTACGTTGCCATAGTGCTGACGTGGACGTATGCTGACTTTCATGCGCAAAGGGCCAGTGGACGTTCCTCCGGGGCGCACTCGCGACGGTCGACCGGCCGATCTTTGGCTGGGTCGGGCGGTTCTTCTGGCACGGCGTGAGTCTCCGCTCTTCAATCAACGCGCGTGGCTGACTGGCGAGCTCTCGGCTCAGATCGCGCACGACCACGTCGCCCACCACTTCTTCGTCGGGGTGCCGTTCTGTGAGTGCCCTTCCGTTCACGTTGAACCTCTGCTGACTCTCCCGGCAGATAACCTCCCTGACGTGACGGAGGCGATCAAGCCCGTGCTCGGGGACTACTACTACTACGACTCGACGGTGAGTCGCCTCGTCCGAGCCCGTTCGCTCGTCGTCTGATGCGGATATCGCCAGCCGACGCTCTATGCGCTCTGGCGGAGCTTCACGCAGTGCAAGTTCGTCGAGAGCACGGGCGACGTCGTGTTCTTCAAGAACATGCGCGGCGAGGCCGTGCGGGAGTGCTGCGTCGCGGATGTGTGTCCCGCGAAGGAAGCGGGTGTGTTGATGGTGCGAAGGAAGCGGCCGAGTTGGATTTGAAGGGGTGCAGGACGAGGAGGAGGATGTGATGGGTGATTGAGATGCTGTGCATCTATGGAGGGCCAGAAGCGCCCGTGGACTGTCCGCTGCAAAGTGGGGAGATAGGTGCAGTTGGGGGTTGTAGAGGCAACATGGTGTAGAGGGCAACATCACGTAGAGGCAACATAGTGTAGCGGCAACATGCGTAGCGGCAACATGGTAGGTGGGCACACTGCTCTTGAACTCACACTCCACGCTATGATCACAACAGTCTCGTATATTCCACTCTATGTATGCTTCATGCATGCTGCTTGAACTACAGTATGAGGACAGAAAATCCAGTCGTACGTACATGCCCTTGTCGCGCACTTCACCCGCTGACCAGAGGACAGATGCTGCTGTCCAGACTGTATCAGCTTTGTCAAACAGGGCATACACATATAGGTCACTCAACCCCCTGCATCCAGCACTCGTCTCTATCAGAACCCATCCGCTACTCGCCCGTCAGCAGAACATATAGCTTTCGTCACAGATGCTACGGCAGCCGCTCCGCTGGCATCAAGCATGATGACTGGAAGAGACAGGTGCCGTCCGAGACCCCTGCGTGTGATGGGCAAGGCAGCACGACTCGTGGGAGTGTTGGCCTCAGTGTCAGAACTCAGAGGACTATGAGCTCGCCCTCTCACTGCTCGTGGTGACCCAGAGCGGACTGGGTAACGCGACGGGCAGGCAATCCAGGATGTTTCCGGGAAGGTAAACACAAGAACGGGCAGATGATGCTCGTGCTATTTTGCCAGACAGAATGGGATGGCCTAGCATTTGGCCACGGTCCAGGAACAGCGGATCCACCAGTGTAGGATGTATTCATGTGGCCCGAGCGCGACATGCCGAGTACAGGCAGAGAAGGGCTCACATATCGGAGGGCCTAGGTATTCGGAGGTGTTGCACTGATCAGGGCCATATCTCGCGACCGGATACGAGTGGCTTAGTAGCACACTGTGGCAGATACGAGGTGCAAAGCTCGGACAGCGTGAGCGTGCGCGAGTGAGTGTGAACGGTGAACGCACAGACCGGGACGACACGTCCTCAATGTGGTGCTGTTTGGTCCTCGCCTAAAACGGCAATTGCCTCCGGACCGAGTGAAATCACATGAGCAGCTGTCTGGCCCGGTGCGATCTCCGAGGGCTTCGTGTGAACACGAGGCTCTCGGACGCCAGTGGCTGTCGCAACGACGCTCCGGGCGCTTCTTTGTCCCTCTGTCAATCCTGCTTTCGTCCGTGTCTCCCGCAGCAAATTCATCTGTTCTGGGTGGTCTGTCTCACGTGTGCCAAGCCCACGACGTGATGCACCCATTAAAGAGCTCAGCCTGCACCGTCCTCTCGCGGCCAATACCACGCAACGGAGAACATACAAAAGCGACCGCCTGCCGCACACCGACCGCTGGAGCGAAACATCCAACAGCACGTATACTATGTGAATGGCATCAAGGAATAGGCCCGCGTCACTGGAGTCCGTGCGCTGGAAGCCCACTTGATGACCGTGACTCATCGCAAGAGAAGCACCAGTAAGGGACGCCGCAGAAGTTCGCAGTAGCGGGCATCTGATGCCGCGTGCAAGCGGACCTGAAACGATATTCCGGGGCATGCCCGTTTACCACGCACGGGCCACCCCGGCGAACTATAACTTGGCTGAGGCCTGAAGTGGTGTCCTTCCCGCCATCAGTGGCTACGTCCGAAAGCCCACCTGTACTCGATGTGAATGGTGAGCCGTCCTTGCCCGGGCTCGTTGCAGAAACACAGTCCTCTCGCTCGGCGCCGACGATGCGGGTCTCGTCATCGATGTGTCGGTGGTCCGGTCAATGCCTGGTATCAGTGTGCGATCCATGGGTGAGTGCCATGGCATGGTTTCTGCACCCCGGAGTTGACTGACGCGCTACTCGGGACACTTCCGCAGTCAGCAAGCCGAGCTCATTGCTGCGACGCGCAGCAACCACCTCACAACGCACCAATGTTCGTGCATGCACTGTCCAACTGCATTCGCACCTTCACATAGCTCATTCGCTACGACCCGACACTCGTGAGATGCCACGTCACACGGGTCCGAGACGAACGGCGACCACCCGTTGTCTCCAGCCGCGTCAGCTTTCGTCTTCAATCGAAGGCTGCCCTCGCTCCATGCTGATCGCAATTTCCTCCCGCAGAAATATATTTGCTTGTACCTACGTAGATAGCCTCACGCGGACGGGGCACCGCGTCCACCCGGCGCGAGCTGCACAGGACATCCTGCGCGCCGTCTCTGAGGCCGTCCGAGCGCAAGCTGCTGCCCCATCCATGTGCGGTCCTCGAGAGCCCATACCCCCCGCCGGTACCGTCCACGGCGAGGCCCGCCGACCGCACGGGAGCACGCGTTTTCCGACCGAGGCCGTCCATGTGAGCGCCTGCGCCCACGGACGATCTGTGCTGACCCGGTTCGTCGGCCGTGGCGCCGGCGTCGAGGCGACCAACACACCGTGCGCGTACCAGCCGGGACGGAACACACCCACCGGGGCCGCCACCGACGAGCGCGGTCGGCGCCTCGCGCCGTGTCCGATGCAGGGTGCGCGTTGGCCGGTGCACGCGAGGGTGCTGCACCCGACCCTGAGCAGTGTCTCGCGTGTGCACTGCGCCGTCCGGCGTGCTCCGCGCGCGTGTGGTGTCGCGACGACGCACCTGCGTGTCCTCTCTCCCCACGGCAACCAGCCGCCTGCCACCTTCGCTCCGTCACGCGTCGTGCTGGGCTGAGACGCGCTGTGTAGCTCGGGAGTGGGATACCCCCGGGCGCGATGATGTTCGAGGGGTGGGGTGATCCGTTGCTTCGGGGGTAGAGGTGACATGGGTGGATCGGAATAGTATACTATGAAAGTGGAGGGGAGACGTGCCGGGGAGTGATCTCACAACGATGCCTCAGGCTCGCTGACCTCGTCCTCGGTTCTCCGAGCCTCGCAAATCCCTCTGTTTCCGACTCGTTCTCTCGCTCCGCAGTCACTACGCTTGCTGAACTCGTTTCCGCGGTTGCCTCGTTCTCGTTCCGTGGTTGCCCTCCTTGTTCCGCAGGTTCCTGTGCTCGTTCCGCGAGCTCCTAAGCTAGCCCTGCTGATCCTCGTACTCGTTCCGCGAGCTCCTACGCTCGTTCCGCGAGCTCCTATCTCGTTCCGCGAGTTCCTATGCTCGTTCCGCGAGCTCCTAAGCAGGTCCTGCTGATCCTTATACTCGCTCCGCGGGGTCCTATCCTCGTTCCGCGAGATCCTATGCTCGTTCCGCAAATCCCTGTACTCGTTCCGCGAGTCCTTGTCCCCGATTACGTGGCGCTGCGTTCGTCCGAAAGATTCTTGATCCCGAGTCGGTCAACACTGACTGACCCAGGGAGCCTCTCCCCGCTCCGGCGAGTGTATGGGGAATGCGCAAGCTATGCTCGCAGATGTCTAGATTCAAGGTCCGGGGAGAGCTAAGGTATGTACAAGTCTTCGTGGCACTGTATGCCGCCGAAGCTGACTAATAGTAGGTACTTGCTATATATGGTAAGTAATGCGAAATCGCGCGAAGTCCATCAAGTACAGTAGAGATGGGGTATCGGAAGGAATAGCGAAGGCTGTCAATGTGCTCGGAGGGAACGGCACTGACCAGATAGCCCAAAATAAGCGATATACGTACTGTCCGGGCCTATGTGGGAGGCACTCCCCACATCTCCCCCTTACTCGAATTGTGACCGTCCCCGGTCACCTACTCCCCGCAACAACACTGCCTAACCGAGAGCGATCCACTGCGACATGAATGACGCGAGTCCGTCCGCTCGATCATCTTCTACCCTGCGTCCTCGAGTCGCGTCGAAACCGCGCATGCGATCCTCATCCTTGTCGAGCCAGCCGCAGTCTCGTTCCGCCTTGGCAAACGCCCTCTCCGTGTCTGCCCATGGCAGGTATTCGACAGCCCAACGGATCTCTTCCTCCGGGTGATGGGAGCTGACAAGTAGCTCGTCGCCGCAGACCTCTTCCGGGTCCCTGAGCTCGGTGCACTTGACGAGTAGGCACTCTCCGACTAGTCCGTGTTTGTGTGCCACGGTTGTGCTGCTTGAGGTTATTGGGTCGGCCCTCGCATACTTGCACCCCTGGTACGATCCTTCATTCCGGTCGGTACCGTCTGGGGTGTGTCCTCGGGCTGCCCTTGAACTGCGCATGAACCCGTCTTGCAAGCGCCGATCTGCCTCCGCTACCGCCTTCCTCGCCTCGTCGCGCGGAAGATATTCGACGATCCAATGCCCACAGTCATCGAGGTGGCAACAGCTATCCAGCTCGTCATCGTGCTCTTCCTCCGGGATGCTGAGCTCGGCTGACTCCAAGAGTAGGCACTCTCGTCGTCCACGTTCTTCCGCGTCGATCGCGCCGACCGGCTGGCCACTAGGTCCGGCTCCTCTCCGACGCCTCTTGTGCGGATGTTCTCGGTTCGCCGGACTATGCGCGTCACAGATTTGGTTTCCTCCGACTCGTCGACCCGGGCCGCGTGCTTCTCCAGTCTCGCACCGTGTCCACTGCTCCTCCCTCTCGCTCTCCGAGACCACGGCCCTGAGTCGTACGCGCTCGTGTACACGGTTCCGCGCTAACCATTCATTCTGCTCGGTGTCTTGTGTGGTATGTCCTCGAGCTGCCCCTGATCTGCGCACGAACCCGCTACGCAACCGCTGATCTGCCTCCGCTACTGCCTTCTTCGCCTCTTCGCGCGAAAGGAACTCGATGATCCACTGCCCGTGCTTGTCGAGATGACAACAGCTTCCCAGCCCGTCATCGTGCGCTTCCTCCGGGATGTTCAGCTCGGCCGACTCAATGAGTAGAAGGCACTCCGAGTCTCGCGGTCCACGTTCTACCGCGTTGACCGCCCTGTCCGGCTGACCGCCAGGTCTACCTCCTCTCCGAGGCTCCCCCATACTCGGATCCACACTCTGTGGCTGCTCACGTTCCGCTGGACCGTGCGCGTTCAAGTTTCCTGGGCCGCCTGCCTGCCCAGTCTCGCACTGCGTCGAGTCCTCGCTCCTTGGGCAGGCGTAGCCCTCATCCTGATACATAAAATACTTGTCCTTACAGTACAGCTCTGATACATAAACATTGTAGCTCGCAGATGGCCTGTGGATGTATGAGCGACGTGTGAAGTGATGTACAAATCATACATCATATCGTAGAGGCCTGATGTATCAGAGCATGCAGCGATGTATGAATCATACATCGCGCTACAGACGGTTTATGCATGAGACCTGGTAGATTGATACTGACTGTATATACTATTATTGGTTAGTCCCCTTCATGCCGAACAGCTTGGAATGGCGGCGCCGTTCTTATGCCCGGCCGGGACTGCGCTTGGCCCCTGCGGAGACGTGGTCCTCCTTGTGCCAGATGCGGTCCAGCGCTGTTCCTTCCAAATCGGGCATGCATCCAAATCGGGCATGCGTCGGGCGCATAGCGCGCTGCCCGTTACTCGCTCACGCGCTGGAAATACTAGGCTGTGGTCGCCCCTCGCGTGCGTCGCGGTGCGTATTCATTCACCGTTCATGATGTCTCTCGCGAAAGCACTCCACTGACTCGTGCCGAAGGGAGGGATTACAGTACGAGTGCTACGAAACGGACTTAGCGCTTACGAGTACCTTGCATGACCGTGGGACAATGCACAGTCCTCGTCGTTCTCTAAGTCTCAGCTCGGCTCACTGGTAGTTCCCTCTACGAACTGCGATCACTGTTCACGGTGAGTACCTTCTTTCATTACAAGGAGTGAGCTCACGATAGAACTACACTTTCCAGGTGCTCACCACTCGCCGGTGAAGAATTCGAAGGAGGCTGAGGACGTAGGCTGAGGACGTAGGAGGCTGAGGACTTAGGAGGCGAGGACATTGGAGGCGAGGACGTTGGAGACCTGGTATAGCCGTGAGTGGTAAGCAAACATTGTACCGTGAAGTGACTGTATGATACACGGTACAATGCTGAGGGTTGTCGGCGCTGTAAAGCCCCCTCATGACTCCTCGTAAACTATCTCTCGATCGCATTCCAAGTCCGTTCCGCAAGACAATGGTCCTCAGCAAGCAACCTCAACTCGTTCTGCATGTCATTCAAGAAGGTATAGTATATACAATTATCGCAGTAAGTCCGGATGCAAGATATTCGTAGCCCCCTTTCCAACGACGAAGACCAGCCCTTCATCGTTCTACTTACGCCTTTTCACCGCGCCTCCCTGGTTCTGTGCTGCAGGCCGCTTCTTCCCCGCTGCCGTCTCCATCTCTATCTCCGCGTTCTGTACACTACTCTTCCCTTTCTCGGGCCTGACAGGGGACTCATCCGGACGCATCGGGCGCCGACGTGTACGCTTGGGCCTACCCCGCTCACCATCGTCGGTGTCCGCCTGCTCATTGGGCATCGTCATTGAAGATGCCGCGGCCGTCGAGATCTCTGGATGCACGTCGTCTCTGCTCATCTGGCCACTGTTTCCACCAGACGGCTCTCCTATCGTCGCGTCGGGCGGATTGCGCAGGTGAGTTGTCGCATCCGGCGGAAGGCGTAGTTGTGTTGTGTTGACGGGCAGAGACGACGTAGACGGGGACTGAAGCACCATGGAGGTCGAAATAGCAGACGGTTCCTCGGGCACGGCTGCTGAGAGAGGGTCGACATGCTGCGACAGAGAAGCGTCGTCAGCGCCCCGTATACTCGAGACGGGCGATGAGAACTGACGATAGGCTGATTGTGTAGCCTTCGCCATCATGACTGAAGCCGCAGTCGGAGCATTGGGTGCTCCTTGGTGTGCTATCTGACGACGAGGCGGGTCTGCTTGTGGGCGCCGAGGTACTGCAGATGTCGCGACAGGAAGGTGAGATGGCCCAGGTGTCTTAGATGGCTCGGAAACTGACGACGACCAAGGCTGCAAGATGGGGGTATGGACAGGCGAAGGCTGCGAGATGGAGGGCCGGACGGGCAAGTCCCATTGCGACGCGGGTATAGCTGCGTTCCTACCAGAGGACGTGCTCTGCCCTTGTACTGACGTATATGACGCAGACGTCAATGGGTCCGAGTTCGGTGGAGCAGGGTTCCAAGCAGCAAATGGCCCAGCTGCCGGTGAAAAGTCCACATTGGACGAATGCGAGGCTGGGAATGTCGACGAGGAGGACGGGAAGTTCGTCATGGACGGCGGAGCCAGGAAGTCCGCGAAGGACGATGGGGCGGAAGATGGAAAGTTGGTTGACGACAACGGTACGTTCATCGAGGAGGACGACACTGACATAGGGCCCATGTCAGATGGATACATTGAGAAGGTTGCCGAGTCCCCGAATGCCGGTGTGCTCGAGCTGGCGTGGACGACGTCGCTGCCGTACATCAATCCATCCGGTTGTATGGACCAGAACGATGTCGGCGCCTCGGGCGCAGGGACAGACAATTGCGGGACGCCAGAAGAGATCGCAGGTGGGATAGCCGAAACGTTCGTGGGAGGGAAGTCGATGAGGGAAAAGTCGATCGAAGAATAATCAATGTCATCCTCGTCCTGGTATAGTCCGTCTAACTCCCCAGCGAATCCAGGCACAGATGGCATCGCGCTGGACACGCCGTGTAGTTCAACGACCGGTCCGTCCGCTGCTATGACATCTCCACTCTCGTCCACCACTGACACAGGCAAGGGGAGCAGCGAACTCGCATCGCCCTGACCAACAGAAGACGGGAGCACCCCAGCAGGTACATGATGGGACGAGACGCGATCTAACAAGCGCATCTCGGTAGGAGTGTCCGTCGCAGGTGACGCACGGGCGGCGTCTTCCTCGCCTCCAGAGGCGCCAACCCCAGCGGGTTCTGTGGCCGGCGACCGCTCCATGTTGGTGAGTGTTGGCTCAGTGCTGGGTGGTACTTGCGGCGTCGCGTTCAGTTCCTGGCTCGAGGATGCAGGTGTCGACGGCACATCTGGACTTCCCGGGGTAGACGTGAGAGGCGGGCTTGTGCTCTGCTTCGATTGTTGGCGAGAGCGGGCGTCAGCTAGGTAACAAGTAAGTAAGTGATGGCGCCTCTCATATTCCTCTATCGAACTCACCTATCTCTTCTTTCACATATTCGAGAAAGGGTCGGACGAATTGAGACACAAAATTGCTCATCCTGCCGATGTTATATTCGATATCGTCCCCTTCCTGATGAAAACTACACAACGTGAGTTCCGTGGATGCAGTAAACGTGCAATACTCGCTTACGCAAGGCTCTCGATCTGACCATCGGACCCGGGCACTTCTCCAGCAGCAAGAACCAAAAAGTACCAGCCCGTCTTACGATGAATCTCGCGGAATAACTGTCGAAGAATTGCAGGTAGGTCCTCGATCACTCTGTAGAAAAGCTTGCTCAGTTCACCACATGCAGCTATTGGCATCGGCGTACGTACGACTGGCACACCACAGCATTGATCGTGTTCTCATCCGCGTCTTCGTCCCCCTCTTCACCGTCCTTTTCCGAAGTCGCTGCCATTGTTCGAAGCGCAAGCATATCCGCTTTGATCTCAGCTTTGATACTCTCGGTTTCGACCTTGAACTTCTCCTCGGTCTTAGCCTTGATAATATTGAGCCTCTCGCCTCTCGAAACGTTGGTGCGCCCCTTCAACTCTTCGTCCACAAGTGGTTTGACCCGATCGTCATAATACTTACGGGAGTATACCTCGATCTCCTTCAGGCCACGAGACGATTTCTTTTTGAAAAGGTTTGCGGATACCCGCGTCGACGTCGATTTTGCTTTCCGATTTTGCTGACTACTCAGGTTATTAAACCAGTTATAAATTTGCTTCGGTACACAGGTCAGCAGACTGTTGGTCATCGTGACATACGTGTGCGTACCTTCTGACGACTCTGAATGGCTAATTGTAGCCGCTCATTTTGTTCTTGTGACAGCTCACCCTCGACGTCTGGAAGGACCCTGGGTTTCTCCGGGAACGCGGCGAACCACTCACGGTACACTGTGGGCCAGAACCGCTGCAGACTCTGCGATAACTGATGTGTCCGGAACGTGTCCACCTTCGACAGCAAGAAGGAAGTTTCTGCCTCGGTGGACCAGCGTGTCGGAGCCATGAAGTGCGGATCCGGGTGCGGCGATGTGTCGCAGCTTAGTCTATAGCTGCAAACCCTCATACATCAGCGAGCCCGTTCTATATAAGGCAGCGCCAACAAGCTGCCTCGGCCCCTTGGCATGGACGGTACGAAGTCGATTTTCACGCAGTTTGTCAGATGTCGCACGAAGAACTGACGGTGTCATACGCAGTAGTACGTTAGCTTCTCCAGCAAACCGCATCAAATTGGTGCGGGTGCTGTTGCTCGACCAATGGCTCAACAGCCGGCTGCTTGGAGGTCTCGACCCTGGAAATGAGTCGCGCTGCGAATAAACCACCGTTAGCCGAGGCATGAGAATCAAATCCAGGTAAGGTAGTTGTTATCGCCGCAACTGCATGCTGATAAACTTCTGTCATCGGCTGTTGCGTGTAGCGCATAAATGAGCCGAGAGGGACGGTGCGATCTTGCAAGACCCCATCTCCCAGTCATTGCACACACTGCCGGCATCACCATGGTGAACAAGGGGAAAAACGTCGACAACCCGCCTCCGGACAGCGAGCCGCGGTTCACTTTGAACCAGTTGCAACAACTCCTGGATGCACTTTCGCTTGTCCAGGAGCAGGAAGGTAAGTCCCGTTCACAGTTGCGACATCCGTCCAGGCATGCTAAAGGAATTTGCAGAAGAGCGTCAGATGTGGCGAGATGTAGACAATGAAAACCACCCGAGTATGTGCAGTCGGAACGGTTAGTTAGGCACACATTACTGATGTTTGACAGCGGTTTCGGCGCCGTTGCCATCGTCCTCAGCTGCCGGCAATAGCTCTCAGGGTGGATGCGGTGCTGCTGCGGCCCCGGGCTCTGTTCCCCTCGCGCGACCTGCACAGTCGACGGCGGGTAATAGCGGTGCCGGTCGTGGAACACTGCCGGCTGCTGCTGGCAGTGACGAGCACACCGGCACGAACTTCGGGAACCATCATCGTCCGATCGAGGACGCCGAGTCCGGTGGCAGCGTCGGGACTGTTAGGTGGTACTGTATCACACGTGGCCAGGCCGTTGGAATTTTTCGTGACTGGTACAGCATTACAGTTTCTCTCTGAGTCGCGACGCACTGATAATATTCGCCCAGGATGCTGGTGGCTCCGTTGGTGATTGGAGTGCCGAACGCGGTGTTCCAGCGCTACCCGACATTCAGCGCTGCGCTCGCGGCGTTTATGAGGGCCGCTTCAAACGGGACTGTTGCCGTCATCATGTAGTCTGGACATGTGAGGCTGGGGCTTGCTCCATCACTACGAAAATTTCCCTGCTCCTCATGCCGTAGTGTTTGCCCACATGCCGCGTCCTCGTCCCTCAGTATCCTGTTTGTATCATCTTCTTGGCAGCTGTAGAACCCCACTCCGAGCCTCGTTGTTACGCTTGAATCAATACACGTGCTTGCGTACCCTCACACTGTACTTGCTCGAGAATGGGACGACGGGCGAAGTATCTCACTCTTGCAGACAAACACGCAGCCAAGCGGTCTCAGCAGGCGAAGTATAGTGCAACAGGGCGGTAAGAGCCTTCATCGTGCAATCATCTCGTCATTGCTAAGTTGTCTTGCAGCGGGAAGGCTCAGCGAGCAGCACAGAGCCGTGTCCAGTACGCGTCACGCCACGGCCACTTTCCAACCCCGTTTCCCCAGAAGATCGAAGGGATATCATTCGCCGTTCTCACCCATGCTAGGAAGCCGTTTCGAATCCTCGTGAGCTCAACCGAGTGTTCAGATCTGGGCCTCTATACACGACCCTACAACCTCGTCATCCCCACTCAGTACTCGAAGGATTTCTCAGAAAACGACGAGCTGTTTACAGACGTAGATCACGTCCTGAACGAGCTCACACGGATTCTGAACTCGTGGCAATACTGGCTGTTGAAGGAGAGCGGGCGGGAGAGGTATGCGCTGTTCAAGACGATCGGAGGCAAGGGTCTGGCTGAGAGACTACAGGAGGAAGTGGATATACGGCTGCAGAGCTGGGTGGATGCGGTACCGAAGGAGATCTTGACGCAGACGGCCGTTGTGAGGGTGGTCGGTACTGAATGGGCGGCGCGAATTGTCTGCTGCCTGGCGTTGGAACTCCAGCTTCTGGAGTCGAGTACTGTCGAGTATGAGCGAAGTTTCTATAATGAATCATTGCCATGGCAGATGTTGTACCACAGCCCCGTATGCTAGTTGAATGTGATACAACAATGCAAACACTTGTCCAGACTGAATGACTCGCCAGCTTGTGTCGCTGAACTTCCGAACTGTATCCCGACTCTCCGCAACGCAGTCAGTATCTTGATTGTATACTCACACTCGGGCCACCAACATGGCGAGCAAGATCTTGAGAGAAGTTGGTGTCAAGGAGTTAAGTTGTCTAGCCAGAGTATTGCTCGTCGCAGTCGTACAATAGTCTATGCTACTACTAGTAGTCACTACTACTCCATGACCTCGAATCCAGTTCTGTTACGTCCCGTTTTGCTGATATATATGCCTGGGTTCACTTTTGAATGATCATTGTATACAAGTTCATGTCTCATTGTCCCTGTAGCGGCCTGCACGTAGGGTTTACACACGAAAACATATCCTGGCCAGCATCCCGCTGACCGCTATCTGGGCCCTCATTGGCTAGTCGATCTGTTGTAGCCCGAGCGCTCACTGCCAAAATAGGCAGGCTTTACACCTTCTGCTTGACGGCGTCTATGAAGGTTCTCTCCTGTTATCTCTACCGAACTCGCTGTTGTCGCCAAACAGTCAACACTCAACGCGCCTGTCACCATCGACAGAAGAGGATCTTTGTCATCTACCCTCTATCTCCCAAGCTGGTGAGTCCAAATCGGGTCCTCAAGCACGCTCGCGACTTATCTCCTACTACTACACGAAGTATACCAGCCGATGCTTCAGGGAGCGTCGTGATCAGTGACGAGACTCCACGAACACCCTGCCGTCATCAAGGTGAGCTCGTTCTCTATGAGTAACCACCCGCAGTTGTGAATGCCCTTACAGGTTCCGGTTGGTTGGGGGCTCGCTATCCGGCAAAAGAACTCATGTCAAGTTGAAACACCCGCTATCACGACACCCTGTTCCTCAGATCGTCGATCTGCTAGGGCGTCGTCTTTTGGGTACTCTCAGGCTAGTGCGTGAGTTGCTGAAACTTCCCTGTCAGTGACTCTCCGGTCTGGGCATGTATGGAGCAAACAGAGTTCAACGGCGGGCGACGTCAGCTATTCATGGCTGACATGTCTCCTATTTCAGATCGGGGTTCCTGTTTCATGGCGTATCCCGCACCCTTTAGTTGATGCTTCGGTGGGTGCAGGATCAATCTCAAGTACGTTCCTACTAAATCCTCATTTATTCTGCCGATAGGGACGGACCAGCAATATGCTAGCACGTCGCTTCGGGCGGTGCAAGAACGGGTCGTGTTTGCAAATTCCAAAACTCATATCCGACGTACGTTCACCATGGTCCTGACACGTCGACTCCTGTAATACATCCGTGCGCCGGACGAATTGATGGAGTATCGTCGACGAATGTTCACGATTCTGGCCAATTTTCATCTTGCTTTTTTCATTTTTTGTTGGGATCGAGAGAAAGCCAGTTCATTCCGAGGGTCGACACTTTGTTGTCCCGTCAGAATCTCGGGCTCGTACTCGCAACTATCTACTGCGCTGCTTGGCTACTATGCCCCTACCTGCACGAAAACGCCGTCGCCGTGCCCCAGATGTGCAGTTCTACCGACTAGATGACACTAACCCCGAGCCCGTTCACCGCCATCTCTCCGTTGCATCGTCGGCGTTGTCCGTCTCTTTGAAGGCCACCTCAGTATCCGCTGCAAATCCAGTGCCCCAGAATGTGCCCGAAGCCGGCAACACTGCGTCCGCGCTCGGAGATGCATCTGAACGCTCTTCCGACCCACTTGATGTCGACGATGGCGAAGCTTTTGAGACTCTGCCAGCTGAGTTCTTCCACGACATCGGTGACATGCTGGATTTCGTGAACAAGCGCAAGCGCACTGCGAGCGTGCGTGTTTTCGACTGATTTGTATTGCCTACTGACACAGAAACAGGAAAACCCCCTCGAAGACTGGCGGCGACATGACATCGATGAATGGCTCTCGGAGCTTCTGCGTCTCGAGGGCCGATGCGGTTTCACCGACGGAACTTGTGCCGGGTGCTGGGAGGGTCAAGCAGACTACCGTTGCGAGGATTGTGAAGATCTAAGGTTGTACTGCAAGTCGTGTACTATCAAGCGACATCACCGGAACCCATTCCACCGTTTGAGGGTGAGCCACGACTATAACTCTACAAAAAGGCGACAGTACTTATCACTCATGACTAATCAGCTCTGGTCCGGAACGTGTTTCTGTAGGACGACACTCAAGCAAGCAGGGCTCCGTATACAACTCGGACACCCAGTGGGCGAGCAGTGTGCTAACCCGGTCAAGGCATTCGGAGATGACTTCATCGTATTAGACTTGTCTGGTGTGAATGAGGTCGCGGTCGATTACTGTGGCTGCGAAACGGCACAAGCAAAATCAATCCAGCTACTTCGCGCCCGACTTCTTCCGGCGACGGGTGTCGACCCAAAAACAGCAGCGACGTTTCGACTCATGGAGTACTACCACCTCCTGCACAATCAGTCGAAGGTATCCGGCTTTGAGTTCTATAACACACTTGCTCGTCTAACTGACAACACAGGGACGAGCGATGTGAAGGTATTGTGCATAGCCACCTCTGATGCTCCTGTTGCACTCACGAAAATGTGTCGACAGTCTAGGTACATCAGCTTCATGCGAATGTCACGCGTTTGGATGCACCTCAAGCTCCTCAAGCGATTTGGCCGTGGTCATGACCCGCTAGGAGCGAAGGGAACGGCCCCTGGTTCGTGTGCGGTGCTCTGCCCCGCGTGCCCGCAACCTGGCAAGAATCTGCCAGATGACTGGGAAAATGCACCTTCGGAACGAAGGCCAGTTTTCGTGCGAGCTGCCCGAGAATTTCCATTGCTGACCTCCCGTCTCAGTTGGCTATACCGTCTGTTTCTCGGGATAGACGCCAACTTCCGCTTGAAGCGGAAGAAGGTCTCGTCCGACGCTGCCGACCCAGGCTTCAACAACGGTATCGCGTACTTCGTGGAAGAGAAGGCATACAAGGCGCACCTGGAGAAGCACGGCAAGCTGGATATAGAAGACTCAAACACGTGCAACAACCACGACGCTGTAAAGCTCGCGAACATGCGTGGAAGTCACGGTACAGCCACCAGTGGTGTGGCTACGGTCGAGTGCACGCGCCACGACATGAAGCGTCCATGTTCTGTCGGCGATCTACAGAAGGGCGAAAGGTATGTTGTTGGTGCGTCGACAAAGCGGGGCGACATCACTGAAGTCGAGCAGATACGTCAACATGGACTACCTGTTCGCCAGCAGTGTTCGACAGAGCCTCCCCTCGGCAGCGAACGACTCCACGCTCACACGAAGTGGCAACGTCCGTCTTGTTGTCTCGTACGACATCGCTTGTCAGTGGGGTGTTAACCTATGGAACAGGATGCTTCATTACGACCCACAGTGGGACTTCGACAAGCGGACCATAACATTTCTAATACCGAAATTCCACTTACCGGCGCACCAGGACAGCTGCCAAACGAAGTTCTCCTTCAACTACACCAAAGGCGTAGGACGTACCGATGGTGAAGCCGTCGAGCGTGGCTGGGCCGCAGTGAATGGGTTTTCGGGCAGCACGAAGGAAATGGGTCCAGGGTCTCGCCGCGACGTCCTCGATGATGCCTTCGGTGACTACAATTGGCGAAAAATCACGCACCTCGGTATGTCGCTACTTAATGTGCTCATAGTTCTATCGGTTTTGATTGTTCCATAGCCAAAACACTCCTTGACCGTGTGAAGAATGCCGTCGAAGAGTGCTGCAAGCACGTTGTCATCTTCAACGAACTCACTGCCGTCACGGATCCGACGCGGGTGGCCGAATGGAAGCAGCAAGTTGAAGCATGGGAGGAGGGTGCAGATCTTAACCCCTTTGTAGTGACGCGTCATCGTAAGAGCCGTCTCCTTCGTATGTCACATCGACTGATTAACCCAATCGTCGCAGCTATCACACTGGCAGCTGTCCGACGCGAGCTAGCTGAAGAAGAATCCACGGGCATAACCGATGGGAGCCTCGTGCTTCTACATGAGAAGATATCGCCAAGTATCCTGATCACGGCGGGTCTCGAGATGGAGGAAGCTCAGTATGTACTACCTTCTCTACTAATACAGGCCCGTCTTATGCTGGACTAATAATGTGTGCTTCAGACGACGTCTACGGTCCGATGCCGCTGAATTGACCTCCCACTCTCCGGATGATCAGCGCGCGAACGTCATCCGTCGACGCAATAATCTTCAAGTCCGCATTGATGCCTGGCGAGAAGTCCAAGATCTCTACATGCCAGGTGTAGCTGCGGTACGAAGTCGAGCTGCGGAGGCCTCAGCTGCTCCAGTTCTCGCCGAGAATATTCCACTCTACCTCCCATCTACTGTTTTGGGCGATCATCGCGTGACGCTGCCCTCGAGCGTGCTCGAGATCGAAAGACGCTTACGCTTCGCGCAGGCTAATGACTCGCTAGAGCAACTGCGGCGCCATCTTCGTGCCCGCACGAAGCTTTTTCACATCAAAGACCGAGACGTCAGGGGCCAACGTTATAACACAAGATCCCGCGCATACATCGACTCCGTCCAGGCGAAGATCGACGCCGACGCCGAACGCTATCGCGCAGCTCACGCGGCACTCCTCACCATAGACCCTGGAGACGCCACACACTGGCAGAAGATCCTCCGTCCTCTGCTCCGAACCGATGTTCGTGCAATGCATCAAGGCCTCGACGATGAGACCGAGGGGCGCAAGACTATCTCGTGGATATGGCGGACAAGTGGGGCCTCAGGGAGCGCGGATGATGAGGACGACCAAGAAGGTAAGAATTCCCCGTGTTTAAAATCGAAGCAGAGTATGACATCGACCCTTAGCCGTACGGATTGAGTGGTGCAAGGCTCGCGCGAGAGCCATGCGCTGGGACGAGGAGTGCCAGCTTCTCAGCGAGGAGATGCGACGTGTTCTTGCCTTCTTCAAATGGCACATCCAGTGGTGGTTGGATTGTGCTGGAAGAGAGGTCTCTATAGGGAACGTGCCGGAGCATGCTGAAGGCCGTCGGGCTTATGCACGTCGGCAGGCGGATATCCGGCAGGCGCTGCATGACTATTGCGTCGGTGCTTGGCATTCAGTTCCCGAGTACCTCCTACTTAGAACTACGTTAGAGTTGAATTAGTAATGACCATCTTCCCGTTGTGGCCCTCCGTACACATGTGTGACTTACCAGAGCTTACGACTTACGAGACAATTGACAGCCTTCATACATAAGACAACAGGACTTTCATGTATGAGACGACAGACCCTGCGATACATGAGCCATACATCAAGCTGCAGCCGAGTCTTCATACATCAAGCCGCAGACGGGTCTCTATACATCAAGCCGCAAGCGAGTCTTCATACATCGAGCCACAGGTGAGTCTTCATACATCAGCGAACTACAGGTTGATACATGGCAATGAGCAGCAACGGGCGAATGACAAATTGAATGCGATGTCGTGTGATAGGTACAGGGTTCTCCATCATTCTCCGAGATGTCCCGCCTTCACTACGGCGTCGACGGCGTCACCCGATACGTGCAATCATAGGTGGGAGGTCGGCAGGGCATGGGCGTGAATGGGCGTGAGATGTAGGTTGACGGCGGATGAGGTGCTAAACGAATATCAGTTCCAACATGAACGTTATACCGCGAATGACAAGGGAGAATCTGAAGCTCACCAAGACATCAAATCAGTACTCACGACGCTTGATGCGAAGTCGCGAGGCGGACAAGCAGAGGGCAGTAAAGAGCGCGTAGGCGACACAAGCAACGCCTATGAGTACGCCAGTTACCATGCCGGACTGTACGGCACAGTACTAATCAGTCGAGGCGCCATTGTAAGCCTAAGAATGAAACCAATAGGACAGGGTGAGTGAGCGACGTAAGTGGGTAAAAGACACTGTAAACTTACCGAGTGCCCTATTAACTCACTGAAAATACCAGGTCTTTGAGAGTACAAACACTCAGACATGAGGCAGGGGCGGTAGACAAGGACGAGAGTAACGCACGTCGATGGGCAACAGCACACCGTACACGGGACCAGTACCGTCACGACGTCGTAGAGGTCTTTTGAGAGGCGGAGAAAGCACTAGAACGACAACGAGTTACAAGGAGTGAGAGATCAAGCCAGTATTCAAAGCAACGACGAGAGCTGTGTACTGTGGTGGTGGACGAGGGGGACGAGGGGTAAGGTTTGCACAACCGCCGCATTGGGGCAAAGCAGGCGCCTGCGCTGCGTGAGTGGCGATACCATCCCTATATGGTTATCGCACAGCCGCGCGCCACCTAGCGCTTCGCTCAACTACGTGGCTCTACGCCCGGCGAGAGTCGTACTTTAACAAGGTGCACTGACCCACTGTGCACCCTGGATAGTAATTATAACCTCGCGCAGATGAGCGAGCCTAATCATCTACGGCAGGCGGCGGCAGCCAGGCAGGAGGGCCGCCGACGTTGCCCGTCGCCCGAAAAGGCAGCCTCGCATCGCGCTCCTGTCTGAGCGCCCGCCCGATCGTCTGCGGCCGTGGCAAGGCAGGCCCGGGAGCACCGCCGACGCTGCCCAAAACGGCTGCATCGCGCTCCGGTCTGAGTGCCCACCCGGTGCCCGTAAGGTCTCACCGGTCTACAGGCCGGGTGCTGTTTAAGGAAGTCCGTGAGGAGCCGCAGAGGGGCAGCTTACATAAGGGGATCTCGTCTATGTATCAGGGCACAAAGGACATACAGCCTCATGTATCAGAGGGTAGTGAATTCATGTATCAGGCTACCGTATTCGGGCAGCCAGTGAACTACAGTATTTATGTATGAGCTGTGTACTACAAGGACAATAGTTTATGTATCAGTCTGCCAGCTACAGGTGCCTTGGGCTATCCGGGACCTCCACCCCGAGTCGTACGCGCTCGTGTACCAGGAACTGCGCTAGCCATGTGTTCCGCTCGCTGTCCTTGTCAACGGTGCGTGCCAGTGTGTCGTCCTCGCGGGTCCATTCATCTGCCTGCTCAACTTCGCGCAGAGCGGCCTCGGCTTCGGTTCGCGGAAGGTATCCCCATAGCCGCCGCCGATCCTCCGCAATGTGCCAGCATGCGACGAGGTCATCCTCGGGTGTATCGGCGTCGAACTCGCCAAAGTCACCCAGCAGCCAGGCATCCTCAGGTACGTCTTGACTCGCAGACTCGGGCTCGTAGCTGTCCGTCCTAACCTGTGGACCATCCGCGCCGTGTTCCGTTCGCGGTCCCTGCCACAGTTCAACCGGTGAGTCATTGGTCCTACTGACTTCCGTGCCGCCTGTACCCTCAGGCGCATAGCTCGGTTGGTCGGTGGTCACGTCCCGCTGTTCCTCGTGCGTAGATTTCGCCTGTTCCCCGCCTCCTTGTTTCGTGTCCTCCTGATCATCTCCATCCTCGCGGTTCCCCTTCTGCCGTGTCGTAAGCCGCCGGACCTCCTTGTCGTGATTCCCCTTACTCCGCTCGAAGCTCTGGGGACGTTCCCTCTCGCTCCGCATGGGCGCTCCTTGTCCTGTCGTGCGTCGACGCCCTGGTGAGTTCCCTGGATCCTCCGAGGGGCTCACGAGCTGACAGATCTCCGTGAACCCCACCAGTAGTACCGCGTCCCCTTCGCTACCCTGCTCCGCGTTCCCGCTCGTCCTTTCACGCTCGGAGCGCGCGATGTCCTTTTGCGTGCTCGACAACCCTTTCGCTGCGGCTGTCCGCCTCGTCGCCCCCCACGTTTCGCCACGGCCGGTGCGTTCATCAGCCCACTCCCCCATACTCGGCTTGAAACTCGCGCCCTGGTTCGCCTTGCTACCTTCGCACACGAGCCTATCTGTCCGGTGTCCTTGCCCTGGTATGTCTGCGGAGTCTGTGAACCGTTCGTTTCGCTTGCTGATGTCCACAAACAGTGATTGTAGCACCAGTTCGCTACCACCGGCCTCCCCGCACCCAGCGCGTCCGTACTCCCTCCGTCTCAGTGGGCGTGGCAAATCTTCCGCCGTACATCGCTCCCACGATATGTCCAGTACGCCCGCGAATGGGTCGGTTGACCGACTCGTCTCGGCAATCCCGATTTGCCCCACCACTCCATTACCACCCTCCGTGTCCGTGCCCGTTTCCTCCCCTCTCGTGCTTCTGTCTTCCTTCTGCATCCCTGACGGTGTTCCGCCCGATGCTTGCCAGTCCCGCCTCGTCTCTTCCCGAGTCTGGCTATCGCCAGCCCATTCTTCCTCAGGCTGCCTCTTGCTCTGCTTCAAGCTCGTGCCCCCGCTTGTGTTCACGCGAGCGTGTACACGTCTGCCCGTCACGCCTCGACGCCTCAGTACGTCCCCGCCGTCCGCGAAGAATCCGCTCTGCTGGCTGACCTCGACCAGGTTGACTTGCAAAACCGTCTCGCCATTGCCACCCTGCATGCGCTTGTCCCCTCTCCAAGTCTTGCACCCGGCGTGTCCGTCTTCTGGCTCGCGTGCTAGCGCCCTTACTCGACCCTCCGGTCTCGCTGCCTCCCGCACCGCACCTTGTCCCGCGTGTCCATCACCTAACCCGGGCTCCCCATTACCCGGCTGCCCCAAGCTCGCGAGCTGCTCCGTATCGCCGTGCGCGTCTGCAAGCTCGTCCGCCGCAGCGCATTCCCCGTGTACGCCTCTTGATTCCACGAGACTGCCGGTTCGCTCACTGACCTCGACCGGGTTCCTCTGCAGGGTGTTACTGCGCACTCGCTGTCCTGCATGTGCTCGTCCGTTCCGTCGTCCTCGGTCCACGTGTACCCGCCTTGCGTCCACGGCGATATCCCTGACCCAGCTGGTTCTCGCTGCCCGGTCGTAGGAAGGGTCCCGCGATGGTCGGTGCACTTGTGAGTCACCGCATCCTTATCGACTGATCCCCCGGTCTTCCCGTCACCCGGTATGTGCTGCGTGCTACCCGCCCCTCGTGCAGCAACTTCCTCTGAGTCCCCGTCATCCATTACTAGGTCGTCTGCTCCGCTAGCCCCTCCTTCATCCCAACACGATATCGCGGTCCTGTCCGTTGTCGAGCGCGAGTAGTCCCCGCTCGTCTGCGCGTGTACTCCGCTCTCTGTTGCGTGTCCTCGCCATGGTACGTCTGACCCCTGCATGTACTCATCTGTTCCCTGACGTTCAGCGTGTTTCCCACCCGTATCTGAGTTCGTCCCCAACGACAATCGCCGGTTAGCTGGTCCTAGCGGCCTGGTCGTAGGAACACTACCGCCACAGCTGAACCTCTGGCTGGTTGCCCCGGGCCCGCCCGGTCTCAGTTCCAAGCTCGCGCCGCAGCACTGCATGCTCTCCGCGCAGACATCCCCTCTCTCGGCCTCGTTTCGCCGTAACGGAACATCGCTCGATACCGGCCTTGGCGCGTACTTGCCCGTCGCTGCCATATGCTCATCGACCTGGCCCCTGGTCATCCTCCTGCTCGTCTCGCTGCATGCTGGTATCGTGCGACCTATCGTGCTTTGCTGTGCTGGTACGCCCGCTTCGTCCTCGAATGGTCCGGCTTGCTGGCTGATCGCGACCAGATTCGCATGTAGTCCCGTTTCACGCCCATCCGCGACTGCGGACTCGCAATCTTCCTCTGGCCGCTCCGGCACGTACCCGCCCTCGCTACACTTAGACGCAGCACGGTGCGTCCGCATGCTTCCCTCCGCCTGAGCACGGGCCTCTACTGCTTCCCTCGTCTTACAATCAACCTTCTTCCGCACGCACCCCGCTCGATCGGTCCGCTGTACATCGGTCGCCCGGGATCGCTCTTCATCGTGTGCCGAGCTGTTGGTACTCGCCTTCGGTAGATCCGGATCTTCGCCAGCCTCCGTCCGCCCGTGCTCTAGTCTCAAGCCCTCGTTCCACTTGATTCGCCTCTGAGTCGTCTCCCTCCGCTCCTCGTTGCCTCGGAGCTGTACCGGTCCCCGCGTGTGACGACCACCTCCTACGATCGCTCGAATACCACCCATCGCTCCCTGTAGCGCGTGTCGAGAGATGGTTATCCGTGCGAACCGGTTGGGGCCCCTGTGTGACCTGAAAGAATACGAGGTGGCGCGTATCCTGTCCGCGACTCGAGAGGCTAGTACCCCGGTGGTGAACCGCGCCAGTCCTGATCCATGCACTTCAGCGGTCGTCGCCCTGGGTTCTCTCCCCCCTGCTCCGCCTCCTCCGACAGGCTGGCGTCGATGTCGCGAGCCCGGGCATCCTCTCTGTCGGCAGTCTTGTACCTCGCCTCCTGTAGCCCGTAGATCCACATCGAACCGTTCCCTGTACGGAGCCTACTGGCGCGTCTGTTCTCGCCCCTGATCCCCGTTGACCATCGGGACACGCGCGTCTGGTCTGCGCCCTGTCGCTGGACATCCTGGCAATCGGCTTCTTCTCCCTCTCGTCTTGTGGACTCCACAAACCCGTTGGTCTCGCCTCGTTCCCTCCGGCAGGGATCAGTCTCGAGGCTCACGCTCGGCGCGGTTTGACTGTCCGTCTTCTCGCTCCCGTCCTCCGTCCTCCGATCTCCATGGTTCCCTCTATGCTGGGTACCTCGTTCATCTAGCCCCAGGTCCGTCCGTTCCGCGCCCGCACGCTCCCGATACCGAGGTTCGCTAGCTGTTCCTTCCGCGGCTTGCTTACTGCCCATCACTGCGACTCTCCTGTATTCCGCGGCGATGTCGCTCGTCGACGCGCATACCCACGTCTGCGTCGCTTCCTCGTGCTCCTCCGTAGCTCCCGCTCGCTGTCCCTGCCTGCAACCCTTCGTCCCGACGTGTCTCGGTATCCCGTTCGCTCTCTTCGTTGCCTCCGGCATGTGTCATCCTGGGAGCTCGCCTGTATCTCGTTCGTAGCTGCCCGACTCTCAACGCTCGCCGTCCAACCTTCGCGCTCCATTCGGTCCGACGCAATGTACTGGCTCGGCGTCGCTGGAGGGCGGATATGACACGGCTCTCCTGCGCGCGCGATGGTTCGCACTGTCCGTCTGTAGTAGCTACCGTCGCCGTAGATCTTCTTGACCTCGACTGCCCGAACAGACCCGCGCGATGTACTCAGGTCCGTGTAGCACTCGTCCTGCGAATAACGATCCTTGCGCGCCTGCCTCACCGATGGTTCCTGCGTTGCAACCGGACCTTGACCGACCATTCCCTCCGACAGCAAGCCTGCGACTGCCGAGCCCGTCGGCTTGCACTTGAGCGAATGCTCATCCACGCCCGGGCCTTCTGCATCGCGTCCGTTCACCCGGGAGTACTCCGATAACTCACATGTGCTAAGTATCGCTTGTCTCTCCGCCCTCTCAGGTTCAGGTCGTCCTTGCCCATCTGCGCAGTGCTCCGAAAGCGCGTGGACACTCTGCGCACCATTGAATTGCTGGCTACGAGCGCTCGCTTCGTGCCGATATGGGTCTACTGAGTCTTGAACCTTACGCGCTGTTTCCTCCGAGTCCGATCTTGCCATGAGGTAGTCCTTAACCGTCGCGCCTTCTGCGCCTCGCCAGATAGAACCATGCGCGGGAAAACTGCTAGTATTGAGGATATGCGGGGAGTGCGAGAATACACGCGCCAAAGCTTCGACTCGAGCGACCAGCGAGACGCCGGCAGGCTGTGCAGACCATGGTTCGGGCGCTTGAGCGATCGTCTCTCCCGGACCCCGAAGTCCTCCCTCCACCGACTCTCCCTGCCTGTGATCCTCGCGCCAGCTCTCGTCGTACTCTCTCTCGTCCATCGCGACCATGGTGCCTTGTTGAATCATTCCCAAGTCAACACGGTCCCCGCCGCTGTCGCGTCCATCACCGCTCCGCTGTGTGCTCGAAACGGGTGTGTCGTCAACTCCGAGCTCGAACGCGCTCGTCGCATGCTCCTGCACGCGCAGGGCAGACCTCGCAGAGGGAGGTGAATGTCCGGGGTACGCGTAGTCGGTGGAGGAGATCCCATAGGTGAGCGTAGTCTCCGTCGCTCGAATCACGACCCGTCTGAACGCCTGCACCTGTCGCTCCTCCGCTTGCGCGTATCAAGCACGTCCGCCGTCCCGCCATCTCGCACCAGGGTATCTTGCCGGACGTCTGACGCGTGCGTTCCCTCCGCCTGCATGCTTGGTGCGCCTCGTGGAGTTGATGTCGAGTCTTCGGCTTGCGAGGAAAGTGGACGGCTTGTCGTTATGCATCCCCCGGTACGCTTATCCTTTAACGCTGTTGTCGCGACCCGCCTAGTCGCCTGTGTCGCCCGTGCAGCTTGCTGGTACAGCCGCCGCCAGTCGTTTCCGGTTTTGAAGACTCGTCTTCCCGCCGCCAGGAACTCGCCGACCTCCTTCTCTTCCCCGCTGCACGCGCTAATGGCTGCGCTTGAAGCCTCACCACCCGCCATCCTCTTCTCGCCACGGCCTAGCTCGCCGTCGGAATCCCGGCCTTGCGCGATGCCCGTCGTCGCTAGATCCTTGCATACAAACCCCGCCCGCCGTGAGTGTCTCGCCCGTGGTCCTGGCTCGTATCGCTCGCTCGACACCCCGCCTGTCCCGCGTCCAGGAGTCCCCATTCTCTCGTCGTTCTCTCGTTCGATGTCGCTTACCCTCGAGTACTCATAGGTCCGCACTTGGTCGACTAGGTACGGCACATCCGTTCCTCCTCGATCTCCTCGCGTCGGTACCAGTACCTCGCTGAACGGGCTCCTGTGTCGGCGACCGACCGCTGCAAGACACGCGTCGCTCCCAGCGATTCCACCGGTGAGTCTAACCTCCGTAATCACTTCTCGCGCCCGTCCTGATGCCCGTGTTTCAGTTCCCGTTTGCTCCTCCGGCCGCGGGTAATCGTCTTTGACCGTGGAGACTCGTCTGGGCGCCGCCAGCAGATTCCTGATCTCTTCCTCTATCTCCGCACCGTGGTGGTGCGCCTTGTACTCACGGCGGTCGACCGTGTACGTCTCGGTCGCGGTCTGCACCTTGTCCAATGGCGTCTGCTCGCTCGCCTCCCGCGTGTGCCCCTCTTGCTTGCGCATATCCTTGCCTCCGATGCTGGTCACGCTCGTTGGCCCTGATCCCTGGATCCTGCGCTCGCGTGCTCGGTTACTCGCTGGACTCCAGGACCTGCAGGTTGAACGTTCGCTCCAGCTCTCGTGGCTCGCAGTTTTCAGTATGCCGAGGCTGATCATCGCTCGACAGGCTCCGCCCTCCGAAGTCGCTCGCTCATCTCCCGTCGTGGCGCGCTCGTACATGCCCGACAAGCTCGACAAGTATATTGATTCTAGCGGAGCACATTGCTCGTCCCGCCATCCACTCGTTGCTATAGGGCTCTGACTTTGTTCGGATCGGCCCGCCGGGTGCGTCTTCTCTTGCTCCTGACTCGTGGTACTGATGCCTGGTTCCGAAGGTGCTGATTCGCTTAACCGCTTCTGGAAGGTGGCGGGTCCCCTTCCCATGCGCCTGTCGACTCCGGGCTCGGACATCGTTGCCGTTATACGTGACGTGTTGCAGAAGGAGTCGTCGAGTAGGGGCAAACCACCGCCTGTCGTAGCCATAGACATCTGTGTCATAGAGCTCGCATTACCCGCATACACCTCCCAGCTACTCCGTCTATTCATCGCGTGTCGCCCCCGCGAACCGGCAGTTCCTCCTCTGCGCGTGCTTCCGAATCCAAGTGCTTGCTCTTGAGTGCTTGAATTGTCGCTGCTCATGTTCGTCCCGGGCCCCGTTGTCATGGTCAGGCCCTCATACTGGGTACCTCCGTCGTGTTTCCTCGCCGTAAGACTTGATACTCCACTCCAGAAGTCTCGAAGTGTCAGTGAGCTGCCTCGGTGAACATGCGAGCGTACGGTGACGTGGGCGTCAGGGTCGGCTGTCCTGCCAGTACCGCGAGAGGTGTCCTCGACTAAGTCGCTGCCCGTACGCGCGGGAACTCGCTCCTGTATACATGGCGTCGCCTCCAGTGTCTGTCCGTCCGCAGCAATGCTCGAGCGTGCGGCCGGTCGAGCCTCGTGAACGCCGTGGTTCCGCGTCTCCGTCGACTGGGCGATGGTGCCGAGTGTGTGCATCGCAAGATGACCGTCGCCTGTATGTGCTGTAACTGGCTCGAAGGTCACAGTCGCGCGTCCCGTAGCTTGCTCGTAGATCTGGGTTGCAGATGCTGAGGCCGTGAAGAGGGCGTCGAGTGCGTACGTGCGGTCGTCTCCGAGATAGCCAGTCGCCGAGTCCGTGATGGACCTGAACCGTACCGTCGCGCCGGTCGATCTCGCGACTACGTCCGCTTCGCGCGTTGGCGTCGATTCCACATGCACTGTCATGGTGGACTGGTAATGGAGGAAATAAATGTTGCCTTGCCTGTACACAGTCCCGGAAGTGACTTTGGCCGTAGCGGGATCGCACGCGGGCCTTCGATCCATAGATGATGTACACGTAGTGTATGGGAAATGAATGGAGTGGATTGTGTATGCTCGCCTGTGCTGTGGGTGCGATGACGCGAAGCTGTAGGCGGAGCGGAAGAAGCACGAATAGGGTACCACCCCTCGCGGTGGGCTCCAGTTGTGTGGCTCGGGAGTGTAGTACCCCCGGGCGCGATGTTCGAGGGGCGGGCCAATCCATGGCTTCCAGGATGAAGGGAGGGTGTGTCGAAACGGGGGAATATGCATCTCGGAGGGGAGTAGTGCCAAAGACGGACCTCGTTGCCAAACCTCTGGCTCGCTGTCCCTATCCTCGGTCCTCCAGGCCTCGTCTACAGCTGTCATCCTGAGTCCTGACTCGTTCCGCTGCTCCCTCGCCTCTTCCGTGCTTCGTATCCTCAACCTCGCTTCCAGTCAACGGCTCCGAGTCGTACCGCGTTCAATCTCGTGCTCGTTCCGTGTTCTCGTTCTCGTTCTATCTCCTTGTACCCGTTCCGACGTCCTATTCTGAACTCTCGTAGTCGCTCGGCTCGTTGCGGAGTAGGCCAGCTCTGTTCCTTAGTCGCTAAGCTCGTTCCGCAGGTCGCTGTCCTCGTTTTGCTGGATCCTGTCTTCCTTCCGCTGGTTCGTATTCTTCTTCCGCTGGTTCCTAAGCTCGTTCCGCGAGTCCTTGGCCTAACCTGTACTCCCTCCGACTTGCCCTGATCTCGTAGTACTGGTGTTGCCCCAACTACGTGGCACTGCTTCCGTCCGAATGATTCTCGATGGCCCGACTAGGTCGCTAATGACCAACTCGGGGAGATGCCCCCCAACTCCAGAAAATGTGATAGCAGTGAGACGAGCTGTGCTCGTAGTTGCCTAGATTCGGAGGGGGGAGAACTAAGGTATGTACAAGTCTTCGTGGCACTGTATGCCGCCGAAGCTGACTAATAGTAGGTACTTGCTATATATGGTAAGTAATGCGAAATCGCGCGAAGTCCATCAAGTACAGTAGAGATGGGGTATCGGAAGGAATAGCGAAGGCTGTCAATGTGCTCGGAGGGAACGGCACTGACCAGATAGCCCAAAATAAGCGATATACGTACTGTCCGGGCCTATGTGGGAGGCACTCCCCACAGCGTGCGCAACGTACATTCGAGTACCGCGGGCGCATTCCAACCATCAAACGTACTCCGAACATTGGGTACGTCGAGCAGTAGCTGGCTCGACGTGCGCAATGCTACGAAGAAGTGTACCTCCCCCGGTGTACTCTGCGAAGTACCCGGACTACTACCACCTACCGTCGCACCATTACATGGAGCTATGGTGACCTCGTCGGTCACTATAATTCATGCTGGTGTTAAAATCAAGACGGAGGAGGGGGAAGGGACCGGTACGGGTACCGTTTTCGAGACGCAAGAATCGGAAACTCGAGACTCACCATCGCCTGTCTCGTCGCCACCGCCGCGACTAGTACCGCCGCCGCCTGTCCTCTTGCCGCCGCCGCTACCTCCCTCGTCGCCGCTATGCAGTACGACGAGCTCGATGCTCGTCGTCATCGCCGACCGCAGCAACAACAACATGTCGGACGTACCCGAGAGCGCGTCCAACATGTCTGTTGCAACTACTATGGTCAGCGACACGGTAGAGGTGCGGGTTCGCATGGTCAACGGGCATGTCATCACAGTGACCATGTCCTGCGATCCGCTGCGACACAGTCGGCGCGCGATCGGGCACGACTGACGTGTCCATTTCGCCCACCATGGCTCGCTCGTCGCGTACATCGAGCATCTCGCTCAGTGTATACGTCGAGCCCATGTACCGAAGCACATGCGACACATGTCATACCCGCGGCTTCATCTCTCGCGACGACCGTGATCAATGCGCACGGAAGCACGTTGATCGAGGTGTCTACACCATGTGCTCGTCGAGTACGTTGAGTTCTGTCCTCAATGTACATGGCGAGACCATTTCCCACCACCCATCGTGTACACGAGGGTTCAACCTTGTGTGTGCGAGAGGATGTTGTGGATGTAGACCCCTCTCGTGGTCGTGCCATGTTCTTCTTTCTTCGAGACTACCTGCATTCCTGAACTTGTTGGATGTTCAGGTGCAGGCAAGTAGTATGCTGGCACGATATAGTATGTTTTCTCTCCTTGTATGTCTTCTCATACCTGTTGCAGTATGTTCTACCATCGATGGTTGAACATACTCAACCCCGATGAGATCATGCTGTGTACATCCATTTGGGATGTTCACTACATGGACTGCTCTACTTCAGGTCCGTTTGGGATGTGGTTAATTCACAGAGACCCTGTGGATGCCACATGGATTACTGAGTTCCGAGACCCGGCCCACAGTCTATCCTACCTGGACCTGATGTGAGTACTCTGCTACAAGAAGACAAGCATAGTATGTTATCTTCATTGTCTTTTGCTGGGACTCGTGAGACGAGTCCAGTGGGGGAGAGTGTAACGGGCCTATTTGGATGTCATCACAACCTACCCGATATGGGATATCTTATCTATATGCTGTTTGCTTATGTTTGTACTCCCCTCGTATGGCGCGCCAGCGCACTTCCTGTAGTCTCGAACTACCCTTTAATCACTGCCTAACGATACACATAGTCTGTAGACTTCTCTTGAATAGAGATTGGATACAGCGTATCTGCGGGTGTGAACTGGGTCGTTACACTAGCTTTGTAAAACTCACCTTAATCCAGAAATTCATATGCTCCTGCAAGAGGTCGACTTCGACCCACGAATCTGGTTTGCCCGTCGGGTTCACGAGCCAGTTGTTCAAGACAATTTTCCTGGGCAGCATATCTGATCAGGTGAGTGACTGTGATTGATGAGGTCGATAGACGCACCGTAGTCCCTCCGGCCAGACGTGAGTTAAGTTGTGTATCAAGAATAATACCTCCTGAGCATACTTTGTTCGTCCAGATCCGCGATAGATCAACGCCAACGCCTTGAGTATTAACACTATGCGTCCCGATACACCCATTTTGATTGCATTTGTCAAGGCACGCAGAACTAGAGAATCACGCATGAAGAGCAATGCATTCTCGTACACCATATCACCTTCCCTCGGTATGTGCTGTTCAGCCTCGTGGTTATTTGGCTGACCGCTTGCTGTCGCCGCCTCTGTCACAGTACTACGACGGACACCTTCACCTGACGAGGATGGCTCGTTGCTGGACCCACCCTCAACAGCCTCGGTGGCCATGCGACGTGCTTCGGCCGCACGAGCCGTGCGTAGGCGGCCCACTGTACGGCCGTCTGTGTAGTGGTCGACGATCTCGGCTGTGTGTTCCTGGAGCCGCGTCCATGACACATGCGTCGCGTAGTCATCGAGAGACTCGCATGCGCTGACTGCCTCTAGGCATACGAGGACCCGTGCATACAACGAGACGTAGATGAGATCTTGACAGACGCGGAAGGGTGGGAGGCTTGTGAGGGTGATCGGCTTGCGGTCGAGTACAGTGTTGTGGAAGGCCAGTGAACCGGGGTTACGATGACTCGTGGTCTTGCCGTAGTGTAGCTCCATAACACCATGTGAGCCTGCCATCTTATAGTGGAACAGTCCAGGCATTGTGACAGCCCAGAGGTAAGAGTTTGTGAAGTTGTCATGGCCAGCACGATTCTTCGCGAGTGAACGAAGACGTGCAATGGATAGCTGGTCGCCAGCAATGACCCGGACAACATCACCAAAACCGTCTGCCCCCATGTCCTGCCCCAGTTCTGCAAGGATAGTCTTCGTCAGGTCTGCATTGCCAACGATGGTTGATTCGTCAATCTTCATGGATGGCAGTGGAAAGATTCGGGTCTGATGAAGAGGGATGCGCGTCTCAAGCAGTGGGCCAAAGCCCTCGACATCCTTCGTGAAGCGTGAAAAATTGTCACCGCCGTGTGTCACGATGATTTGGAGAACAATGTGTTGGAGAATCCTTTTGAAGTCGAGGCTCTCCTGAGGCGTGAAGAGCACATCATTACGACCGAGTGGCGGCGCATTGACAATCCCTGCCATGAGGTCCGCACACTGCATGGCATCTTCAGTCGCACCGTATAGCTCAAATGCCGTGGCGCATGTGCCGTTCTCCTGTGTGTCCTTTCGACCAATCGTCTGCTCAGCGACACGGAAGACCATGTTGATATTGTCGTATACAAACGCGACGAGACGTGTCGATGCGTTAGCACGTGCAGCGCGTCGACACGCATCCGAGAGGCGCTTGAGAATGCCCTTGACTCGCTTCTTCTTCACCGTATTCTTGGAGTTGTCCTTCCCGCCATCTTCTTGCTGGCCACTACCTCGACTCTCAGCACGAAGGTCATCAAGGGCGGCCAGGATTTCGGCACCTCTATCTCCTTGCTCAGTACCTCGAAGCTCATCGACCTGGGCCCAGAGAAGATCGTCCGAGTTTGCAGGTGACGGCTCTTGCGCGTGAATCGGAGAGGGTCTATGCGATGGTGGATTGTGAAGGGGTGGTGGATCTAGTGGATCGACGGGTCCGTCGGGTGGATTGATGAGACCGCCTGGTGGAACAGTTGTATGAGGTTGCCTCGGAAGAGTCGATGGTGCAGGGGAATCGGGTTCTGGATTTGAAGGGCGCGGGCGGTTAGGTGAGTCGTCATTGTCACTGTCCGATAGCTCGGATTCTGAGCTTTCTGTGTCGCTAGCAGGTGTAGTCTCTGACTGTGCAAGTTCCGTGGGATCCTCCGGGTCCAGGGTGTCATCACCGAGGTTTCCGGTGAGGGTATTGTAGCTACTGCACAACCCAAGATGTGACAGCAGCTCGATCATCTGGCATTTCGCCCCCGAAGTGTACGCGTACAGCCCAAAGACATTGCGCGCGTAGTTATTCTTCTGACTGCGTGCACTGAGACAGATGAGTGCGCTCGTGGTGAGATACTAAAGCCGATTGTGAGTACACATCCGGCGTGCTGAGCTTCAGTATGTACTCACATTTTGGTGCCGTTGCAGACTCGTCGCGGTGCTCTTTTGTTTCTGCCTTGTGGATGTACTGAAGGCGGACAACAGATCCATCATCAATGGACAAATATCCTCGAGATCTCCGGCTAATGCCTCGAGGCTGAAGTCCAATGCAAAGTGTTCGTTGATCTCCTTTTTTTCGGTACGCAGGAAGCCGTCCTTGCACACTGCATGACCTTCGCGAGCTACCAGTCGAGCGATGTATGCAGAGGCCCACTCGCGAACGGTCTCTCTTCCTGTTGCACTATTTTGCGAAGAGACCCACATATCCAGCACCTCGACAACACCGACTCGGTCCCGGAATAGACCCCAGTACCTTTCCTTTCTGCGATAACCACTGGGGTCAGACACGAGGCGAAGGAGTTCAATAAAAGGTACGTTCGCCTCCTCGAGTATTGCAAGGGCCTGTTCGCATGCGGCTTGACAGATTGCTGAACGCTCCTGTTCTGCAGCTTCTTCCTCGAGGCGACGAGCCCGATCACGATCAGCTTTGTCCTTGCAACGACGATCTGCAACAGTTCGTGCAGGGGACTCGGGGAGCATGGACGTGTCCGAGATGACATGGCACCAGGTGCTGGCAGGCCTATGTATAGAATACCTGTAGTTAGCGCAAAAGGGTGTATACATGAAAGGCCTGTACTTACCGCGGGCTGCTCCTCATACATGAGCCGCCACTCGCTCATGTATAAGCGAGGCGCCGTGCTCACTACCCAAAGAGGCAGCTGCCCTTTGGGGACAGCTTCATCAGGAAAAACCCATTTCTCTTGAGTGCACTTGTAAGGAATATGCCATACTTGCCAAGTAAATATGGGATTTCCCTGTTCTTTCAAGTGCACCAAGGATGCCAAAAGCCTCTCATGTCATAAAAGCTACCCACTAACCTTGGGTCCCTTGTCCACGAGTGCACGCTTACCTTTACTGCTTGAAACAAGTTAAGAAAGTGCATCAATGTTACCTACGTGGTTCTATGCTGATTTTGTTGGTATGCTATAGGAAGTCTCCCATTGACCACACTATTCTATTAGCAGTACATTGCCAGTACTAGGGACCACAGGCTGTTGCCCACCTGCTCATCTATCCTACACACCAATACACGCCAGACATCCAAGTCTGTCCTCTTACCCGCGCTGACAACCACGCCTTCCTGCTGGCTCACTTTCACGTTGGCCGCCTCGTCGAGCCGGGAGCGAAGACACTCTGAACTCCGCACGACGGCCTCCCGAAGCTCGGCGCTCCGCTCGTCAATGCCACCAGAGAAGACGATTGCGTCCGCCCTCCCGCCCAGCCTCCTGTCCACGACTCGGAACAGATCAAACTTGAGCTTCCACGTGGCCTTGCTCTGCCAGTCCACGACATCCCTGCCCTTCATTGCCCCCTGCTGCTGCAAGTGCTCCTGCATGTTCTTCACGACCTCATTGAAATCCGACGTCCCGGTGAGCGCCTTCCACCCCGACTCGGTGTTGAGGATCTCCTCGGCCTGCGTGACACGCACGTCGACAGTTTGGTCGTGGGTGATCCATACAGCGCGGTTCCTGTAGTGGAAGATGAGGGACAAGTCGACAAGCCCGCTACGTGTCGCGCCCGGGAGGCCAGAGACGGGCGTGAGCCCCATGGACGTATCGAGAGACTGTCCGTTCCGGATGGCACAGATGCTGGCCCCGGAACCGAGGTGCATGACGATGAGGTTGAGAGCGGACGTGTCCTAGGCGAATGTGAGGTTGCAGTTTAAGTACACCGAGCAGATGACACACCTTTTGCAGATAATGACCAACAGCACCGAGGATGTATGCATCTGGGGACGTGGCTCAATGGTGACATTCAACGCAATGGCTCTCGCACTCACAACTCGGGCCACGGAAGCCGTACTTCTTCCGTCCGCGCTTATGGGCAACCTCCGGATTGATCGCATAGCGAGCGACGTGCAGGGGTATCGACCTGTGGAACGAGGTATCAAAGTATGCGATAGAGCTCGCCTTCGGAAGAGAGTCGATGGCGCTCTTCATGACTGAGAGCGCAGCGCCGTTGTGGCTGCATAGACAATCACTCGCACGTCCGTACGTATCGAACAAGCGAACTACTCACAGTGGAGCGAGATCAGACAGGTTCTCAATATGTTGGTAGCTCTCCGAGTTGATGATTACAGGCTCAAAGTAGTCACCGCCATGCACGACACGATGGCAGACGTGCACGATGGACTCCCGTTTGATCTTGCTCTCGTTCTTCAGATGCTCGAGGAAGTAGGCGAACGCAGCTGCGTGGTCCTTGATCCTGTCTACAGACTCTTTCTTTGCCTCGCGTCCTTCATTGTGAGACGCGAGTTTGAAGGTGAAGGAGGCGGTTGGTGACGAGATGTTCGTGATGCTAGACGTCAGGAGCAGCTCGACGACGTCCTGTCCTGAGCTTTCCGCACGTTCGTCAGCGCGGCGGTAGAGGGATATCTTCAGGAAGACGACCCACATTCACGGCGAGGATGAGACCGCTCTTCGGTGGGCGATGCTCGGGCATGGCTGGTGTTGCGTTGTTGAGTGCGTGGAGACGTCGCTCAGCGTTGCGTACCTCTTATGCTGATGACTGCGACCTAATGTCACTGCAGCACGCGTCCAGCATGCGCGAATGCGTGGACTGCAGTATGTACGTCGAGATGCTCATCCAGCACGGTGGATGTGAGAGGTGATGGCTGCCCACTGGCAGGGCTGATCCGGTGCCGCTGCGGACACCGGCTGGGGATTGGAAGACTGTCAGTAGCGATGAGACGGTTCATGGCACCTGAGAACTTACGAGGGGAGGGGGGACCCCGGAGTTGAGGTTGGGCGAGTTCGGGACATCAGCAACGACAGACCGGTTGACCGCCTCGCCGGTGAGGATGGAGACCGCGATGACGGGGCTGCGTGAGTAAGTTGCAAACTCGACGATGAGTAGAGAAGCACTAGTGCGTGTTGTCATCTTGATCTTCGTCGTTAGTGTGTACATCAAGCTTAAGGTTCGGCGCACTCACACAACTGTGTCAAAAAACGCCAGACGCGCAGCGATACACGGCCAACGTGTTGCCGTATGTAGCATCAGGTATGACATATAAGTCGTCCCGAGTGACGGAAGTGCCGTCTTCTTGGCCAGCAGGGCCCACGACGGACATCTCAGTCGTCGATATATGCATGCTACGACTGGCGACGGTCCCAATGGCGGCGGCGGGTACATCTAGTAGGGGCATACCTTACAATATCGAGTCTTCGCTCTTCTCTACGCGCTCTCCTCTCATCCTTCTCCTTCCAGGTTCCTTGTGGGTCGCACGGTCGCCTCGGTCGACACTGCACTTGTGCGCGCGTTGTACAAGTCTTGGTCGCATGACTGACTTGCGTACCAGCAGATTCGCGTGGGCGCTACCAGACGTTGCCAGAGCCGAGTGGTAGAGCAAGGAAGAAAACAAGAGGTGGCCAGGTGAACGTTGAGTGGCCGAGAGAGGTGATGGTGGTCTTGTACCACTTCCAGCGGTGCCGGATGGAGCGGGTAGCAGAATGGCTGGCAGTGATCATTCAGCTGAACAACTCTAGATCTGTGCTCGCGGGCTGGTTGGGACGACACTAGTGGCTTGACATTCTGCGACTCGAAATTGGCTGGTTGACGACAGAGCAGGCGGTCAGAAGACAGAGACGGGAAGATAACTCAGAGGGCGGGCGAGTGGGAGAGAAACTGGACAGGCGAGAAAGTGGGATGCCGGGCGAGAAGGCAGCCGGGCAAACAGGCAAGAACGCAAGCAGAGAGGCGAGAGGAAAGGCAGGAAAGCCAGAGGGCAGGTCGACCGTGGTGCGAGTTAGCGGTTTATACAAGTGCGAAGCGCTCACTTCAGCGAATGATTGCAGTAAGATTGCAGCCACTAACACGGTACACTTATACTTATTTATGGATGATTCTTGCTGCTCCGAGATCTCTCCCTTGCGTCTGCCTTCTGCCTCTTCTCCTCGATATCATCTTTGTCTCGCCCTCGCGTACCTACCGCGGATCTTCAGGACATGCAGACGGGCCCATCTGCAAGAGACGGGGTGTGTACATTGGGCTGGCACATAACCTTCAGGCTGCGTGAGCCGCAGCTTGTAGGAGCTTCAGCGGTGCACCAAGAGCATCGCTGGAGGCGCATAAACCAGGTGAGTGCCCGCTAGTCCGGCTCGACAGCCCCGATATCAGCTTGATGAGCCCGCCGCATACAAGCCTGCTTGCTTCGAGCAGAGTGAGCTGTATGGCTATCTACACATCGTCAACAAGCAACATCATCGAGGGGCTAGGAAAGCCCGGGCCTCCTCCCAAGCCGTCCGCTCCCGCTCCCTACCCTTCTCGCGCCCTCTCCGAATCTCCATTGATTTCTCTAATCCATCACCCATCCCTCGCGCCACGCCTTCTCAGTCTCCGGAGGCGGGTCCTCCCCCTCCACCGTCCTCGGCAGCACGTCCTCCGCAAACTCACCATCCACCTGCGTCCCCCCCACCAATGTCGACGTCGCCGATGGGCACGGTCTTGACGTCCTCGCCGGGGGAACGCGTCGCGCATGATCGTGTCCGTGACCGCACACACATCCATCATCACGCCTGCGAGCACGCCACGCGCGCCCACTGCTGCCCACTCGCTCACGGAGAAATTCGCACCGTCCACCCCACCGTGTCGAGCACCCGCCCGCCGAGCGTGCGCAGGTGTCCCAGCGCGGGATCGTACCATGGAGCGCTCGGCTCGGCGCGGTGCCCGAGCGAGGTCGCCACGAGCGATGTCGGGAGCGTGGACGTCTCGCCCGTCGGCACCGCGCGTGTGGAGGGATCGAGCATCGTGTGCACGAGCGTGAGGTGGGCGGCTGCTCTTGCCTGCTTTGTTCTCTCAATTGCTGTTCCACCTGTTTCACGGGTGAGTCCGCATGTTCACCTGCCTGCTCTCCGGCATGTCCGCTTGCCCGTTCGCCGCTCCTCAGCTCTCCCGCTCATTCTTCCGCTTGCTCGTTCGCCCGCTTACCTGTCCACCCACCTACTTGGCTGCTCGCTCGCCCGTCTGCATTTCCCCCGCCTAATCCTGCGCCGTCATGGACCGTCATAGATAGTTAATGTTCTCTACCGTACAACTAATATATTTCATATGATGTTGCTTCTACTATGCGTGCTGCCGACGACTGTGAACGACCGATAAGAGCAGTGTATCATTATATTGTGTGCCCGGAAAGTATAGTACGACTACTCTACCACAATGTCTGGTAGGCATATTTACTAGCCCAATTGTTCAGTAAAAATCGGGAGGCACGATCAAGCACCGAGTCTGAGGTCCAGTTGTGTACAGAAGCATCCTCGTAGTCTACTGTAGCCTGAGGAGCATTCGCGGTAGCGCGAGAGACGGTACTAGGAAGCGCGGTATCAACTGACATGACTGACGAATAGAACTCAACGGCACGATTTCTCCGGTGGGGTGTCCATTTGCACGAACGGGCATCTTGTTGACCTCGTACATCATGTGCACTGGATCAGCACTCGACGCCAATTTACCGTACCATTCTATGTACGCTAGAGGTCCCCCTT